TTTTTTTTTTTTTTTTTTTTTTTTAAAAAAAAAAATAATAATAATAAAAACTGCCGATCTTTGATTATCGTTTGTGAACAGTGTCACAAGCAAACATCGCTACACCAACGTCGTGTAATGATAAGATACACGACGTGGACAAATTCACCTGCCAATTTGAGAATGATCTCTGCGAGCATAGAGTTTTTAAGCGGCTGCCGTAGAGAAGTTACTGTGTATTTATGTGTAACGTTAATAATGTTAGAATCTGTTAGTAATGGCGATGCTCCAGGGTAACTGTACTATGGTAATTATCCATACGGTAGTCGCTAGCTCCAGACCAGATATGCCTGTCAACATGGAATTAATAAGACAGTAACTGATCAGCCATCTCCAGTGTTCAATAACTTCGTGGGGACTAGCCATGTGGTCAGACTTATAACAAGAGAAGCTGCTGTCCCCAGACAAAATGGCATCCCCAGCCACGTCTTCAGCCCAACCTCAAACAACGCCCCCATGCTTGCCTCACAAGCGAGAAGACCTAGGATCTCACAGACCGCCAGCAGCCCAAAGAGCATCCCGGCTCTCTCCTCCCCTGTCATCCTAACTAACATGGCGCGGCATAGCGTAGGTAGACCTGAGCCCAGTGCCGACACGGCTAGGCCTGCAATGATGAAGGCTTCCTTTGTTACCATCATCATGCAGAGGCAGCTAGCTAAGAATAGCAACGAACTCCGCAAGCTAGATTTGAGCATCTGCGATGAGTTGGCGAACTTGTGAGTTTGCTCCAGATACATGTGATGACAGGTAGCAGTATGCATAGGGTGAGAAGTGTGACCAAGCTTCGCAAAGATACAATAAGTATAGAACGGTTGAGAGGCCAGCTGAACTGTATGGGCATTAGGTGAATGGCGATATCAGTCTGCACTGTTGCTAGTGGGATTGTCATGACAGTACCAGGGATAAGCCGGAGGAGAGGCCTAGAGAACATCGACTTGAAAGCGACCATCACGGATGTTCTCTTGAGAGACTCCAAGCTCAACATGTTCGACTCCAGACCATAGTCATACGGCCCAATGCTTGCGTCCTCCCGAGGCTGCTTTAGTTTGAGTGTCTCTGGTGTCAAGCTCACTAGGACGATACCGCCTCCGAGTACCAAGCCCAAGGACAAGAATAGTGGCATCCATACCGATGACTGAACAAGCTCTCCTGATAGCACAGGGCCTTCGAGCTGAGCAGCAAGTCCAGAGGCCACAACCCACTGAAACCATGATGATATAGGAAGCCTCGTCAGCAATTAGTTTATCTCGCCCTCGGAATTTAAGCTTGCCTCTTGGATTCGGGTACCGTGTCCACAATGATAGCAAATACCATGGCCTCAGCAACGCTTCGACCCCCACCAAAGAGAAGTGCGACACCGATACACCATATTGCCTCGAGTGGAATCATGTCTGATTTCCAGCGTACGAACATGGCGTATGATTGTGAGAGTATCATGCTGAGGATACTTGCACCTAGTACAGGAAGTTGGCCGATTCGATCTGAGAGAACACCCAAGGGGAACGCAACTAGGGTAGCTGCAGTTTTGTCAGTCCTACACACAATCCTAATAAGTACATGTATGAGATGAGATGGAAACATACCCGAAATAGTGGCGGATATTTGCATCCCCATCATGATGAAGTTAAGTCGTTGCTGCACCGGCTCATCCCGACATTTCTCTTCTGGAAGAAGCTCAGGGCTATCGATTCGATGGACATGCTTACATACAATATCTTGCATGAGCTTAATAGACGGTAGGTCGCTTACAGAAAGACCAAGTTGTATGACAAAGAGACAAACTGAGAGAAAAGGGAGCAGATAGTCCCTCGGCATAGTGTAGGGGCGAAACCACATTGTTTGTTAGAGAAAGGAATGACTTGACGAGTTAATTTATTTGTGTGATGTTAGGAGAAAGATTCCAACGTGAAAGAAGAAAAAAAACTTGCTACGGTTGAGATCTTGTGGCCATAAACCTATTGTTTGCTTGATAGCCATTTTTCAATAAGCACAATAAGAGTTGCCTCGAGAGCAAACTCGACACCCTTTGCCAGTGGCAGGATGTTACAGCCGCCACGAAACATCTAGGAATGTGTTTTCACCTTTAAGCACAGACATAACCATCCCAGAGCTGCCCGCTGAAGAATATCGTATTGGAACTGAATATCACAGCCACCTTGATACCCGAGCTGGCCTGTGTGCCCAGCTCTTTCACGCAGAACTAGCAATAAACTGACAAAGAACCGAGACATCGATGATAGGTAATGAATCAAGAAATTCAGTGAATTTCAATGATGCCGGTCCTGTTTCGCAAGCTTCTCATTTTGTTGATATACAAATCGGTCTCGCAAACTCAACGGCACGGGTTGTGAAGCCGAGATTGCTATTGGCAAGGAACAATCACCGGGGCCTGGCGGAGCAATTAAACAGGTAGCTATAGGAAATCCTTGAGCGGAGTCATGTATAAATCTCAAATATCGTCTTATCACCTTTCTATTATCTGTCTGGTGTCTCTATCACAAATTGACCCTACAGTAACTCGGCGATAGCTAACCACGACAAACCCCGAATACCTTGAAGAAACATTGCGGTTCATGTCATAAGACTTCTTTGTTTCTGTAACTAGTGATCGAGGTGGACGAAACCATAGTTGTTCATGGTTTCATTTCCTTCTCTTCACTTTGAACAAAGAACTCCGGGGACCACCAAATGCCACTAGATACTGAAACAGTATGAAAATAGAAACACTGAACAATATCCGTAGGCACACAATAAGCTCCCATCAAAATGTATTAGACGTGTTGTTCTGCTGTTCGCTTTTGTGAACAAGTAGTTCTAACCATTCTCCAAAGAGCAGGCCTCAAGACTACGGTTCAGTACTCGAACACTGGTTGTTCGACAGGTGAATTCATTAATACAGTGCACTGGATTTATTGGAAGGAACATTCACTTCTTCGATCCCTATATATTTGCATTGATCGCATCTTGCTTCACTACAAAGACTATCATTATAGCCGTCTAATTGTTCTACCACCCCTTAATCACCACCACCACAACGCTATCCCAGTGAGTATGTTCCTCCCCAAGAGCCCAATGCCCTGACGGATCGAAACTGAATATTCATATAGCTATGTGTCGAGGCGAGAACGTCCAGTGCAAGGAGTGCTGCCGACTGAGCAGCCGAATCGTCGAGCTCTGCATCCGTGGCGAGCTGATGGCGACCTGCCCCGAAACCATCATCGAGGGTGTCAGTTTAGAAAAGGAAGTATGTCGCTTATGTAGGTATGGAAATATTAAAGGTAAAGTTGTGATACCCCCTTCAGTGCTCGCACTCTCTAATGAACACTACAGGAACACTTGGAGGGCTTCCAAGGCGCAACCCATACCGCAGCCAGTCTATAGGCCTCGGCGCTTGAAGCATCAAAGTGATCCTAGCAGCTGTTGTAGTAGTGAGAGCAAAGGCGACTTGTCTACTTGACCAAGCTCTTTCGCCGACTTGCTGTGGATCAGACAAACTCTCGATTCAAAGAACAGCCAGTTTCATGCTAAGGAAATTGATCACTTGCATGACTAAATGCGAATCGATAACCATTGGGCTCGACCATATACCTCTGAGGAACAGATCACGGGATAGCATGTGTTGGTGGTACCCAGAAGAAAGCCTCGCTCCTCAGCTATGAAGAAACGACGGACTTATTCAGTTGGGGCATTGAGCCCATTATTGGTCAAATAGATATCTCGAGCTCAGCTCGAATAACCAGAATCAGAGCACAAATATAGACCGTGTTGTCGGGACTCTCGTTCCACTGCAATACGTGCCATGTATCATCGAGCCACAGCTAGATCTCTGGTCTTGCTAAGATTGTGACCAGTATGTTATTGTCTAGTTATAACCATTTCCCAACACCACCACTCAAAGGACGCAGCACTCATTGCAGATCATACTTATCTCAGCTCCCAATACAAGGCAACGCGCATGAGGCGTCAGGCTCATGTTTCTGTAATTAGCACCCAATGGTAGAGTAGAAGGTTGAGCAAACATCGACGCAAGGACATGTCCCGAGGAGAGGGTAGGCTATTACCTGAAGCGTCGGAAACGATGACTAGACTTCGGGCCGAGCCTGAAAAGTCACCTGGTCTTTTAAACCAAGCAAACATGGAAGGTATTCGTCTATGCTTTGTTTCTGAAGCACGGGCTGTATGTACTGACTGAGTTGGGTCATAAGAGGACCCAGGATTAGATCGCTAATATTAAAACAGAATATGCTAAAGGAATATGTGACAATGGAGAGACGATGAGCATTGATGAGCAATTGTTGTGCCCTCCGTTGCATAACCCATTGACTGAAGTTGAGCTGCGAGAAAGCGACTGAGTTGAACAGCATGTAGTGAGATGCGTGAAACGTACTTGTCACTCAAGCAAGCAGCCAAACAGAGTACAGAGGACCTGGCGTTCTGCAGCAAGGCGTAGACTACCTATCTTGTTGAGATTGGATCTATATTTTGATGGTGCCATCAATACGCCGCTTGTTGACTACCTTACGTTATGCACGCAATAACCAGAGCACGCCAATTGAGAACGCAGCCCGCCTTATACAAAAAGTGGCTGGACGACTAGAGCTGACAAGCTGCAGGGGATAAATTTAGCGCACTGAGACAGATCAGTGAGTGACGACACGAGCCAGTCATGCTGCAAAGCAGAGACAATGAGTTCCGGTGCGGGCAGCGTCAGAGCCTTGTAAGTGGTGGGAAGGTGAGACGAGACCACGTAACATACGGTACATATTAGGACCAAAGTCTCGAGATGGACAATGTCTAAGACATTTGCAAGCACCAGGTTTAGGTTTCTATGTTGGTGTCCATCCTCTTTTTTCGTTGTCTCTGTCGTACCCTGAACCTGACTGAGCCTCTACCATGGACCCGGGAGCCATGTTCGGCCCTCTTCTCCGCTCAGTCCCGGCACCTAGGAAAATGTCCGACCTTTTTTTTGTCGCTGTCACGCAGATTAGCCATTGTATGTACTGCAGGATCGCAGATTGACCAGCGTCTCGTCTCAGTGCTAGTCAGCCTTTGGAGGGGCAAAAGGTGCCAGCCGACCTGATGGATCCGGGGTTCGAGACGTGTCCCGTTGGTTCGGGCCCTATTTTGACTTTATGATAGCGTCCATTTCTGAGGCGAGAGGGAGCTCTTATCCGGTAAACTTTACAGAAATGAGATCTTGACCGTTCTAAGCATATTTATTGCTGTTGTTGACGGGTTACAGTAAGACCTGCAAGCTGCCGTTCGAGTGTGGTGCTGGGTGTAGCGACACCACGACGGGTAGCGACTTTGGATAATTTCCTGGGCCATCCCGCACGGCCACACGTAGAGGAGGGCATTCTTACTGGGTTGGTGTCGAGCTGAGCTGAGCTGAACTGAGTGGATGGACAGAAGCTGGCCCTGAGAATCGAGTCTTGGGTTGTGTGTATAATAGCCACTAACATGGTCATCGTCCACGTTTATCACAATTGCTCATTCGGGCCAGGGGAATAGGTATCAACTAATTGTCAGGAGAGGACCTGGTGGGTGGTCCAGGTGGTTTACTGGAATCACTCTCGGATCATTGACGGATGGATATGGATATCTTGTTTAGTAGAATAGGAGTCGCAATCTGTAGCGGCTCATCATGATCGTACAGTAGTGTCGATCAGCTACGAAGCACGTGGGGAGCATAGACTGCTGATCATTGTACGGATAGCCGGTTCGCGCAATGGATCATGGGGAATGTCGTTATCTCGCCTCGGAGGAAAGTTGCCTCCTGAGACGAGAGCGACTTGGATAGTAGGTATCCCATGTTTGGTTCGTTCATGATCCATTGAGATATTCCAGGTAGAACAGAAGAGCCAGCGGCAGCATTCCATTGACCCGCGTGGCTTGTGGAGCTTTCTCAGTTCACGGACCAAAGCATCGACCATTTGATTTGCGGTGGCTGCCACACCCACGCCATAGCTATTAGTCTGGACAGGGATGGTTAAGTGGTCTTGTCTTGTCTTTGGTCTGGCTTGGCTCGTCTAATAACTCATGGTCTCCTCTTCTGTCTCTAATGTTGGTGATAATGACAAAAAGCTGAGTCTGTCCGTGCGAGATCGTGTATGTATGGGATGAAAAATTGTTGTTTCTATTCGGTAAATGACATGTAACAATTCAATTACGACTGAGTTTTATGGCATGGTTATATGAAACAGATCCGATGTAACATGTATCCACGTCTCAGCGAAATGGAGTCTCGAAAGAAGCAATCTGGGACGATAAAGACGTCCATGTGTTTCAACGGTTAAAAGCAAGCAAGCAAGCAGGCAAGGTTGTCTGTAACTGTGACGGTAGCTGTAATGGGGACAGACTGTAGTAGAGTCTGGGATATCATAGAGGCCCAATAGCAGCGATACGAGAAGTGCCTGATGATCCCATACAGGAATCAATACCATCAGATTCATATTACACTCGCTCGCACGGTTCGCTCATTCTTCGAAGCGGGACACTGCATATTCAAGATATGGACCAACAGTACCTAGCGGCTAGCATCTCTGTCATGGAAGTGTATTTGGCCCAACTCAATAACAAATCCAAGCTACCTACTGTTCCACGATGGACGATGGCCTATACTAGTCATGATAAGAGGAGCCCTGGAGCCGCAGAAAGACGGTCTTGCCGAGCAACCACGAGGAGGCTTAGAAGCTAGCATGCTAGTAATGAGTATCGCGGAGAAGCTATGAACCTGACTAGGCTTGAAGATATCACGATCAAAGGAGGTTGTGGCCACAGCCACAGATCCAAGCTTTATTTTTATGTGGTGTGAGTAGGTGTGAGAGGTTGGCCATACCTTACATTCATTCATTCCATCCGTATCCGTCTATCAACTAATCACAGTGGCACAGTGTGTTCTAGGCGACTTCTACTAATTCTTCCACGCAACGTTAATTAATCCAATGCACGACACGATACATAGCGAACCAAGCGAACTCCTGAAGAACACCATCACAACCCCTATCCCAATCGAATCCCTACTCCGCTCCAGCTCCGTCGACCCTCAGAAAAAAAAGAGTCCCTGACTCAAACCCTTGCGATACTGACAGGGCCCTTGTCCGCTTGTCCAGGAACGGTGGATATAGTGGAGTTGCGTCCAGACTCACTGTCCAGTAGCAGCCAAACCTCCAGCTGCCATCCCAGCCCAGTCCACCCTGGCCGCTTCTGTGGAAACATCCCATCGGCATCCATATCCACATTCATTCACCATCATCAATCCCTGTCCGAGGGGCTAGACCCTTTCGAGACTTCGTCGCAAATCCTATTACTACAGTAGGCAGTTGCTGCGCTGCGCTGCGACCTCTGATACAGCGTGCAGCACCGCGACAGCAGAGACAGTGTCCCAGCAGTACCTTCACTATAGCGCTATCTTGTATTGTCGATCCTGTACCTCAGGGTCCCGTCCCCGGAACAAGGTCTACCTGGCTCACCTTACTGAATCTCTAACGCCAGAGCCAGAACAGAAGCCTTCCAGTCCGTCCTCAGTCTTGCCTGTTCTGGGTCCAGGGGCTGCATACAATTACAATCCACCGGCTGAACGAGACCCTTAGCAGCAGCCAAATCCGCGACTTTGACCTGACCTGACCTGAACTCAACTTAAATCAAATCAACTGAGCAAACAGGAGAGGAGGACCGAGACCTGATCGACACGCCTCGTTCCTCCAACCTACCTTTTCTTTTTCACCTTGACTTCAACCTCTCTTTTGTTTGTCTTTCAAACTTTTGACAGTCACTCGCTGACTACTTTTTGACATTGTTTGCTTTTGCGACATTGCGATAATCCTCCCACCTGCCATCGCTACTGGTCTTCTTGCTATACTGCAAGGTATGTCTATTATTACATCCATTCCTCATTTCCCAAAGCACAGTCAAGGTTTCTGCTGTCGACCTGCAATTGAATTGGTGCTATCGGTCGGCTCGCGACGTCTGGCGCTCCCGTGTCCGTCAGCTATTGTCTCGTCAGTGGCCGACTCGTTGTACAACCTGCGACTTGTGTTACACAAAAAGCAACTCTCCGTCCCTAGTTTCCGCCCAGTTCCGTGCTTCAGATTGCAATACCATTGCGACTGTCAATTAACAGAAATCAGGTTCACTCATCGACCAAGCACATTGCAGTTCAGCCACCTTGAACTGCGCTCCCATCCCCCAACATTTCGCACGTTGGCAGAACAGAACAAGAGCCGGGGCCACAATCCTAATTCTGTGCCTGTCCGAGTTTATTTCGGCTCGCCTCGTACAAGGCAAACGAAACTTCCGGTCAGCGACCACTTCCCTGTCCCCGACGCATTGTTTGGGAGACCTTTGCAGGTCTACCCCCGATATATATAGACCGCATCCATGGCGACCTCACATGGCGACCTGGCCATGTCGCGGCCTACCTCCGGCATCATCTCTCCCCGCGACGTGAGATCTAGGACACAGAGTATCTCCAGCGATCGACCTTCAACAATTGCCCACAGCCTCATGTCGCCGCCTCTCGCTGTATCACCCTCAGCGGCCTTCATCGCCGCCTCGGCCGCTTCTCAGATCGTTACAAACGACCACGATAGTCACGCCGATACCTGGTACGATCAGCACGGTATTGAGCCAGCCAGCGACCCTGCGCTCGTCTCGGGAGAAGCGCTACAGCTTGTCAACAATTTTCTTGATCAGCTGCTTTTCAACTTCCTCTCCAAATCCCAAGCTACTACTCTCGCCAACTTACGACCTGCCGTTTCGGAGGTGTTAAAACCCAAGCTAGCGAAAGATGCCGTCAACAATGCCGATGAGGAGCTACGTGAATACTTGGGCGACGGTGATGAGGAAGATTATGTGCCGCCTACTGGCGACAAAGCGCGTGACTGGGACCTGGAATTGGTTTGGAAGCGCACCCGCCTTAGGTGCATGGTCTACTCTTCCCTGGGCGATATGGAGGAGGAAGACGAGGACCTCTACATGGAACAGGAGAATCTCGAGCTAGGGGCCAACGAGTCTATCTCCGACGTTATTTCACCAGCTGTTGCAATTTTCCTGACCTCTGTTCTGGAGTATATGGGCGAGCTCACCCTTACTGTCGCGGGACAAGCCGCATACCACAGATTGCGGGCCAAATACCAGAAGGAGATCAATGAAGGGACCCGAAACCCCGCCGATGTCGCCGACCGCATTGTAGTCGAAGAGCAAGACATGGAGAGGGTAGCTCTCGACCGAACACTCGGGCGATTGTGGAGGGGCTGGAAGAAGCGGATACGGTCACCCGTGATCGATCTAAATGGCCGCCCCTTTTCAAGGGCGTCTAATGGCCATTTAAGACAAGACAGTGTGTTCACTGATTCACCCGCTTTAAGTCGGGTCCCAACCCGTGATGCAGAATTGGAGGCACAAGCTGAAGCTGTTGATCCATCTCAAGTTGCGCTTCCTATTGGAAGTAATGATGTGGATGAAATCGAGATCCCTGGTCTGGCTTACAATAGCGATGATGAAGACGAGGAATTGGAGGCAGAGGAGGAAGTTGGAGGGCGCCGACCTAAGAGTTTGTTGATCCTGCCCCTGGGAATTATTCAGGGCCTTCCTACGCCAACCTTGTCGCAACCTAACACTCCCGACTTCGCTGGTCGCAAGCGTTCAAACTCGCTGCCAACACCCGGCGCATCACCATATCGTGCTGCTGCTAAGCGATCGAAGGAGAAGGAGGCTGTACCTGTCGAGACTAGTGTCATTGGGGAGAAACAAGAGCCTGCCGAAGAAGCCAAGACCGAGCAAATCAGCAGCGAGGAACCCAGGGAGGTCAAGGAGATTGATGGAAGCAAGCCTAAAGACGAGCTTGTTCCGGAGCCAGTGGCTCCCAAGAGCAAGCGGCTGTCAAAGATTATAACAAGCCGCATTCAGTCAAGACAGGAGATCGCAGACGAGGATCCGACTTACGAGAAGGCAGAGATCCTGACATCAGCCCGAGTGTCAGTAGCTGGCAGCTCTTCGCCAGCCCTGTCTGATACTGGTGGTCCGTTCCCACTCAGGAGATCATCAAGTGTGCACTCAGCGCGCATCATCGATGTAGCTGGTCCTAAGAGCCCCAGCGGGTCGCGCTCACCCTCAGCTGATGCTGCGGACCGTATCCGCCGGGCGAGTCTGACCATACCTCCAAGCAGTGGTCTCTCCAATGGTGTCAGCGCAGTTGATGTGCAGGCTCAGAACTCCCCTGCAACCTCAACTCGCCCAGGTCCAAAAAGCCGCTCTCCAGTCGATGCCATGCGAGGTTCTATGCCAGGTGCTGCAACAATCTCTGAGTCTGATGAGGAGATGGATCGAAATCGGACCAGAGAGCAGAGACCTCACAAGTATATTGCTTATCAGCCTTCCACGCCCACTGTTCCGGAGGCTGCCTCTCCCACCGAGGCGAAACCACCTCAAACTATTGTTGGATCCCCACATCACTCACCTGTTCAACGATCTTCATCCAGTACCAAGGTGGCATCCACGCGTCCTGCAAGCACCTCTGAAACCGCCCCCGAGAAGCCTGCCGAAGTTCTACGAAAGCCCTCGGGCTACTCAAACCGACATGCTGCACGAAATGACAAGGTACCTACTTCTCCCACTCACAGTATTGGCATGGTATCCATAGAGCGATCAAGGACAAGGGACTCGGACGAAGATGGAGGCAACGTGCATACCCCTCGGCCTACTCACACTTCAGGCTCATCAGCCTCCTCAGGTACAAGCCGACTTAAGGCTGTTAGAACTTCCGAGGACAATGGAAGCCGTTCAGCCATGGCCCGTAACTTTGAAGAGCTGATCCAGAGCAACCAAACCATCACATATACGCTGACGCCTGAGAATATGCGCAACATGGATGTGAGTAAAATATGCATTGCTGAACGGAGAACGGACCTAACGATGACGACAGCACAAGCAGTCGCTTGACAATTCAGTGTTTAAGGGATCCATGAAGAATGATGATTCTCGTGCCCACAACCGTTCCAGGTCTTCTTCTGCGGCAACCGACATGAAGAGGGCATCTCCCCATCACCGGGTTGGCGACGATAGAATGAAGCCATTGCCCTCTCCAAACCCGAACAGACCACGTATGTCTGCTGCCCCAAGAGACGCTCGGGTTCCCAGCGAATCTACTGCGGATTTTGCAGAATTTATCAAATCTACTGGTCCCGCAGGAGACAGCCGTCCTATGCAACTTCGAAATGTGAGCAGCCCAAATACCCCCGGCAAGACCAGCCTCGATAGTCGTCATGTTTCATCGGCAAGCAATCGGAATCGATATATGCCCCGTGATGCTGTGGTCGAGTCCCGTAGTGGCAGCTCGGATCTAATCGACTTTATCCGACAGGGACCCCAAGGCGCAAATAGCAACCGTATTCCTCACAATATCGCACCTTGGGACACAGCCGGTGCTGAAGAACCAGCAGGTGGTAAGGCCGTCGACGCCAACATTCCCGATATCCGATACAGCCAGGCTTCGACTCATGGCACCGAGTCATCAATGCCTTCGATTCACTCATCTATCAACTCCAACACGGCCCTTTTGAAGAACAAAGGACAGCCTGCTCCGACGAGTAAGATGTTTGATGAAGATGATATGATGCCTAAACGCAAGACTCGACGTGTCAAGGACCCTTACGCCATTGACTTTAGCGACGACGAGGATGACGAGGTCTTGCTTGCAACGCCCAAGCCTCCTGCTAAGAAGGAGGAGAGCTTGGCAGAGTTTCTCATGAACTATGAGCCTCCACCGGAGCCTGTCACGACACCGATCTCACAAAAGATACCCAAGAAGAAAGCGAGCGCACCGAGCCTGATCGGGAGATTCACTCGCAAGGAGAGCAATCACTCCAACACGGCACCTGCATCACCCCAAGGCAACGACACTCGATCTCTTAGTAGCCGTGCTGGCTTCAGGAATTATATTCCCATCCAGGTCAACGTCCCATCTGGATATGACAAGTACGGGATGCCCACTGGTGAGAACTCATCTCGCCCTTCACAGCCTGCCTCGTCAGCTTCCTCTGGACGTCGTGTTCCCATGAAGAAGTTTGAGCCTCGAGATGCAGTATCGAACGTTTCACGTACCTCGGATTTGGCAGCATTTCTGCGCACTTCAGAGCCTCCGCCAGAGCCTGTGATGGCCCCTCCACCTCCCAAGGAGGAGAGCAGCAGTAGTCTATCGAAGATGTTCAGTCGCCGAAAGAAGTAATCGATGACAACACTTGTTGTCTATGCCTACGACCTGATTTATTTTTTTGCCGTCACTTTTTGCGAAAAAAACGTTCTAGACGAGGATCTATACGCTCATGAGCTCATGTACTTCTTAATCTTTATTACTGGATGTCGAATTGTGATCTGGGGTCTCGGGACCTGGGTCCAAAATGCGGTTGATACCGTCCATGGACGGATTTTTTGGTTTGGCCTTTTCATTCTTGTCATATGGGCATCGGCATACATCTTGATGTGTCTTCTGGATGTCTCAGGAAGGGGTTTTCGTGTCTTGTTCTCAGTCGAAGCGCAGAAGAGAGACTGCATGGGGTTTCTCTGGAGAGCAGGTGAGGGTGAACATGTATAAAGAAGATGTATGAGGGTGAACACGCATTCAAATTCTTGCACTTATGACTCTACGGGATGTGTCTACACATATTTGAAGCATGCATTACACTATCAACCTTCAATCTCGAAGTTGCAGTCATAATGAGTACCTGTTAATACCAGACGACGATAAAACATGATATGATATATCATTTCCCAGACCCTCGGAGTGTTCGCCAGCTCCCATAAACATAACCGAAAGACAGTTGAGTCGACCGCCCCAACCCGACGTTTGCGCATGTCGTGAACATAGACCAAACGAGGAATGCACTGCGGCAACTTGGCTGGCATATAGTGTTGCAATTTCCCTTATTCTGCTTGCCTCATCTCTACGATACGCAGAGTTGAATGCGGAAGATGTGCGGTTAGAGTTGATCCAGGATCCCAACTGGTCAAGCTCTAGTAGAAATTACTGGCTACTAAGCTACCTATCACATTGGAATTTACAATCATATGTCAAGTGACAGAATCGGATTTATCTTTGCGGCATTGACGGATGCAGTCGCCTTGTCAAAGCTGGGAAATAGCTTCAGGCGAACCATCAGACGAGAGGCTGAGGCTCTTCATTCTGATGTTCCTAATGACTTGTGAAAGGGTTGCATGAAACTGCCTGAAGAATTCATACTTCAATATTGAGTCTATAGTGAGTTGTCGTGTCACCCAAACTGTCATTATACCTGGGCCCAGCGTATGAGGTTGCGCTGCCTGAACCTGCCTCTTCATGAACCTGGGTGTACACAAGGTTTACATACATACATTCATGAACGAGTCACCTGCATATGACATGATTATCTTGGACCGTCTTGTTTCCTTGCCGAGAATTCACTGTATTACTGTGGCGTCCTGTATAATCCCGTGAGGTTCTATTATTACTGACTATACTTTCTCATATTTGTAGCAATGTGTTGCTCCAAGACGATCCCTGACAGGGCTATGGAAGGCCTCAAGGCCACGCAATAGAACCGAGGCCTCTTCCACACACACACACACACACGCACGAGTTCATCGCCAAGGGCATGGGTATGAGAGATCAAAACCATGTGCATTCCCGTTTCCCATACTCATCGTCTGGTAAAGCGAGGGGCGTGATCTGACAAAGTTGGCAGATGCGTTGGGATCATTCTTTTCTGGCGAGGCAGACTCACCAAAATCCTGGTTTGATGACCATAGTATGCCTTTCTGTCCGCTACTTGTTTCCGAACGGGCAGAGGCACCGAGATGGCCATTTGCACCTTGAGTTTGTGTTGCATAATTCGGAAAGCGCTGAAGAACATATTCTGGGTCGAACGACATGAGTATGATGGGCCTCAATTGTCCGTAGGCCATATGAGTTGGTGAATACACCAAGATTCGCTCATCCATAGACCATTCGATCCCTTGAACAGGCTGGATGGGGTTGACAACGCCTTGGAGCTGAGCCAAGTCACTATTGTAGTGGCATGTTTCTTGGTCTCGTGGCCATATATTGACTGACGGTTCTCGTTTCTTGGGCTGTACTCTGAGCTGTAACATCGAGTCAGGGCTGTAAGCCTCAGAAACAAGGTCGATGAAAGCATCGCACGATGGGTTGTATGAACGCACAAAGCATTCTTGGAGGGTGTATGCTGTGGCATCAGATGGGCCGTCACCAATGTGGATTGTCTCATTCGATCGTTCTTCAATATGATCCTCGCTACTCCATTCATCGTCTTCGAGGCTATCCACGGTCGAATCTGGCGGAGTGGGCAGAGAAGGCTCTGGCTGAGGGGCTTCTTCTTGTTTGTCAAAGTGAAGCTCCTTTTTGTAGCATGTCCTCTGGCTGCCTGCATTTACCGGGAACCACTCCTTTCGAGTCTCGACAATGAAGAGATTGCCTGTTCTCTCGTCTTTAGCAAGCTGTAATGAAGTCCAACGCTCGTCAACTGCGCCCTCTGAGTCATGGAGACGCCAGAGGTTACGCATCAGAGGCTTCTCGCATTTGTCATGGACCGCGTTGTCCACAGGGAACCTCACAACTTGGTAGAAGTTATTGCGCATTCCATCATCGGCTTCTGTTCTGAACGTGTTCGAAACACAGTAAAATTGACCATCGATGATTTCAAAGCAGATGTCAGACCCTATACTTTCCCCGTCGAGGTCCCATAGAATCAGCTGTGGATCTGACCACTTGCGAGTCTGGAGATTGAGGCAATGAATACCCCATCTGTAGCTACCGTCTAGTCTGGCATGTGATTTTGAACCCCAGAACAGGTAATTCTTGTCATTGCGTACAAATAGCGGGTGTCTTGAACACGGCCTTTGTACGACAACCCATGTGGGAGATTCTCTGAGCTCGAAGATGACAAGCCAATTGCTCGTGGTGGAGTCTTCGAGAACTTGAGTGGCAAGACATGATAAGACGCCCTCGGCGTAGTAAAGGGGTTCAAATGTATGCGGTCTTCGAGGATCGTAATCTCTTACTGCGAGCTTGAGGAGTAGCGGAACATCGACTATCCTTTCAGACGTGGACTTTTTGTCGAGTGTGCTGAGGACACGGAGATGGTTGCTATTAACAGTGTAGCACAAGTGTCCATTTGTATAAATGAAACGATCTGCCATGGCAACTATAGCAACCATCCATGGCTCCGCTGCCTGGACAGCCATTCGCCGCTTAGCAAGCTTACGGAATGACCTTGGGAAGTCCTTGGTAGACTGCGCCTCCTGAGCCTCTGCGGAATACGGTGCCTTCTGAGATGTTGTCAGCGGGGACTATCTCACTAAGACAAGAGGCTGGGACGAACCAAGAGTGCAAGACGACACATTCGTCTATCGTAGAGAATGTAGGTCAAAGATTTGCAGGATAGAGCCAAGTTGAACACATCTTCAACGTTGAGTAACTCAACAAGAAGAGAAACAATCTCGACAGGTAGTTTGAGAATGCTCATGGCGATGCTGCGAGGAGAGAGCGAGGAGACAAGATCCTGTTGAGCGGCGTGGGTTCATGTTCACAAGTGAGAGGATACACCGAGCTGTATACAAGATACGACGCTATTCACAGCGCCCCGGTCGTTATAAAGTCCCTCATGAGACGAGAAGAGGGGAGCAGAGCCGCAAGAGTCCTCGAGTTCCGAGTCAAGATTCACAGCCTTATCGCGTCCAAGGAGCCTACCCCCGCTCCGAGGAATGCCAACGAATTCGTGGACGCCCCATATCTTTGTTCTCAAATTCGATTAGTCGAAAAGGAGCAATCATAGCGAGTTGGAAATTCGTGGTTGGTTGGTGTTTGGGTCAAGAGCAAGTTTCGCAGAGAATGAGGCTCTTTTTAGCTGACGATCGCTTAGAAGAGTCTAAGCTCGCGTGCTACATTTTTCGAGAATAGTGTCACTGCTTTTTTCTTCTTCTTTTTTCTATTTAGATCAAGGTGACCAAAGCTTGACCTCGATAGGCAACTCCTCGACGTCACGAGGATATCGAGGTGGTGTAGAGTCTAGGTTACGCATGTGTCTTCAGAGTCCGTCAATATAAGAGCCAAGACTACAACAGGTTGAATTGACCCATCGTTGTACTAAGCAATTAGTCTCGCGGCGCAGTTGAGCTAATCGTCGTACTAACGATCAACATGGTGTAACTCGTTCCAGAAAGTGAAGGAAGAGGCTCTGCTGGTGTTGTACGGCGGTTCAACCCTAAGAAGTATAGTCGATATTCTACAAGCCTGCCACTCCGTGAGGCAAACCAGACAGGTAAATATGTACTTCAGTCCCGAACAGTCTTTGCTTCAAGCTCAGCTCAACAACAACTCTCATGAATATCCTGATTTTACCCTGAAGCAGCTGTTTGTGGTGCGATTGGTATTCAGCTGTGAAATCAGGCTGTGGTACCTGCTGATGGTATCGATTGCCCATTCAGCCAATATTCCAGGATTGGCCAATTACACGACATCTTTCATGTGCTTTGATGGTGTATGCCCCCTGTTGAGATCCCTGAGGGGCCAACCCCATTTTTGAGCCTCATTCAACCTCGTCAAAACCTGATACGCTTTGATGAAAGCAGGCTCTGGCATGTATGCAGTAACTAACATGCAGACCCATGCCTCACTAATAACGTTTAGAGTATACTGCGCGAGTTTAGAGCAATTAAACCATGTTGTCTGACATGGCTAAATGCTTCCCCTAAGAGGCCATAAACATGCCTATGATTCATACAAGCCGTACAAGCCCGACTCTCCAGTGGCTCACAACCAGAAGCTACAAGGCTATCGTGCACGGATTGATTGAATATATAGTAGTATTGTATTATCTGCTTCTGCAGACAGCAAAAGCCCTATCCATTAACGCCAGACATGCCCCATCTTCTTCCTTGGCCACAGAGGCTCCTTGCATCTCCAGAAACGAAGGGTCCTTGCATTTCGTTTCCAGGACATCGAGTTAACATGCGGACTGTTGTTTCATCTTCACGTCTCAGCCTCCTGTGCTTCATCCATGCGCCTTGGCCTTCCCAATATCTACCTTCGACTGAAGCTGCCCTCTGAATTATGAGTGTCTATTGTAAGCAAGTTTTGATGAGTTGTTTCGTTTCGTGTCCAGGTATCGAAGTAGTGGAGGTCTTATCACGGATTAGATCACCTTCGTGACCAATGCAACGATCACACTCTTCAGCTGTTGAGCTGGACATAATTGCCTGTTCTCTGTTAGTACCTGATGAGATCTCGACAACCAACAGCACTCACCTGGGAACTGTCCCTCCTTGCCTTGCAGTCGTCCAGTCCACCATTCGTTCTCGTTCTGTGTCCTTGTGACAATCTCGATAACGTCACCAGCTCGGAAACTTAGATCGCCCTCGGCTTGCGCAGCGTAATCGTAAAGAGCCGTTACAGTCTCAACTCCCGGGGCCGTGAGGCGCATGGGCTTGGGCTTGGGCTTAGGGGGCGGTGGCTTCTTCTTGCCAGCGGCGATGGCGGCTAGGCCTGCATTGGCGCCTGTTGGAGGAGTGTACGGCGGGGGAGCGGCACCTTCGTTGGCGGTCGAGGCGGGGCGTTGATAGCCACCAATTTTGGGGCTCGTCACAGTGCTGCTTGACGGTTTGGAACCCTCGCCTCCCTGTGTAAGGAGTGCGGGCTGCTTGGGGCCTTCGAGGGCAGGCTTGGCTCCGTATCGCACAGGTCGCGGGCGACCGGTAGTCTTGAAGCGACAGATGGACAGCGCTTCAGCCTGTTCTTGAATGTCGCCGCGCTTCTCATGGAAAGCATCCTCAATGTCGAGCGTGAGATCGAAATAACCGATGTCGCAATTTTGCATCTTCTCATGGAGTGTGTAGAAGATGTTGAGCTGCATGTAGTAGAACGATTGGAAGAGGGGCTGGATGAATTCGCGCTCAAGCTGGAACAGCTTGGGTAGCTCGTCCTTGAGGAGGTCGTTGAAGTAGTTGAAGTCCTGGGTGGCTTGCTCGACGTCTCCTTCAGCCTTCCACATTGCCTTTTCATCCTTGGCAGTGCGCTCTTTCTTGTCCTGCAGCTTCTTGAGGGTTGTGCGGTGTCGGTCGTAGTCGAGTCTCTTGTGTTCACGCTTGAGGGCGGTCTTGCGTATCACCTTGACGACGTCGAGCAACTCGTTAGCGGGACGGATAATCCTAGATTCTATCATTTCTAACTCCGGGGCCAACGTCTCTTGCAGGTCCTTGACTACAGCCTCGTATTCTTCGCAAGCACGGATGCCTTCGGGGTTACCCTCTATCTTCATTGAGTCTGGGTCTGACATGCGACCCGAGATGGGCTTGTAGACTTCGGTCATGGCCTTGCTGAACTCGATCTGATGGGAGAGCATGCCATTGATGGACTCGAAGTACTTTTTGGACTCATCGTGGAGCTTCTTGGTCTCAGTCTCGAGTTCCTGGAAACGACGTTCGGCATCGATGTAGACAGCATCTTTGGTATGCTCGCCGATGTTGAATTTGGACTTGAATTGTTGCGGGGCCTAAGAGCAAGATATATTAGTACTTGAGATCGTGTGTCTCGTCATGATGGCGTGTCTCGACTCTTTAGCCGCGCGCAAATGGCGTTTTGTGCGCGCGAGACATGCTGGAAATCCAAGCACCATCAAGTGAGGGGCACGGCTTACCCGAGTGAGGCTCTTCTGGAAGCCTTTGAAGCTCATGGCGAGAGCGCGGCGATAGTTGTTAGATTATTCTAGTGATGCCAGGAGTAGAGTCGGTGGTGGGTGGAAGAAGAGTGAGTGAGTATCGCGAAAACCCTCAGATCGCGAGGCCGCCAAAGTTAGACGAGAAGGTAACTTATGAAGCTCTCGATTATGACAGGGCAGGACAGCCCAGAACATGACTGAGTGAGTCGTGGAACGGTGACGTCCACTTGTGTGGCTGTGTTTTAGCTTAGCTCCCAGGTTTAAGTTCCCTCACTGGACCTTTTTTGCTGCCCAGCCCGTCCTTTGTCTTGCTGCCAAGCCTGCCGGTTTCCGATGCTGTGGCTATCAGGAGGTTGAAGAAATAATAGGGACACATGGGGGAAGCTGAGATGACAATGGCAGTCAGGGACTATTAAGTATCAGACTGACAGGGAAAATAGGTAGGTACGGAGTATATCAAAGTATTTAGACGTGAGCTCAATGTTCTGATAACGTGGTTTTGTCTTGAACCATATACCTTTTTTTGAATACCGAGTTGACCGGAGCAGTCATTTACTCAGGGTTTGGATTTCAGAGGAGTGACCTTAGGGACTATAGCCACAGCGTCCACTGCGTCATGGGCGTTGCGTCACTCTTGACAGCTTCCAGGGATCAATCTCATTTGGGCCACAGGTCAGGTCGTAAAGGCGCTGCACCCGAGCCACAAGCCCTTTCTTTTACATAGGTACTGCAGGTAGTTCAACCTTGGGGAATGGGGAAATGCCCGGAGAGGCGCATGCAGAGAATAATATGTATGCCCGTGCCTGTCGGTTTCGGTGAATTGAAGGTTCGATGAAAACTCCGCCTGCACCGCAATAGGAACCTAACCCTCCGCACCGCACCAAGAACAAGGTCTGAGTGTACTGGGGTCCCTGAGGTTGAGGCTATGAACTGGCAGCCTGCAGCGGACGGGATGCACAGAGAGCAGATAACACCTGGAAAGGCCCTGCAAAGAACGTCGCATCGATTACCTCCCCGTTACAACATCTCGCCACGAAATAATGACTCTTCCATCTTCCTCTCACCACAACGGTTTCGGCTTCTCCTCCGCCGTAACCTAAGACCTAAAGAGCGCACCTTCTGCCGCTCCCCGGCTTTTTCAGCCAATGGCCGTGCCGAATCTGCCGGAGGCTTATCACCGAGGACCCCGAGCCGACAAGCTAATGACAAATCTTGGACCTGGAGCTCAACGCCTCCTCCACCAAAATTCACCTCTTCTCTTCTTCTTCCCACTGGCTTAGCTTGACGTTTCTTCGTCCTTGCAACTGCCAGACATTCAATTCATAATGTCTTCCAATATCGCTTCATGCGCCCTGCGCTCGGCGGGCCGAGTTGGCTTGAGCCCAGCCTTTCGCGTCACTGTAGCTCCTCTGCGAGGTATGGCTCGCGCAGCTGTCGTGGCGAGGCGCACATCACAACGTGGATATGTATCCGAGACCAAGAGGGACAATGCTCAGGTTGAGACGGCTATCAAGCTCGATAAGAAGGCCTTTGCTGACATCCCTCCTCCTGATACTCCCTCCAATGCTAGCGTTAGCCCAATGGCTGGTAAGTGCATCTTGTCCCGCTCTGCCTAGTGAGTGAGATTTTTTTTATATTGAGGCTAATTATCCCAAATAGAAGTCCTGAAGCAAGCAGCAGTTATGGAAGAGGGCCAGCGTCCCATCTACCTCGACATGCAGGCTACAACACCCGTCGATCCTCGAGTTCTCGATGCAATGATGCCATTCTATGTCGGCGTCTACGGCAACCCCCATTCGCGGACACATGCTTATGGCTGGGAGAGTGAGAAGGCCGTAGAAGATGCGCGTGAGCATGTCGCCAAGCTTATCGGTGCTGACTCCAAGGAGATCATCTTCACCAGCGGTGCCACCGAGAGTAACAACATGAGTATCAAGGGTGTCGCTCGCTTCTTTGGTCGATCTGGCAAGAAGAAGCACATCATCACAACACAGACTGAGCACAAGTGCGTGCTCGACAGCTGCCGCCATCTCCAGGATGAGGGCTTCGAGGTCACATATCTCCCTGTTCAGAACAACGGTCTCATCCGAATGGAGGACCTGGAGGCCGCTATTCGACCCGAGACTGCCCTCGTCAGTATCATGACTGTCAACAACGAGATTGGTGTGATTCAGCCTATTGAGCAAATCGGCAAGCTGTGCCGATCGAAGAAGATCTTCTTCCATACTGACGCTGCCCAAGCTGTGGGCAAGATTCCTCTCGATGTCAACGCCATGAATATTGACTTGATGTCAATTTCTTCACATAAAATTTATGGTCCCAAGGGTATTGGTGCCTGTTATGTCCGAAGGCGACCTAGGGTCAGACTGGACCCTCTTATTACCGGCGGTGGTCAGGAACGAGGTCTCCGAAGTGGAACTCTTGCTCCCTCCCTCGTTGCCGGCTTTGGCGAGGCTTGTCGCATTGCCAAGGAGGAGATGGCTGTAAGTACTCATAACTTTCTTAAACCTCTCTCTGTACATATGATGAGTTGCTCTACACATGCATGGCTTTCTGAATGGCCCGTGACAAGGCCGGCCGTGTTGATCGAAGCTTCTGTCTGATCTACAATGTCTTTCAGTCTTGTGTTTTGTCCATGTCTACGTACATGAGATACTGACCTATTTATAGTACGACACCAAGCGCATTAAGTATCTCTCAGATCGCCTGCTCAACGGCCTTTTGTCTATGGAGCACACGACACAGAACGGCGCTGCCGACTCCTTCTACCCCGGTTGCGTCAACGTTTCCTTTGCTTATGTCGAGGGAGAGTCTCTCCTGATGGCTCTTAAGGATATTGCCCTGTCTTCGGGCAGTGCTTGTACCTCGGCCTCACTGGAGCCTAGCTACGTTCTACGTGCGCTTGGCAACAGTGATGAGAGCGCTCACAGCAGTATCCGATTCGGTATCGGCCGCTTTACCACTGAAGCGGAGATTGACTATGTCCTCAAGGCGGTGCAGGAGCGTGTCACTTTCCTCCGAGAGCTAAGCCCTCTGTGGGAGCTCGTCCAGGAGGGCATCGACCTGAACACCATTCAGTGGAGCCAGCACTAAGCAAGCTGTGATGATGATGATTATCCGTTCATCTAGAGTTTCGTGTTCAGTCTTAGTTACTCTGGATGAATCAAGGACGTTAATGACGGTGACCGGCTGAAGCGAGGCTCAGTTGTGTCTGTATAGCATACTGTAATATCAGAGATACCTCTTTCTTTTACATTCTGAGGACGAAAATAGGGAGCAATTGGTCAAAGGGGCTTGCAAATTATGGGATGGATCAAAGGACGATAAACAGGCGCCTCTCATTCACATCAAGCACTGGGAACGTGCTTTGCCTGTTGGAAATGAAACAAACAATCGGAGTTGAGTTTGGTTTGAGATCAAGACTAGAGTCGCACAGAATGAGACATGACCATTCATTATTGCGCATGCCGACCACGTTTTATCTTCTAAAGTGGTACCATATCTGACGCAACGTTCCATTTTAGTGTTTGATAAGTGACAGTTTATATGTGTCTTGCTTGAATGTTGATTATCACATGCGTGGCTAAAAACAGCGCTTGTTCATGCTGAGGGAGGAAAGAAAACGTACTACCTACCTAGGAACTTTATCCTAAATGACAAAAAGACTCAGAAATACTATCTCAAACTTAGAGGACTATTTGACGAGTTTATTTTGGCATCGTCAATCAAGGTCTCAAGTTTTCTTGCTCCCTGATGGAGGGCATGTAAGATGTCCATTGCTTCCAATCTCGATCTTGACACTCGTACAAACAACCGACATCAAGTGATGGGGTTGATCAAATATTATTACGTTACCTATACTCAACCACTCCGAAACGTGGATCGCGACTTCCCAGCGTTTGTGGATGAATTACATCTACCTATGGGAGTACCTGCTGCCTTCCTTTGTTGACGTCATAAGCTCCTGCCCGCTAACAGCTCCTTCCACCTCTGCCTAGATACCTGTGCGCGGCGCGTCACTGCAATTCTCAACGGAAATGACATCATTGTGCCACTGCAGTTGCCTTGGTGGGATATCTTCCTTCGTGATGGACTTCCTTCAAATTACTATAAAGCGTTCTCCTCTCCCACCCTTCGACTCAACTTAATTCCTTCATCAACATCCTTGAAATCCAAACACTATCAAGAACTCCAACCTACACAAGCACAAACAAACCACAAATCCCACCAAACCCATCAATCACCAACATGTCTGATACCCCCCAGCCTTCCACTCTCAAGTCCGTCGTCGACTCCGCCTCCGGTGCTGTTCAGAGCGCTATTGGTAGTCTTACTGGAAACACCAGCGACCAGGCCGCTGGCGACCTCAAGAAGCAGAAGGCCGAGGCCGAGCATGATGCGTCCCACGCTACCGCCAAGCTCCCTGGTGCCACCCTCTCTGGCTCCGGTGCCGCCGCCAAAGATGACCCCAACCGCACTGAGGGTTCTTGGAACCAGACTGCTGGCTCCGCTAAGGAGGCCGTTGGTGGAATCATCGGGAGCGAGGTAAGATGAATAGCTCGAATCGCGCTTACTTTGCTAATATGATTGATAGTCCCTGAAGAAGGCTGGCCACGAGCAGAATCTCGAGGGTAGAAACCAGGAGGCCAAGGGTCAGCTCAGTGATCTCGGCACTGGCATCAGCGAGCGTGTCCAGGGTACTCTTGGTGGCGCCGTCTCCAACCTCACCGGCAACAAGGAGCAGGAGGCTCACTACGACGAGCTTCGTGCTGAGGGCAAGACCCGCCAGCGTGGTGTTGAGCACGATCTCCAGAAGCAGGCTGAGGCAGAGAGCCGCGAATAAACCGGCAAGTCCAACATTGGTAACAGCGTAGGGTGATAAGCATGAAGTGACGAGAATATGATACCCCAAAGTTGTGGCATGGACGGAAGAGGAAGGTCCTACTAGATACTCCTAATGAACACCATCAACAGTTACTTCGGTATATGTTGCAGCTTGTGATCCTTGACAGTCGTGTTGTGTTTCTTATACGTACCAAGGCTACTGCCCTATACTCGAGTGTTGGATAAGAAACTGGATATTGAGGAGGTTGCATTCTGTGACGTTGAAATTGCATCTGCTGTGCTTGAGCATGCCCTTGGGAGCAAGAAAGCTCAGGATCTGGATCCTAAGTGATGAAAAGGCTTAGGTAAGTTACTATAAGCTTAGGAGTTTTGTTAAAAAGTTTACCTTATTACTTAGGATCTAGGTCCTAAGTTTTCTTGCCTCCCCTACATGCAACTCATCCTTGCACCTAAAACCATCACTGCGCTCGAGGGTCGTATTACTACATCGATTGACATTCGGGACTTGTCAGCGATTGAACAACTAAGCTTAAACGATATAATGATGTTTCCACAGAATCTCGAAAAACTTGCAGTTCGCACCTAACTATACCTACTACTATTGAGAGATTTGTGGGCTGTCTCCGAAGAGCTTTGCCTTTATTTCGACACGATTTCTTTAAGTGACAGTTTGTAATGATCGAAGATACCCTGGAGGGCGGTTGTTTCTTGCCGCCTAAACGGCTGGTTTTCGACTGGCGACCCTTATGAAAACGCATTTTACCATTGTTTTCTGATTTACACAAGCTGGGCATGCATCGGATGATCTATTGTAGACACGAGCAGCAAAAAGCTGCCATGGTCCGCAACACTGAACGTTGGAGGAGACTCCTCACTTGGTGCCGTTGCTAAGAGTACAATTCTTTGGCAGCGTGCAACCCTGGGCCACAGCGTCTACGAGAAGCTGGGGCAGTAGAAGGAGCATTGTGTCGTTCTATACAAGGACATCTCAGGCTAAAAGAAATGCTGCAGCTTTGCGTCTTGTGTGCTGGATACTCTGTTCCTCATGCGTTGCGTTCTGATAGCATTGCCATTCACCATTTCACTGTGGCACAGCGACGTGAGATACCTTGCTATTGCTACTGAGGTACTCTAGTCACTTGGGTGATCGGCAGAACGTTCGCAACTCGATTCTGTATTCTAACAAAAGCCCCAAGTGGCGACTTGACATGAGAAGCCCTGGTAGGTTCACAACCCCGTGCGATAGGATGTCGCATTTAACTCACTCAAAGACGCACGCAAGCTTGAGTAACGGAGAATGAGGAGACGACTAGTGACCTGAAGCGTGAGCTTTCTTGCCATCTGAGAGATCAAAGCTACTATGAAATTGACCTGAATGGGGTAATAATGGATGAAAGCAATATTGGGGAAGTTCAGGTCGGACTTGATCCATCACGAATACATCTAGGAATAGGGAATATCGGCTCCAGAAGTGGGAAATGATATAAAAGGGGTTGGGTTGGCAAGCCCTAGTCCATCTGATGTAGTGAGTTGTACCATAGTAACCATGAGAGTTTTTCCAAGTCGCAACGCCCGCAACTCAAATAAGCACAGCAAACAAACGGGCTCCGAGCAGCATTTGAGAAATTCCACTAACATATGATTCAGCAATACAGATGCAATGTCCAAGAAGGGGGAGTGTGGAGTCAAGGCAAATGGAGTGATGGGCAATGGAAATCGCACAGCGCATGAAACCAAAAGAGAGCAGGAGAGCACGCAGCCTGTGAAGTGCGTCTTCAACTACAAACTACATTTGTGGTAACTGCTAGATATAACAGTCTAGATCAAAAGAAGACTGACATTAAAATTCACGAGCTGTAGTGATCATCTGTCACAGAGATATCTGGCAGTGTACCCCTTTCAGATAGTCTTGGCTGGACTCCCAAGAGTACAGCCATGTACGAATACTTGGGAGGGGCATAGAACGACTGATGACAAGATGACTTGTGTGAGCAAAAGAGGCGGGCGAATGTACCGTCAGAACCAGCGGACGGGACAGAAAGAGGAAGATGAAGACAATCTTGGCATCAGTCGGACGAAGAGTGGCGAGTACTTGAAACGAAGGAGAGGTACTTCTGCGATGTCTGCGTGACCTCTCGAAGACCTCCCCTTGGGTCGAAGACAGGCTTGAGGGTAGGCCCGGGTTGGCAGGGTTCAAGACTGAGGAGAAAGAATCAAAGCACATCTCATCAACATGGAGCCAATCTCAGACTCTTACAGTGTGCCAAACACTTTGTCACTGATCTTCTGTCTTCGAGAGAGCTGGACTCAGGTTCAGGGACCCAGTTGCATCGGGATAGATGCAGGTCTCGTCTAAGGTGGGAGAACAAAATCAAGGATTCTCATCCGTCCGGGTAAACATATAGCGTCAAGGAGCATTTCGGAGCACGAATGACCAAGTTATTGGGCTGACGCGAGAAGAGAGGCCTATCAGGACATCCACAAAGAGCCACATCATGAGAGTATCACGCCGAGGTTTGACGGCACAGGAACAGTTGACAAGGATGAAGATGGCTTAGACCCTACGATGTAGCCCGTTTGAGCTTCCGGAACAAACAGAACCGTTCAAAAAGTTGAAGGAACCCCTCAATGGATCACCGTCGAGACCGGGAAGCGGACATTATCATGATGCCGAGTTGAAAAGTAAGTCAAGTTTGTGGAGGAAGTTGATGTTTCAAGGTGTAGGTATGGATTGTCGTTGATAAAAGTCGGGGCTTAGCTTCATGCACGATTCGTATAGCATACCCTTGTCACACTTGTCGGCGTGCAAGAGGAGGATCAGTACGTTTAGGGCGATCCAAGCGAGCGATGAGGCTCAAAGATGAAGACTGACGCACTATCTGGGGGTCATGACAGACAGCAGAATAGCAGGCTAACCCCTGTCAAATCGCTATACGAATCGTGCATTAGCGTGGTGCTGATGATTGGCCTTTGGGGATTTCTGGGGCAGATGGGCCAGAGTTACCTGATGCTTTGCAGAAGACTCTGCGGAACAACAAGTACCTCAATTTCCAGGCGCATGGATCGCCTGTCAGACCTGTCCTCTGATTGGCTGGGTCCCCTGAGGGAGATTGCTCCGAACGGCCAACTGCAGCGCGCCAATAGCACAACACGTTTTCTTATTCGGATTCCCCATCGCGAGAATTGTACTTGGGGGACGGACGGCAACTGCAAACTGCAACTTTTGGGTGTTGTTGGCAACACGCCCCCCTCCACCAACTTTTTCCCTCTTTCTCCATTGTTTGGTTTGTTTTGGGTATTCTTCACTTGACTCTTTTCTTTTCCTTCTTGTCGGGATATCGGTGTCATCGCCAAACCTACCTACAGCGGATACTGTCTACCTAATTAGGCATTTTTATCTGATGCCCTAGTCTTTTTCACTCCAAGACACTGTCACCGCCCCCTGTTCCTGTATTTGGGTTTGTTTGCTTTGATTTACCGTGCCGTCCACAGCTGCATCTCTGGCTTTTCAAAGTGCATCTGAGGCGTCCAGTCTGATTGCTTCTTTCTGTTGTCTTGCGCACTGTGGGTGGGAAAAAGCACAGTCTTCCGTCTGTGTGATCACAGCCTGATTGACGGTTCAGGCTCTCAGGACTTGGCTCCAGCTTCTTAGTCTCTTTCTTGGTTCTGCCTCTGTTCAACTGTCCATTATATAAAGGCTCTCCCGAGCCCTTCCTTCAAGATGTCTTCAAGATATTCACTACGCCAAACTCCCAGGTTTGTTTGCATCTCTATTCCTCAATCCCAAATTTTCCATCATGTACTAACTTTGCGCCTCCAGGAAGAAGGAACTCTTCGAGGGCATGGTTGAGACCCCTATTCGTCGCTCACGTTCAAATCGCCGCCAGACTTCCCAACCTCTCTCAGACGTCGAAACCGAGTCAAACTCTGCCGCTGAGGCTATCTCGCGACCTACTCGCCGACGCACCGCTAGGTTCACCGAAGAGCTCGACGAGGACACAGATTCCGACAACATGGGAGCTGTCAACAGAGCCTCCAATGGCAAGACCAACGGCCATGCCAATGGCCATTCAAACGGTGGTGTCACCAATGGACACGCCACCAACGGTCATGCTACATCCAACGATGTTTCTGGCGCTGCACCGATCAATTCAGTCATGGAGAAGACCGAGGGCGTGCCTCAAGACCCCAATGTGGTTGATGGCTGGAGGCCTGGCCAGGATCCCAAGATTGACTACTCTGGAGAGTTCGAGTTTGGTGGTTCTTTGGGCACCGCTGCCATGATGATACTCTTCCCTATACTCATGTGGTATATGTGGATTGGCGCCACTTACTACCATGGCAAGTTTCCCTCCCGTGCCGAGGGTCAGTCCTGGGGTGAGTTTGCCGCTCACCTCGTCAATCTGGTCTACACTGGTGCATTCCCCCGCCTCCAGGTCTGGGCCTGGTACTGGTCTTATCTCATTGTTGAGGGTGCCTTTTACTGCCTCCTCCCCGGTGTCTGGGGCTATGGCAAGCCTCTTCCTCATGAGGGCGGCAAGCAGCTTCCCTACTACTGCAGCGCCTACTGGAGTCTCTACACCACTCTTGCTTGCCTTGCCTTTCTGCATTTCTCTGGTATCTGGCCTCTGTACACTGCCATTGATGAGTTCGGTCCTCTTCTGTCTGTTGCTATCCTCAGTGGCTTCCTTGTCAGCTTTGTGGCCTATTTCTCTGCTCTTTGGCGTGGCAAGCAGCACCGTATGACGGGCTACCCCATCTATGATTTTTTCATGGGCGCCGAGTTGAACCCCCGCTTGTTTGGCATTCTCGACTTCAAGATGTTCTTCGAGGTTCGCATGCCTTGGTACATCCTGCTCATCCTCAGTCTTGGCGCCGCCGCTCGTCAATATGAGCAGTACGGCTACGTCTCTGGTGAGGTTTGGTTTCTCGTCATGGCTCACTTCCTCTACGCCAACGCCTGTGCCAAGGGAGAGGAGCTCATCATCACCACCTGGGATATGTACTATGAGAAGTGGGGTTTCATGCTCATCTTCTGGAACCTCGCTGGTGTTCCTCTCTCTTACTGCCACTGCACTATCTATCTAGCTAACCACCACCCTGATGTGTACCGCTGGAACCGCGGCATTCTCGCCGCCATGTTCGCTGGATACCTCTTCTGGTACTGGGTCTGGGATAGCTGCAACAGCCAGAAGAATCGCTTCCGCGCTATGGAGAAGGGCAAGTTGGTCCTACGCAAAACCTTCCCTCAGGTCCCCTGGCAGACCATCCACAACCCCAAGACTATTGTTACCCCTCAGGGAACTATCCTGGTTGACGGTTGGTATGGTCTTGCCCGCAAGATTCACTACACTGCCGATGTGTGGTTCGCTGTTTCTTGGGGTCTGATTACAGGCTTCGAGAGCCCTTTCCCCTGGTTCTATCCACTCTTCTTCTGCGGTATGATCGCTCACCGTGCTGCTCGAGATATCACCCGTTGCCGTCGCAAGTACGGCGACGCTTGGCTCGAGTATGAGCGACGTGTACCTTACCTCTTCATTCCTGTAAGTTTCCACTAAAGCGTTGCTTGAACCCTGATACTAATAGTCTCTTAGTACGTCATCTAAGGAGTCGACGAGGCCAATCGGGAGCAACTCAGACTCGTTCCGCCCCCGAGGGACACTTAGTGCCTATTTATTATTCTCAGTCAGTGGCTCTTGATGCCACTAGGTGTTTTGGTCAGTGGAAAGCTGTACATGGAAACAAAAACCGTTATCATGTCTGGGAGACAAAAAGGGAAACCCACAAACGAAGAGATGAAGAGACGTAATACGAAGGGGGTATATAAGGAAGCTGTAGACATCAGCCTCTATTGGTTTTTATAAGGTGTCGACTTGCTTTGGGAGGTTTCTAGATCTTGTAATCTTTGGCTCGCATTTGCATACTTGTTATGAGGCGAGGATACTATAATAAACTGCTGTATTGATACACCCGCATTGAGCATTACACCTTCGGAACAGACGTCGTGGGCACTTGCAACGGCTTGGCGTGTACCAGTTGTCTCAGTACTTGTACATTGCCCGTCATAATCGGCGAAGTATGTGATTGTAAGATGCTAGCTAACTACTTCGATTGACCTGACGATGTATAAAAGGGACATATACGTTAAGTTTCGGTACAAAAAAAGAACAATTGGCAATAGCATACACTAATACTCGAGTTCCCTTCACCGTCTATGATGAGAAGCCACCCAGAGAATAACACGCATGTTGAGAGTATTTTACAGAAACCATCCTCCTATTTCATCCCAGCCCCTCTTCTCTCATAATAGAAAACAAAAACAGTAGCTCAAGTCCATTATTCCATGATTGCGCGAAAAAGGGGCAGGTATGAAACCGTGCCAACCCAACGCCAGCGTTCACAACATCTACTGCACCGTCCATGTTCGGGACAAGGAGCAAGGAAAGTTGCAAGCGCTATTAGTGTCCATTCAGTCGACCATACCCTGAGCAGCTCTTATGATTGAGTTCGATCTTGTCAGGCTGTCATCAAGGAAGGGCTCCTGTTCCGTTGTTGATTTAGCATACAGCATCAACGTTGGCCTTGGAGTTCATGAGGAGGGCAACGATGAGACCGTAGAGACCTGTTCAATGTTAGCCAATTGGCCATGTCAGATTAAGCAACCAAGACGTACCCAAGACTTCAGCGAAAATGAGAATAAGAATCATGCCGACGAAGAGACGGGGCTGCTGGGCAGTTCCTCGAACACCAGCATCACCAACAATACCAATGGCGAAACCGGCAGCGAGACCAGCAAGTCCGACGGAGAGACCAGCACCGAATTGAATGAAACTAGTGAACAGAGGAAGGTCCTGCTTCAAGCCATCGGAGATAAGGACAGAAACGACGAGGCCGTAGATACCAATGATACCGGCCATAATGACGGGAACAATGTCTGGGAAAGTTAGCATCGCACAGTTCGTGGGGATTGGATTCCAAGGGCTGCGTACTCTTGACGATCAAGTCGGGGCGGAGGACACCCATGGCAGCGATACCGACACCCGACTTGGCGGTACCGTACGAGGCGCCAAGGCAGGTGAAGACAATGGCGCAGGTGCAGCCCATAGCACCAAAGAAGGGCTAAATGATCGTTAGCGATGTGAAGTTCGATATGAAGTCGATATCGTCGACCGCCTCACGATGGAGGTTTGGGTGTCGCGAGGTGACGTCGACGGCATGGATGACGTGGAGGACTAACCGAGTAAACGGGGCTGCAGAGACGCGCATGTTAGCTTCAATCATCAAGAAGGATGTAGTGCGAGGCCATTCCGATGGCCTTTCGCGTTGCTAGGCGATGCCTGGAGCTTCCGATGATGCATAGGGAGCTTGATGATGATGGGGGCAAGGAGGCGCGCAAGCACGTACCAAAGTTCGCTAACCATCTTGACGGTTGTTTATCTGAGGATGAAGCTGGTATCAATCGAACAATATCGTGTTCAGGAGTCAGAAGGTGTGTCGAGTAATCGGAAGACGAGCTAAGCTGTCGGGAGATGAAGTCGTTGGATAACGGGAACCGTTTGCTTGGGGTTTGAGACGAAGATGTCGAGGTGAAGGTGTGCTTGTTAAGGTCTCATTCCAGGTTGGCGTCTGGTTGGCGGCAAGGTTTTGCTGTACTCTATTGGGAGGGAGAGGCACGGGGAGCATTACATAATGCACTACGGGGCGGCTGGTGTTTCGGATAAAAGATGGGCCAGTCAGACCGGTCACTGACTGGTGGGCTCGAAACAGGAGAAGTGGAACCAGGAAAGCCTCGCAGTAGCAAGCCACACAAGGCTCAGCGCGCCACATGTGAATTTTTCTGCCGCCTTGGCGCATATTGTCCAGCTTCTTCTCTTTTTTTTCTTCTTCCTTCTTGACTTTGTCGATATATCACCAACCACGTTCCTCCTCCAACCTCACTTTTCAGTCCTCAGGGCGAGCCAACGCAAGGAACCCTGAACCTCATACCATCTTGTACGCTCGACTCGACTATCCTCAAATTCCAACAAGGACCAGCGACTGACTATCATCGATTAGAAACTTTCCTCAAAACCCTCGGTCTAATCTTCCACAATGTCTGAGAGTGCTGGTATGACCAATTCCCTCGCAGCTCTCCTGTAACCATTCGCTGATGTGTCGGTAGCCTGGCCCCTTGCCGATCAGAAGCTCGAGCAGGAGCTTCTCGATCTCGTTCAATCTTCTCAGCGTAAGTCATCTTCAACAAGACCCAATCCAGACCAATTCGCTAACGTACTTCACAGATGCCCGCCAGCTGAAGAAGGGAGCTAACGAAGCCACCAAGACACTGAACCGTGGTGTCTCTGAGCTCGTCATCCTCGCTGCTGACACTCAGCCCCTCGCCATTCTCCTCCACCTTCCTCTTCTCTGCGAGGACAAGAACGGTAAGCGCAATTGGTAATTCTGATGCAGTCTGGGTTGATTGCTAACTTGTGCTTGATAGTTCCCTACGTTTACGTTAGCAGCAAGATGCACCTCGGCCGTGCCTGTGGTGTCAGCCGTGCTGTCATCGCCGCCAGCATCACCAGCAACGACGCCAGCGAGCTCGCCGGCCAGATCCGAGCCATGCGCGACAAGGTTGAGCGCCTCGCTATCTAAGATACCCCACGACGAGGAGGAAAGCAAAAGATGGAAAACATTTTCGTCTATGGACAGACAGTCCTTGAACGACTGCTTGTTGCTACTCAGATTTGTTTCCGAATTCTTTATTTTCCGGGCTTATCTGGTGCAATAATTGGTGTATGACATTGAGTCCTCCTGGGTATAATAGTAATATCATCAACTGTCTATCTTGGCGAAATCAAAGATATCCAAAGCATCTCTAAAGCCCAATACGAAAACGAGCCAAAGTGGATATATCGAAATAATTTCCAAATGCGAATGCGCTGTCGGCGGTTATTTTGCGCTATGCTATAACGGATGCAGTGAAATGCCAGGTTATGACGTCTCCACCAGCCAAAAAATTGACTGAACTGATGCGGTCATATCAAGTGTAGTAATAGCCGCTCGATTCGATCCTTACCGTCTCTTGGGTGAGCTGCAGCTTGCCCCAGTTCCTCCTGCAGCTGCTTCGTAACTTGTCTCGTCTCTGTTTATTCTTTCTGAATCGCCAATCTCTGATCTTGCTTCCCTGTATTTACCTTTGAATGCCTGTCAAGTGCCGTCGATAAGAACTACGTGCCCCCGCACAATGCCATCCATTGCTCGCAAGCTCCTCATCTGCGCAGCGATAGATGGGCTTATAATACAGCCACTCTCTTCCAAAGGTCAACGACCTTTTCAGCCAGTTCGACTCAAGTATGGCGACGCGTCAATCTCTCATGTTCCGCGTGAACATGTCCCTGACGATTCTAAGCCAGATTCTTCGTTTGAAGCTTTTGGAGTGATTGGTATGACACTGGATGGCCCCGCGCTTATGACATGTAAGACTCGAGACTGACGGACGCGACAACTATAGGCATTATTGCAGTCTCGAAGTTAAATTATCTTGTTACCATCACACGGCGCCAACAAGTCGCACAAATCTGTGGCCACCCCATCTATGTCGTTACCGAAGTCGCCCTTACACCATGCACATCCAAGGCCAGCGCTGAAGAATCAATAAGGAGGACCTCAGGTCACCTATCACGCCAAGCACAAGACTCAGGGGACGAGAGTGATAGTAGCGATGAAGATGTTGAACTGCCCTCAAGAACGTCAGACGAAGTGGAAGACGCCGTCGTTGAGGACGACGATGCAAGACCTGGGTCAGCTAGAAGCCGCGTCGCTGAAGATGTCATTCGCAGGAGGGGCAGCTACGGGCGGTTTGCTCAACGTTGGTTCAGTCGAAGTGGCTGGACTCTAGATCAAAAGAGGAATATGGGCTTGAGCAATTCATCCAGCGTTCCAGAAAATAATGCTCCTGCGACTGAGACATCCTCAGAGGATGCGCAAGAGGGGCTCGATAAGGTCGTGCCCAATGAGCCCGAGTTATTGCCAAAACTTTTGCGAACCGCCCATGTTCTCTTTGGTTCATCGCGGAGTTTCTACTTCTCTTACGACGTCGACCTCACTCGCTCTCTCGGTGACGGATCCATACCCCCGAACAGCGAGAGCCCTCTCCACAGCCAGGCGGACGAGGTCTTCTTTTGGAACCGCAATCTCCTGAAACCTTTCCTATCAAGCGGACAAGATTCTCTGGCATTGCCGTTGATTCAAGGATTTGTTGGACAGAGGACCTTCGTCGTCGATAGCCAGCCTCCCCAGAGCGATGACACGGGCAAAGATTCCGTCGAACTCTCTAATCTTTCATCTTCGAAAGAGCTGCCAGCCTCTCCTCCAGTGCTGAGTTCCAGGGCATCCATAGACCTTCGGTCTTCCGAGAGAAAGTATCTAATCACTGTGATATCGCGCCGGTCCACAAAACGAGCTGGCTTACGGTATCTGCGTCGTGGCATTGATCAGGATGGTTTTGTTGCGAACATGGTTGAAACCGAACAGCTTCTTTCCACGCCAACGTGGGACCCCTCTTCAAAGACATACTCCTTTCTGCAGGTCAGGGGAAGTATTCCCCTATTCTTCACACAGTCGCCATATGCTTTCAAACCTACTCCTATTCGGCAACACTCTGAGGAGGCCAATCAAGCTGCGTGCCGCAGTCATTTCGAAAGTCTTTCCAGGAATTATGGCCAACTGCAGATAATCAATCTCGTCGAAAAACATGGGGTCGAGTCCATCATCGGCTCTGCATATGAGACAGCCGTAGAAGAAATCAACAAGAATGCCAGCGAAGATCAAAAGATACCTTTTGAATGGTTTGATTTCCATGCTGCTTGTAGAGGCATGAAGTTTGAGAATGTCAGCATGCTATTAGATCAGTTGAGGGACAAGATTGAGAGCTTTGGAAGCACTATTCAAGAGGACGGAAAGCAATTGGCTCGACAGCAAGGTGTCTTCCGAACCAACTGTATGGACTGCCTTGACCGAACCAACGTCTGCCAGAGCTCATTCGCAAAGCATATGCTGGAAGTTCAGCTCAAGGAGGAAGGCTTTGACATGAGTGTGCAGTCTGATCAAGTGACTGCTTGGTTCAACACCCTCTGGGCGGACAATGGCGACGCTGTGTCAAAACAATACGCATCGACAGCAGCGATGAAGGGCGACTACACAAGAACACGGAAGAGAGATTATCGTGGTGCGTTGAACGATTTGGGTCTCGGTCTTGCTAGATACTATAGTGGGTATGTATTCCAATTCCCCCTTCTTGAAGGCTCAACCTCTTGCTAACCAAGTCAGCATGGTCAACGACTACTTCAGTCAAGCAGCCATTGATTTCCTCCTCGGCAACGTAACAGCCAAAATCTTTGAAGAGTTTGAGAGCGACATGATGACGAAGGATCCAGCGGTATCCGTCATCAAGATGAGAGAACTAGCCGTCGAACTATGCCAGAAGCGAGTTATAGCCGATGAGAAGGAAGAGTTCCACGGCGGCTGGGTTCTCTTAAGCCCTACCACACCTGATGCTATCAAGTCCTGGCCACTCGAAGAGGTTGTTCTGTTGTTGACAGACGCAGCTCTCTATTCATGCCGCTTTGACTGGAAGTCTGACAAGGTATCCTCCTTTGAGCGTGTCGAGCTCGATAGCATCACAGGCATCAAGTACGGCACTTATATCACCTCCACCATCTCCCTTTCTCACATCGACGAGATTAGGAATGCCGGCTTTGTGGTGACATATAGCCCCGGCAAGAGTGACATTCGCCGTACCAACACGCGAACCTTTTCAAGTCGCGGCGAGATGACAGGTAAGGAGAATGCTGCCGAACAAAAGGATGCCAGCATTCCCGCCAGCCTAGCCAACTTGCTTACCAGCAAGTCCTCATCTTCTTCATCGCCGAGTGTTCGCCGCCTGGTCTTTAAGGCGACAAATGTGGATTCCTCTGTCGCTGTTGTGGGCGATGATGGTCCGAAGCAGACAGAGACTCAGCAGGTTTCCACCATTTGCGGTGACATTGAGCGACTGGTGCTGGAGAGACAGGTGGAGCATCCGGGCGAAGAGAGGAAAAGGCTTATCGAGACCGGCCCCATCATTTCTCTAGAGGAGGCCAAGAAGAACACAGGACTGTTAGAACAGCTAGGACACTCACTCAAGAAGATGGTGTGGGCTTGATAGATCCCGCCATCAAAGAAACGGCATAAACGATCTATCCCCACACAATACGGTATAAATAATGCAAACAATAGATATCACGATCATTCTCAAGCTGGTGTTTCTCAATCATGGCTTTTGTAAGCGGTACAAGTGCATCTGGTAGCGCATATTCTCGAGCGGGATTGGATAAGACAAGCCTTCTGGTAGACGAAACCAGATGGAGTCGTCCGACTGTAGCTTTTCCCAGGAGTATCCAGGCGTTTCAGTTTCTATGAGGGTGTGGTCGAGAAGCCATTGCATAGGATATCTCTTCTTCTCTTTACCCAAAGCTGCCTCAGAGTAGCTTCCCGGACTGTCCACTACGAGGACCAAGCTATCAGATGCCAGGACCTGCCCAAGATTCTTGAGAAACTTCGTCGTCTTGCCGATACCTGCTGTTGTGTACAGTTCATTGAGTGTGAAGAGAAGAGTCAAGATGATGGGTACTCTGCCATTGGCACATTGCGCTGAAAGAGAGTCCATGTCAAGATCCAGGACATCTCGCTGCACCACGTCCAGTGAAAGTTGATTATTTTCCAGCAGTGGGTGATTGGCCGCCTGGCGTGCCGTGGATGCATATTTTGAAATAGGTGGAGGATTGACGGTGCTGGATTCAAGAAGAGAAATGACCGTTGTCCATGGGCCCGAATCGAGAAGAGTTAGATGGCCATCTGTAGCAGTTGTCTGGAGATAAGAGGCAAAGGCAACGTGCTCAGCTGCACAGCCGCCTACAGACAACATTCGAAGAACGGCATTGCGTCGAGTAGAGGTGCTGTCAAGTTTGAGATCCTGAAAGATTTCTAGTTCAGTCCCTTCAGGCTTGTCATTTGCATCATCCTGGGTTGACCCGGCGATCTTTGTATATGATACTGAGCCCTCCTTGGTGATATTTTTGTTATCCTTCGTCTCTTCCTTAGCAATCAGAATCCCGTCAAGGTGCTTCTTGATACTGAGAAACACGGCAGCATAGCATAATGCTCGTGTGGGGCTCCATCGAGCAGCATAGGCTTCGAGGTAGTCCTCTCTCCCAAAAGCGGCAGCAAATTCTCGATTAAACAAAGCTTGCTTTATCTCCTGAAGCAGCCTTGAGAAATCATCTGAAGTCAGAACATTGTTGAAAGCACTCGAGAAGATATTGAGAAGACGCTGCTGCTGCTCTTCGCTTTGTAGAGCTGGTGAAGAGGTTTCTAGCGGGGCAGATGACTTCTTGGAGCTCTGCTTTGAACTCGAACTTTGCTTTGAAGGAGCAGCCTTTTTGGAGGGGCCCGTTTTCTTGACCATTTCTCTTCACTTGTATCTGGTACTAGCTCATTGGCTGTATTGATTCGGTGAGTAATACCAATATCGTCGATATCGTCGGTTGGTGGTTGAATTGATTGATATCAGGAAAAAAAGATCGGACATATTTTACCGATGAAATCGAAAACCCCCCCACTTTGGAATCATGGCTGCCCTAAGGTGACTAGTAGTACATAAGGTACTATGTAGATTTCCATTTCTTCCCTTGAGCGACGAGGATGGATGGGTATGGCGGTTCTTCGGGGTACGGAACGGCTGGATGTAGGTGGGATTGAATAATGCAGTGTCATGTTAGCAATCAATCTCGTGAATATTATCATATCACATTCTGTTTATCACAGTAAGTTGGTCTTGGTGGCCGGGCCTACGGAGAGTTTTAGAGCTCTTACATAGAAATATCATATCATTCATCAGCAGTTACGGCATCATTGATAAACATCAACATAGCTCGTCCTTTTCCTCATTGGTTTCAAAAGTGCTACCTCTACCACACCTTTCGGAAGATGAGAGAACAGCTTGGTTGTTTTCTCTCCGACTATCGCTCCCCATCATTTATTTACCCCCAAAGTCGGATATGTCACTAAGGTTAGCTCGCTCAACCAAATCATTTGCGGATAAAGCACATCATGACTTTTGATCCGACTTTGATCCTCTCATTAATAAGCGCACCTGTTGCGGAGGCAGACACAAAAAGTAACTCGTACGGCATGGTGTCCGAAACGACTCAACACCTGGGAGCGATCGGAGTTGCCCCTCTACAGTAGAACCCCTCGTGGGGGTGTGTTTTAGGCGTACCAATTCAATTGAGTCTCTCGAGTTTCTAGGTTGTCCGTCCGTCTGGCAACTTTTTGCCTATTTCTATTCTGGCCGGTTAATTTGATCAGACTCAGACGAAACGCGGGAGCTATTGCAGTTTTGGATTGAGGGAAATACATGGCGTGGAATCATTTGGCTAGTAAGCGGCGCCAATATCTGGTGTTTATTACCTTGCCTTACCTGACCTTACTTGCAACCACCTCACTGTGGCTGACATGAAAATTTGATATGGCCAAGAATCGCCAACAAAAGCGACAATGTATGGTTGAGAAGAATCTTTCTGGCAATGACGAAGTGGCCAAATCGACGTCACAGCAGCGAGGATTTGTTCCAATGGCCACTTTAAAGTACAAGTGCCGCTGTCAACTATGGAGATCCATCCATTGGAAGCCATGGGATTCATGCTGATGAAATAGGGTCCACAAGTGAGGACCTCCCAAGATCAACGAAGTTGCTGGGAGCCAAATTATTGGGTCTATCCTGAGCACGTAGTAGATCTGGTGCTTATGAATGGGCTTTAGGGAAATCAGAGCCGTGACTAAGTCTAATTGAATTGCATTAGTATTCATTATCAAGCCAAGCCTCAGCCCGTGTCAACAGTTCTCAAGAGAGGAATCAAGTTGAGGTGCAAGCTGCAGTTACAGCGGGGAGGGGCACCCTGAGCACCCTAGGCGCCCTGGCGTCACTGGTTTATCCTCCCCTGCAGCCCAAAACTGTCCCCCACCGGGGACTCCACTCGGCGTGTCGCCGGCCACACTGACCTCGTTTCGGCGGAGGGAGCGGAGGGAGCGGACGCTCTGTATTTGGTGAGCTTGAATCTGAGTTTGGGTCATGATTCTCAAGGTGAAGATGGCGGCTTACCTATTTGGGGTGGCTGATTCAACCAAGTACAGTACATAAGGCATGCAGCAGACAATGAAACTTTTGACGTCTTGGGTAGAGCTTCGGCCGCCCAAGGTGGGCATTAGACATCCATCATGAGGGGAGTGAGGCGAGACTACAGTCACCATGAGCAGCCTCACTATTCTTCTCAGTTGAGCTGAAAAGCGTCAAGAGAGCCGAATACCTTGAACTTTAAGATCCAATGCTATCGGTATCATCGTATATCGTAGGAGACCTCAATCATTAGTTAGATACCTTATGTACTATACCTCATTTCGTATCATATAGCAACACCGCGGGATATCGCCCGGTCGAATTTTCTCAAGGCTGGCAGAGAAAAATGGAGACCACTAAACAATTCATGACACGACCCCTCCACCCTCCACTGTAAAGGTAAGGTAGGTACTAGGTAGCGTAGAGCGAAGAGCGTCGTAGGTAGACGTCAGACGTGAGGTAAGGTACCTAAGGTAAGGCAAGGCAAGGTGCTGGCTCCGTTTATCTTTCCGTCATTCTACCTCACCCTCTCTTTCTTCTTTTTTTTTCCCTCCTTTCCTCTTCTTTTCTTCTCCTCCATACAACCAAATACTCATATACATATTCAAAATGGGTTACGGCGAGATTGATCAGAAGGCCATCAACACCATCCGTGTCCTTGCGGTAAGCTCCCCTCCCTTTTGCTTTGCTTTACTTTGCTCTCGTTTCTCTTGGGCTCTGCGCAGCTGAATTGGCTTTTACCCCGCCACGGCTGCCCCGCCATTTTACCATGAGAGATGAGACACGAGACGCGCAACAATGTGATGAGGACAATATTCTCCAGAGAACTCTATTACTTGGCCTCATGGCAGTTGCACTTGTATTTGCTGTGTTCCATTGAGCCCGCCAGCCTCTCAATACCCTCACTATGAACCTCCAGAACAACATGAGTACTAACGAGCTGTCAACAGGCCGATGCGACCGCTCACAGCAACTCTGGACACCCTGGTGCTCCCATGTGAGTTTCACCACCCTTCGATGAGCTGAGCGATGAGAACAACACACTGACATTGTCGTCACAGGGGAATGGCCCCAGTTGCCCACGTCCTGTTCAACAAGTTCCTCAACTTCAACCCCAAGAACCCCGACTGGTTGAACCGTGACCGCTTCGTCCTCTCGTAAGTTTTGTCTTGATTTACACATTACGAATGCGCCCATGACTGACTATTTTGCGCCTCAGCAACGGACACGGCTGCATGCTTCAGTATGCTCTCCTCCACCTTTTCGGTTACGATCTCAGCATCGATGACCTGAAGGCTTTCCGAGTATGTAGCTCACTCTCTGGCTCTAACCCTTGCTTGCTCACACATTCCTCAGTCCGTCGACAGCCGCACTCCCGGTCATCCCGAGGCCCACGACACTCCCGGTGTTGAGGTCACCACTGGCCCTCTCGGCCAGGGTATCTCCAACGCTGTTGGTCTAGCCATTGCCCAGGCTCATACCGGAGCTGTCTTCAACAAGGACGGTTTCCCTCTTGTCAACAACTACACTTACACTTTCCTCGGCGATGGCTGCTTGATGGAGGGTGTCTCCAGCGAGGCCTCCTCTCTGGCTGGTCACCTCCAGCTTGGCAACCTCATTGCCATCTGGGACGACAACAAGATCACCATTGACGGTGACACTGCTGTGGCTTTCACTGAGGATGTCCCTAAGCGATACGAGGCCTACGGCTGGCACGTCGTCAAGGTCGACGATGGTGACCACGATCTTGCCGGCATCGAGGCTGCCATTAAGGAGGCTCAATCCGTCACTGACAAGCCTACCCTTATTCAGCTCCGAACCACCATTGGTTTCGGTTCCAAGAACCAGGGCACCCACGGTGTCCACGGCTCTCCCCTCAAGGCCGACGATATCAAGCAGCTCAAGGAGAAGTGGGGCTTCAACCCCGACGAGAGCTTCGCTGTTCCCCAGGAAGTCTATGACTTCTACGGCAAGCGATCTTCTGAGGGTGCCGCTCGCGAGCAGGAGTGGAACCAGCTCTTTGCCAAGTACAAGGAGCAGTACCCCAAGGAGCACGCCGACCTCGTCCGCCGCATGTCTGGCGATCTTCCCGAGGGCTGGGAGAAGAGCCTCCCCGTCTACACCCCCTCCGACCCCGCCATTGCCTCGCGAAAGCTCTCCGAGACCGTCCTCAGCAAGGTCGAGAGCGTCATTCCCGAGCTCTTCGGTGGTTCCGCCGATTTGACTGGCTCTAACCTGACCCGATGGAAGGAGGCTGTCGACTTCCAGCCCAAGTCCACTGGTCTCGGTGACTACTCTGGCCGATATGTCCGCTACGGTGTCCGTGAGCACGGCATGGGTGCCATCCTCAACGGTCTCGCTGCGTACGGCACCATCCTGCCCTACTCCGGTACCTTCTTGAACTTCGTCTCATACGCTGCCGGTTCCGTCCGTCTGTCCGCTCTCTCTCGCGTTCGCACCATCTGGGTTGCCACCCACGACTCTATTGGTCTTGGTGAGGATGGTCCTACTCACCAGCCTATTGAGACTCTTGCCCACTTCCGCGCTCTCCCCAACTGTCTTGTCTGGCGACCTGCCGACGGTAACGAGACCAGCGGTGCTTACTACGTCTGCTTGACCTCCAAGCACTCCCCTAGCATCATTGCTCTGTCTCGACAGAACCTTCCTCAACTCGAGGGCTCTACTATCGAGAAGGCCGCCAAGGGTGGTTATGTCCTGCGTGAAGTCGAGGGTGCCGACATCACCCTGGTTGCCACCGGTTCCGAGGTTTCCATTGCTGTCGATGCTGCCAAGTATCTCCAGGATAACAAGGGCATCAAGGCCCGTATCGTCTCCATGCCCTGCTTCGAGGCTTTCGATCTCCAGGACAAGGAGTACCGCTTGTCCGTCCTTCCCGACGGCATTCCTTCTCTGTCCATTGAAGTCATGAGCACCATGGGCTGGGAGCGTTACACTCACGAGCAGTTCGGTATCAACCGATTCGGTGCTTCTGGTGCCTACAAGGATGTCTACAAGGCAAGTTTGATCGATGATTGTTTACACACGATAGAATATGTGACTAACCCCTATTATAGAAGTTCGAGTTCACCCCTGAGGGCATTGCCAAGCGCGCCGTCGCCACCATCGACTTCTGGAAGGACGTCCCCAACATCCGATCCCCCATCAACCGTGCTTTCCAGCAGATCATCTAGATCAAAGATAATAACGAATAAAAAGAAACGAAGGATAAGAATAAAAACACCGGGAAGATACCAGCCCGGACAGAATGATTATGCAAGTGACGACGATGGACTTTGGAGCAAGGCTTTGTGGATTTATAGCAACTTAGACACGTACTACAAGATGAAACTGAATCTTTTAGAACAAAGAACTTGACTTAAGTGAGCCATTTCGTGCTGTGATATGCTGTGTGGTATCTGCCTGCCATGGGATTCTATCATCTATGTAGTCAAGACAGCTTTTACTGGCATGAACTCATGATCCCAAATGTCAAATCATGCGATTGCGTGTCCACCCCATACCATCTTCCTCGAAGACGGTTTTCTTGTGTGAATGCATTCTCCGTAAACCCAGACTCTCATGACTTTTCTCCGTCTCATCAGAGAACAAGATGACAATCCGAGACGCCAAAACTTTTATCCCGTCATTGCTAAGCACTTTTATGTCGTTCTCTCACTTTGATTCGTGGTATCGCATCGCATCGCATCGCATTATATCGCTTCGTAAATGTAATTCGTCATATCATGTGAACGACAAGCACCCCAGCTGGTGGGTGTTTCTGCAGCCTGATCACTCTGGCCCCTCGTCGTTTGGGCGCTCTTGACTACTCTCAGCAGCCCACTCCCTTTGGAATTCTCTTCCCACGCGCTCTAGCCTTGTTGATGCGCGGCGGGCTTCTCTCGCTTCATCTGCGGACCCTGCGACGACCACACCAACGAGCAACGGGGCCGCATCCTCGGATCGCGGATCGTCATGGGACGGCGCAGGTTCAGACCGAGGTGCTCTAGAGTCGGGGCCGTGACTTGACCCAGGCGCTGAACCCGGGCGGCTAGAGGCGGTCGCGGCAGCGTTGTTGGTAGCTGCATCGACAGCGTCGCGAGGATCAAGATATGAGTGTATTACGACAGGCCCACGATCAGGGTACTCAACCATGAGACGTTGGGGGCGACCGAGACCGAGTCGCTGAGCGGCGGTCTGGGAGGAGAGGGCGCTTGAGGTAAGAGCTGTGAGGGATTCGAGGTGTGATTGCGACGAGGCCGAGGTGATGAGCGGGGTGAGGGTGACGTCGGAGAGATGGAGAGAGAGGGTGGGGTGTTGCGATGGGAGGTTGGCCATGATGATAATGGCGAGGGCCAAAGCTGGCAGTTTCCGGGAGAGATCGACTGACTATGAAAGTTGAGGATATTCGGCGCAAAGGGAGTTGGGCGCAAGAGGAATGGATATTGTTGAGAGAGCGAGAGAGTGAGTGTGGAGGGGGGTTTAGAGAATTAGGTCATGAGCAGACGATCCGCTGTTGGAGACAAGACGGTCTTTGGGCAATGAGTGACAACTCGACAAGGGAGCTTTTTGGCGCCTTCGCTTGGGGCTTGGCTAAGGTGGCACAGGCTGGAACCCCGCTGTGAACTCGGCTCTGTCACTCCCCTGCCTCGAAGAAGCAAGAAAACCTCTGACGATGAACCAAGGTGCCAAAAATCCCTAATCTAAGCCCTCCTAAATCTATACCAAGTTATACTAAACTTACCTGGGTCTTTTTGTCATCAGAATAGACGTCTTAAGTTTTCTTGCCTCCCCTCTGACTCCTACCAACGTTGCAGCGGGATCCACTGGAGATAAACGCAGGGTTGTTGTGAGGAGGGGAAGCTGTTCATGATAAGGTTGGATCTTTTCGAGTTTCTGATATCAATTGGTCTCATGAACTTGCGAGATAAGTCGGGAGCTATAGTATATCTATACTTATCAGTCTACGTTATGTAATACTAGAAATGAGCCTTTATGGGGGTGATTTCATCAGCTTCAAACCCCGATATCATGATATAGCAGAGCAAGTTCCCCCGCCTTTCTAGGTATCCATTCCCCACTGAAGCATTGATAGTGAATTTAAACGGCCGAGGCCACGGAGCTCAAAGCAACCTAACTACCTTACCTTATACCGCCGTTTTCCACCAGCTTAGGCCAGATTCAGACAGCTAGAAGGACTACATCACAGTCTGTGTGGGGAGAATGAGAAGCGCGACTTTCCCATTGTGACCCAATTGCGATTGCGGCACTTCTCCTCCTAAAAAAGAATATCACAGAAGGAGAGCTTCCCTTCACCCCGGATTGAGGCTAAGATAGAGGGGGGATGGCGTCAGACGGCGTTATGCCGTGATTGGTTCTTGAAGAGGATGGTTGAAATCGTGGGGTACAGTTAGATGCCAGGGTTTCTGACGATGGTTCCATTGCTTGGCTTCCTAGTTTGGGCCGGACTGGACTGAGGTGAACTGCAGAGGGGGATTTGTGGGTTGAAAAGTAACATATGCCTCATGTGGTGGATATTCGTATACATTCTCGGACTATCAGTAGGTGTAATGAGATAGAACTGATTGTATTCAGGTCACGTTCCTTCTTTGCCGTGTGGCTGTAGGATGAGGGTAGCTTCCCTGCATTATCTGACTAACAACGAGAGCAAATATAACCCCACGATGGTTGAAGATAAGAGACAGAAGAGTGAGTCTCAGTGTTGACACATGATACACAATCGCCACGAAGTTTTCTTGCTAAGAAGACATTGGCATTCTTGCTGGTGATATATTTCTATTGCTTGTTTGCTCAATTGCGTGCCTTTTTACTATATTTCACAAATAACGGCCCAGGTCTAGCAAAAATGATCGTAGCGTCCGTATTGAATGACTACATATGAGTCTCTGTCTTTTTTTTTTTTCTCCTTTGGACAATATTCCCGCTCTTTTGGAGGTATATAGTTTCCCTGTTCTTCCAGAGTTTACATTATCTTGGAGGTCACAGTGAGGTACGAAGTCCCCTGAGAAGACCAATGCACGACACCAAGAAGTATCAACCTCGCCTCACCTACATAGTTCAACTCTTGGCCTTGGCCATCTCATGGTTAGCCGAGACCTCTCTTCAGTCGCCATTAAATGTTAACATGCCGTCGAACGTTGCGCTGGAGCTTGCAAGATCAACAAGGCGTCTTTCCTACTGTCGCTTCAAACGGCGAGACCATGGTACAGCTCACGGGAGGCTTGTCACTGTGGTGTGTACAGACACGTTCTATATATAGCATCTGAAAATTGCTTCTTAAGTTTCTCTTGAGTAGCCAAAACAGATATGCTTTAGTGTTAGTCTGGGTTGCTCCTCTCTGCTTTCCAGTATGACAGAATACACTTTCTTTAGCAAGGCTTGCTATTTCAGTTATTTTATGTGACTTCATGTGGCTACCTAATTCTTTGTGAGAATACTTTCTTGATGAGTACTTAGTGCAACCAGGATATTAGTGAAACACAACAAGGGGTTATGGTTAATTGATACCTGGATCTATGATCCCCAGGTTGATCTCCCGGCTACTCTGGTTCTTGTTCTTGTTCTTGTTCTTTTTCTTCTGGTCCCCTTCGAGGCAACTCTTCACTCTCTTGTTCTTCGATTTGGATTCTCTCAGACTTTCTACGTCGGACTCACACAGCATGATAGTGAAGAGCTGTTCACTACGACATTTTCTACCAAGTTCTTCATAGTCTCGAGAAGGTATTTGACATCATACATGACATAACTCGGGGAAAACGTTTAGGTTTCCAGTTGATTTGTAGGTTTTCTTTCCTTTGTTACAACGAAGTATCAAAGGCCAAAATGAACCTTGGTATAAGGAACTGGAGCACTAGACTCTTCCAAAAACTTACCTACTAAGACAGGCTGTCGTGTTTTAGATGTACAGTCAACCACTTGTCTTTTAAAGTCCGATTCGGTATTTTCACCAGGTATTGCAAATAACATATTCGAAAAATGCTAAATGTTGTACATGTGCAGGATCTACTCTCTGCATGTCTGAGGACCTTACTTCAAGACTCAAGGTAGTTGAGTCGAAAGATGTACAAGCTCAACCTTTAGCTGATTGCTTGATAACGCCATGATGTACCTTGGTGTTACATATACCCTGTACCAAGGGACCGCCCAATGAGTGTTGAGCAATGCAATGAATACAATAGTGAGCTTGAAGCTCGAAGTGAGACATATGATGAGTTTTTAGTAACCCATATTGCGATCTCGGCATATAATCAATCAGGGTCTGTAATTGTTGCATAACTGCCCGATTCGTACAGAATATGCACAACAATTGAAACGGACAATGGTAGATCATGCTGATTGGTCTGGTCCAACGTCTTGAACGTGAGAATGAGAAACTGTGCAGCTGGACCGCCTTATCTTGGGAGCTGGCGTGGGGCAACCAAACAACACCAAGCTACCTTACCTTACCTTACTGTACCTAGTCACAAAAATAATGGGAGAGATTTCTCCTGAGGCAGTGTGGCCCGTAGCTGCGTTTTACATTCGCAAAAGAGTCAGAGCAAATATGGCATCCTAAAGGCGACGCAGAGACCAAATACAGACTGTCATCATGTGATGGTTGTTCGTCCAATGCTATGGTATCCTGCGGTGCACCAGTAAGGCCGTGTCGTGAGTTGTGAGTCGCGTAATGCGTAGAGTTGAGCCTCCAGTTGCAGATAAAGCGGGACGAGTGTAGTGGTGAGTTTGGTGTGTTGCCCAGTAACATGTGTTGAAGTTTCGGAATAGGAATGAAAGTAGGCTCGGTGGGTCCAAGTCCTACCGAATCTCAAGCTGTTCGTAAGATGTCTCTGTTCCTGATGTTGATGCTGTGGTGATTTGAATCAAGCTGATCGTGTTGGATAGACGATAGTTGTCAGGATCCATACATTTTGCAGTAGTGGAGACCGCTTCAATGGAAGCTCTCACCTCAAATGTTTTTTGCTGAGTATACTGTGGAGGCCTACCCTAAAGTTAGCTGGTGGGGTATCTGAGGAAGACACTGGTCTGACATGTCACCGTACACCACAGAGTAGCCTGTGTGGTACTTCGGCTCTTGAAAAGCCCATCAGCTCAGTAACAATAGCTCCCTCCACGGCACCTAATAATCGGCGTATGAGTTGCCTGTCTCTGGGGCTGGGCCTCATCGACTGGGGAGACCCATGCTACCAGGACCTGACCCAGCGGATGGATTCTGGCGATCCGATTTACAGTGCCTTAGCAAATCTTCTCTTGGACTGGACAGCCCAGCCCAGCCCAGACCAGCCAGACCATTCATCCATACCTTACAGGGACAGGACAGAAGTCATCACCACCACCAACCGAACTACCTCTAGGTTATTCATCCGCCATCCTCTAGGTTACTTGCTGTAGATTTACATTACACTTCCCTTCCCTTCCCTTTTCTCCCTCTCCCTCTTTTTCCCTCCTCCACCTCCACATCCTCCGCACGCCGCCTCTTCCTCCTCGTCCGGCTTCAAGTTCCCTGTCCCGTTTGGTCTGGCCTCGACTCGACTCGACTCGACTCACTCTCCATCCACGACGTAGCCCGTGCTTGCAGTTTTTTTTTTACTACTACAACTGCAACCATTCGCGGCTGAGAGCTGACAACGATTCCCATCTCTTGTCATTCCCCCCTCTCGTTTTCGATCGGTTCCTTCGTCTAGCGTCTGCTTGCTTGTTGCACTTTTTTGTCCGTTACGACTTATTTTCATCTATTATCTGGCTTCTGGTTTATTTTCATCTTCTGCCGCCGGCCGGTTCTGATTTCCCTCGGCGTATCAACCACTCATCGATCGTTTCGTCATCCCACCAATTCTATCGCCTTCCCTCTCCGGCCTCCGTCGCCGTATGACCCGCGAACCCCGTCGCATCCATATCATCGAGTCTCCGAAGCCCCCTCTGTCGGCTCCTCCGTCTCCTTCACCGCTGCGCAATCATGGCTTCCGCTGTTCCTCGACGTAGGAAGCTTATCGGTCAACGTCGCCGTGTTGAGGACGAGGGCGAAGACGAGGCTGGCCCGGAGACCCTCGACCTCGATGACGATTCCATCACCGACGGCTCCCTGACAGATGACAATGATCCTGCAGATGATAGCGATACCAGCAACATTGACGAGGCCTCGCCAACGTCCCCGAATGCGAGGAGGAAGGTCAATGGCGCTGCCAAGCATGCCGGCCATAGCCATAAGTCGGGGTCCGGTTCCGGCCCCGGCCAGAATGGCAAGCCTGTTACTGATACGGACGTGATGCTGCACGGTTTGTCCATCACAGACCAATCTCCCCCCGTTCAGGAGATGCATTTTGACGAGGTCGTTGCCCCGTCACCCAGCAAGTCTCCTGCTGCCCCCATAGTAGTGAGCTCAGCATCCGCCAGGCCACCTGCTGCTCCTGCAAACAGACGTCGACAAGAGCACGAAGATTACAAACGCAAGAGAGATGAGGACCCGGCTTTCGTTCCCAACCGTGGTGCCTTCTTCATGCATGACCACAGACATGCTGGGCCCGCAGCAAATGGATTTCGTCCCTTTGGACGAGGTCGAGGTGGCCGTGGTGGTATTGGAGGACCTTTTGCTCCCATCAAGTATGATAATGCCCTCCCCTTCTTACTTCTTCCATTTACTAATAGGCATAGCCAATTGCACCAGCCTGTAGACCCGACGACCAACTCTCCATGGACACATGATATGCACGACGCCGTCGTAGAGCCCGCACCTCCAGCACGCCCTCGACACATGGTAGAACAGGAGGGCCCAGCCAACGGAAATGGATTCATTCCGACATGTGATCCAAATCCGACTCCAATCAACCGGACTCTTTCCACTGAGAAGCATATCGGCAATGCACAGGTCCGGGTGTCCCTTCCGTCTATGAAAGAACCGGTTGTCATTCCACGTCTTGCCGTGAAACAGTATACCAAGCTCCCCGATCATCGGCCACCTCTGCGTCGGGACAAACCCGTCCGTATCTCGCTACCCAACAATCCTCCTCGATATATATACCCTGCCGCTGACAGATCTTTCATCTTCATCCCCCGGGCTATGCGGCCCAACCAGCAGCGAATGCGAGGAAAACCTCGTTCTGGCTTTGGTTCTATGGGTGGCTTCTCGAGACGAACAAGTGTTTTTGGGGGTAGTTATTATGGCAGCGTGTATTCTCCTAGTGTGGCCATGAGCAGGCGGTCTTCCATCGTGGACCGTGATTACATGTTTTCCCCTACAGGCTCCGTTATCTCACGGCCCCCCATCCCTGTAGAGAATACCCGGCCGGTTGTTCGACTACCTCCTGCTCCTCGGCCGGAAATGCCAATGAACACAATGGTTCCGCCAATGGCTGCTCCAGCTTCTGCTTATGGGCCAGCCGATCCTCCCTTTAGTGTCGAGAGACCTCACGCACTGGAGACATCAATCAACGATCTGCCTCCACCTCAGACATATCCCCTTCCTCAAAAGCCTGCCTTCCAGGAGAACCGGCCCACCTCGGCTCTGCCCATGCATCAGCCTCGTCCACAGAAGAACATATCTGTTGCTGATATCGAGTCACCTACCTTAACACAAGGTCCCCAGGCTTACCAGCAGGCCTTCCACCAACAGGTGCCTATTCAAATGGCTAATGGCCTGTCTCAAGAATCACATACTCGCCAGCCGTCTTATCCATCTCAGCATTCTACTGGTACACCTTTATCTCAGATTCCTGAGAGAGCCATTCATGCTGCTCCTTTCCAGCCAAACACTTATGGCCAGCAACCTTACTACAACCAGCAGCCATATCAAGCGCAGCCTCAGCAGGGATACTATTACTCACCCAACTACAACACTCCCAATATGGGACCGTCCAGTACTGCACCTGCATTTGTGCCCAGCCAGCCAGGTCCTCCTGGTAGCTTCACGCCTCAGAATCAGCCCGAGCAACCTGTGATGTCTAACAACGGCCCACCCCCTGCTCCAGGGTCCAGTCTGGTGGTTCAAGAAGCGAATGGGATGGTTTACTACTTCGATGCGTCACAGCTGCCGCCGGTTACCAATTATTCTGGCTACCCTGCGCCTCAAGGCTACCAACCCAGTGTCATGGGTATGGGTGGCATGGTGACACCCAGCCCTGACGGCTTCTATTATCCTCAACAGACATCCGGCATGGTCTACTATCCGCAGTAGAACTGGGGCGTACCCGGATACCCTTTCTTCACTTGTCCAAACGCTTTCTACTTGTATCCGATTTAATAGCTACAATTACGACTTTATACCTACCAAAACTCAAAAGTATCTGCTACTCTACAACAAAAGCCTTACAGAGGCAAACACAAGAACCAGGAGCATAGTTGGAGGATGGATGGAGGGGGGGAAGAAATTACCACTTTGATGTCAAGTCATTCATTGGGGGTTAAGTTCATGCCTTGAAGCGTGACTTTATTTTGTTTGAATGGTTCCGGTTGAGGGGACAAGATGGGTGCATTACTATATATCTTAACTCTACGAACTCGACATCATTACCTGGAATGGATCAACAGATGGGAGTTGAATGGGCAAGAGTATCCTGATTGGTGTTTTTTTCTATTGTTGGGAGATGGAGTTTGTCCTGGCCAAGGATATTGGAAGGAGGAGGATGAGCAAGAGTTGGACGGGAGGTTTTTGGGGGGGGGGGGGCTGAATTGCTACTGGTTATCCTCTCTGCCTAGCAATTCATTTATTCTCCCCATCCACAGCTGTATGTTTTGTGCCTGACGGTTACGCATGGTTTCGTGTTTTCATGGCAATGGTGTTTGGTGTCCATGGCATATTATATACCTGATTCCGTCTGCTGTTGGTCTTGATGACATTGTTGATTGGCAATGGAAAACTATCGTGATATCGAAGATGTATCGAATCAACTCACGAGGAGTGCCCTATGCAATCCACTTATGGTGAAAAATAGCTCAATGAAGTAAACCATATCAACATCTTGGCCAGATAGATCAAGGCAACACAGCAAAAATAACACACTAGCTTCTATCTCCTCCGGGCAGAATAGACTCTGTTTTTTCCTGTAGCCAATACATACTCTCAATAATTACGCCATTAATTATATGGTTTATCCACGGGGCAACCGACTTTATTCTCACAGGTATATAATAGGTGGTGGTGAAATATAGTGCTCTGCTACTATATCGGGGCAGATGCCAATCTGCTCATTACCTCAGCCAAACAGACGAAACCTTGATGCAACGGGGCTCGCATGGATGTTATGGAGGGGAATTAGGTGCTTCTCCACCTCACTAAGCGGAGAGCTGTACGAATATGTACTGTCATGTCAGTTGTAAAGACTCGAAGCATTGGCCAACCAGCCGGGCTTCTCCACGTTCACCTTACGGGCACATGTAAAGCCAAGGAGACCAAGGCCAACCAAATTGAGATCCAGATAACTGCCAAGGCTCCAATGACCTCTTAATATCTCCAATTGTGGCATAATTGAATGGCTTGGACAGAAGATGTCATGCTTTTATAAACATCATTGAGATTGGTTCGTAGACGAAAGCGAGTTAAAATCATGCCATGGTAGAGGAACAAAGAGCTGATGTGGAAATAAGAAGTAAACAAGAATGTGGGGATATGATGATGGGGTAATGAAGTCACGAGTTGTCAATACGTGCATACCAGCTAGTCTATTCTAGTGTAGCTTCTTTTGTCGATTCTGATAGCTTGACAGGTGGATGCCATTGTCAATGCAGTACCTCGGAGCCATACTCAAGTCGGCCTTCAACGACTCATGCAATTACACCTGTGCAAGCCCATCCAAGGACTGACCGCGTAGCCGGGTAAGCTGCATGGAGCTCTCCCTTAGCTCAGATCTCTGAGGTCCACGCAAGACGATTTTGGTTTGGAGAGGCGGGGGAGAGAAGAGGAAATCTAAGAAGAGAGGGCGGAATATGCGTGATACCGTGAAACGTTTGTTGTGAGCCTCCGAGCCGTAAATAGTTGATGAGTTGACTGTACTGGTCAATTGGAGAGCTACACGATCCAGAGGCTGGAGGTGAGCTTGATCTTGATAAGCCATAACTCAGGTACTAAGATGCAGATGATGTTTGATCATCAAGGGACACAAAGTACCGTATGAGTCGGGAATGTCATTAGCCCCGGCCTGGGATGAGAGCTTGTGATGCGCAGAGTCCTAGGCAAGGTACAAGCTCGCTTTGTGAGTGGATCAAGTGCAAGTGTATCTGGCCCGGATGATCTCTCCCTCGTGTTATTTCTTCACCTTGAATCGAAGGGTACACTTTTTTTCCGATAGTCGTGTTTCACTGAACAACCGTATCAAACAACAAGATTGAGTTCAGGTAAACCGCCGAGGTTGAAGGTTTTCGAGGAGGCGACAACCTCTAGGCGACAATGAGCACGCGTAGCTCTGAGACCTGATAGAGACAGATAACACCCTCTCTGCCTAGACGGCGAATGAGGTGCTGCATTTTGGTCGAACAGGCTCGATCCCGAGACTGACAAACGAGCCAGGCTGACCAACAAGCTTGTTTGGCCACCTCATGGCTGCGTTTGAGTTCTAGTGTGTTCCAGTTTCTCAACTGATCCAGGTCTGTGGTTCTAGTATGACCTCTTCATCTTGATATTTTAAAAAAGAGGACTTTGAAACCAGGTATTGGTAAGCCGAGAGAATTCCGACTTCTGCCCGCCATGGAATAAACAGCAAGCATCACTTCAGCTACCCGGCCATGTTGACTTGGCTTGGAAGTGGGGAGCTTGCTCTCTTCAGGACCCCAAGCTTCAAGACCCAGAGACCATCGTGACCTTTGACCCTGAGTCCGTGACCTACGAGCATCCAATAGAGTCAGTTCACGGCGGCGTCGGTGAGGTAAAAGCGGCATTGCGTATGCGTCGAGGTGTTTGCCGTCATGTGGTACCTGACCACAGATATCGTCTGGGGTTAGAGCAGGGCGTCAACGAGGCTCTTCAGGCATTTGCCCTATCAGGAATCAAGTATCAGACTCCGGCCCCTCTCTCTCAGAGTGCAGACGCCACTCCACAGAGGGCCCCGCTCTCCACTCTTTTCAATCCGGGGGAGTTTTAGAGAGCCAAGGGGACGGGATTGCTGTGTCTAGTCCAAGTACCTTGTGTTAGACACGATAGAGTACTAAGGCGAGGACTTCTATCTGAGGAAAAGAGAAGATACTGTACTGTTGGCTACGGCCAGTGCCAAATAAATCTCGAGAGGCTGTTGAATTGAATGAACCGAGCAGCCACTGTTGCTGTAACATAAACCTCTGGATGAAAATATTATTATGATAGAGTTTATCATGAAAGGTTCCCCATACATACTCACCATGTACCTTAGTCGTGTATCAACACCAACCACCCCTTGTCCATCGATCACAGGACACATGGAAAAAAGAAAAAGTTGACGGATAGCTGCCTTATTCGAATAGAATTCCTTCCAATTGACCTCAGTGTCAATATCTGACAGGGCTTGTGGTTGTGGTTACACAGCAAAAGACGAAACAGAGCCCCAGTGAATGAATCACTCTCCTCGAAATTCGGTAATCCATCCATGACTGGAACAAGATACGCTCGCCCAGAAACTGTGTGTATGCTGGTCCTACCAGTACATTTTAATCCTCACGACTCACGGTACCCATCTCTATCTGGTCTGGCTGAGACCTCGTCATCATCAGTATTGCCTGCATTGGATCTTTGCCTTTTGCCTTTTGCCTTTTGCCCCAAGGGTTGCGTCTATCGCCATCCGTCCACTGACGGCCTCACATCATCCTTCTAGTCATGCACTAACACCGAAAAAGTACCCCGATCGACCGACCCCTCAGTACCGAAGACAGCCCAGCCCAGCCCGGGTCATCCCCCGTCAGCTGGTGCAGGGAGTTTTCCAGTTTCCAATCGCTACGAGTTACGGTGCTATTCGCCTGGCGCTACAGCCACGCTACCTCGGACTCACCAAAAGCCATCGCGGCTTGCCGTGGCATGACAGTGTAGCCTCAAGGTATCTTTCTTTGGTAATGTGTCACTGAGACTGCGGCCAGAGTTAGTTCCCAAGGTAAAAGTATCCTCCCGTCAGTGTCTACCTGAAATCCCGGGCATCAGTAATTCGCAGCACACCCCCTGCAGGCATCCGAGGCACCTCACCTTACCTACCTACAGGCAGCTCAGGACCCGCGTACAGTGGTACAGTGGAAGCTTCTCTTCTTACTTCTTCCTTATCCTCTCCTCTTCTCTTCTTTTCTTCCATCAATCTCACCCTCTTCTCCTCCTTTTAAAACACTTGCGCCTTCCTATCATCAGGCGACCCTCTCTATTATCGCCCAACATAGTTTATTTCTCAGAGCGTCTGTTGCCGATTTCACGACGGGTGACGACCCTCTTGTCACCGCCGATTGCTTATCTCGACCACCGATAACAGCATTAACATACTCGTCACCGCCCCAGGCTACCATATGTAAGGCTCCACCATCCGCAGTCGTCATTCTTCCTTTCTCTTCATCATCCTCGTCCTTCGCGGATCGAGTACGACGAGAATAAACTGGGATCCTAACATCCTTTTCTTTTAGCAGCCTTCCTGGAAACATTGCCAAAATGGCTTCCACCACGCACAACGCTGGTCTGGACCATGCCATCACCGTCAAGGTGATGTTCGAGGGCATCACTCGTCGCACCAAGATGCCTCTTCGGGATATGGTCCCAAGAACTCTTGAATCTAATGTATGTTGACAAATACTGCTCTCGCGTTGAGCAGTTCCAGAGTTTTCGCCATCCTACGTCGCCATCTTACCATGGAGACCAAAGTTGGCGGTTCAATAATTAATTAAGCAACAACTAACACGCTATCAGATCCGTACATTCTTGCACATTCCCGGAGATGCCCAAGTCGCCTTTGAGCGATACTCCGATTCTGCTGCGTCATATGTCCTTCTTGAGGCTGAAAACATCCCCATCTACAAGCAACTCTACCGCGCCGCCAAGGCAAAGTCTAAGCTCAAGATTCGTGTCACCATCAAAGAACAGCCCAAGGTTACAGTACCTAAGCCTGTCACCGTCGAAGATGAGCTTGAAACCGCCGCATTCAGTTCTTCTCCTATGAGCATGGACGAGGCTCCCAAAGAAGCTCACGAGACCTCCGAAGAGCCAAGCCCTGCACCCACTCCCGCTGCTGAGGCTCCTGCACCAACCCCAGCATCAATCATCACATCTCCCGAGACGACTCTTCCGGTCCGTATTAGCCCTCTATCGCGAACTTACAATTCTGCTCTCCTCAGTGATGCTGCGAGACTCATTGGAGAACGTCGGGATGCTCGTCTGGATTTTGAGAGCCGGCTGGCTAATCTTATGGAACGACAGTCGGTGCCAAAGCAGACCCCCCAATCTCTCCCCGTTACCAAGCATCATCAGTCCCCATTCTTTCTGCCCAAGACTGCCGATCCATCACTGAACAAATGCCCTGCCATGTTCACTCACGCTGGTCCTGGCTTCGCAGTCTGTTGCAACAGCTGCGAAAACAATATTCCTGATGTTCACTACCACTGTTCCACCTGTGACGACGGAGACTTTGATCTTTGCCAGTCTTGTGTCGATCAAGGTATCACCTGCCATGGTCGAGATCACTGGTTGATCAAGCGCTCAACTGTTGATGGGCAACTAGTCCAGAGCACCACCGAGACTATCGCCCCTAAGCCTAAGGCGGAGGTCAAAGTTGAGACTATCATTGAGACCAAGGTCGAGCCTAAGATTCCACCTCCAGTTCAGACATTTCAATTGTCCAAGCCAATTTTCGAGCCCCTTGCTGCTCCTTGGGCCTCTCTCGGCATCATGCGGACATGCAACTGCTGTGTGCAAGAACACCCTGAGGCCGAGTTTCTTCATTGCACCGTCTGCGAAGACTTCGATCTCTGCCAACCATGCTTCGCTAAGGACAAGCACGGCCATCACCCCAAGCACGGATTTGCCCCCGCTGTCAAGGGAACCAAAATGCCCCATCATGTTGCAGCCAAGATGAGCCCAGGCCGTAACCATATGCACCACGCCATTTGCGATGGTTGCGACAAGTACATCACAGGTATCCGTCACAAGTGCCTCGACTGTCCTGACTGGGACTACTGTTCTACTTGCATCAAGTCTGTGAAGATCATCCACCCTGGCCACCGATTTGCGCCTATCTATGAGCCACTCACTGATGTCCGGGCTCGTGCACCAGCGGCCGTCCATGTTGGCATTTGCTGCGACGGACCTCTTTGCTCCGGAAGCCAGGCGTACCCTAATTACATCCGTGGCACCCGATACAAATGTGCTATCTGCAATGATTTGGACTTTTGTGCCAACTGCGAGGCCAGCCCCATTAACGCTCACAACAAGACTCATCCCTTGATTCAGTTCAAGACTCCTGTCCGCCATATCAGTGTTACAACAACTGGCGAGAACCAGGATGGCCAGTATATGCCCGAAATGGGTGACCACCAGAGCACGTCCAAGTCTACTGAGACTGAACCCACGGTTCCTAGCAACTCCATCAACCCTGTCCGTACTATCGTTGATGTCAAGCCAACTGAGCCTGCTCCAGCCAAGATTTCCGTCAAGACCCCCGAGCCTGAGGTGAAGGAAATTAAGAAGGAATCTACTACTCCCGAGCCCATCCCCACCCCCAAGGCGGAATTCAAGGGCGTATTCGTTCGCGAGACCATCCCCGATGGTACTATCCTTCCCCCCAACCATGTTTTCGAACAAACATGGACTCTCCGCAACGATGGCAAGGAGAACTGGCCCGCTGGTTGCTCCGTCAGATTTGTGAGCGGCGATTACATGGGTCATGTTGACTCCAATCACCCGGCCGGCATCTCCGAGCTTGTGTCTGCCTCAGAGTCTACCGTGTGCTATGCTCCTCTTGGTCCTGGTCAGGAATTTCCCTTTACTGTCCTACTCCGAACACCCGTTCGGCCTGGCAAGGTCATCTCTTACTGGCGTCTTACAACTCCAGATGGAGAGAAATTTGGTCACAGACTGTGGTGTGATGTCAATGTCCGAATTGTGAAGGAGGAGCCCAAGCCCGAGCCCGAGCCCGAGTCCGAGCAGGAGGCGAAGCAGGAGCCCACAGCTGTTGAGGAGCCCAAGCAGGAGAATGATAGCCAAGCCTCGAGTCAGATGATTTTCCCCAAGCTTGAGAAGGAGTCACCTGTGGCTAGCATCCACGAGGCTGTTGAGCCTATCTCTACCGTTGAGGAGCCTAAAGAGTCAGAAACCATTGATGACGAATGGGACTATTCTGAAGATGGATTCATGACAGATGAGGAATACGACATCCTGGATGCTTCCGACGAGGAGTATCTGGAGGAGCAAAAGAAGAAACTTGCCACCAAGTAAGCGTAAATTTGATTTCTTAGGATGGGAATGGGGGTTATGGATCTGATTCTTTATTTGTTTTTGCTTCGGCCAATGTTGCTTCCTCTCTTTTCAATTCTGTATTATTTCTTCTGTCTTCATACCTTTCGTTGTCGTTTATTGACGGCAACGATATCAAACCGGGTAGCCATGAACAAGGCCATAGCCAGGTATCTACGAACCTTCTCGTAACATGTTTAGTGAGAGAAGAACACGCTCTTTTGGTAGTTTGGACTAGGTAACTCAGGATGCAACAATGGGATTCGGTGATTTGATAACTAAAGATTGACTTTGCTTCGTTTCTAAGTGATAACATTCTTAAATGGTAAACATGAACCTGATGTATGTGTGAGGATGTTTTCAGTTGGGCAAGTTATGAAATCAGATCTGCCACGACCCTTGATACGGCGACAATGCCAAGTCTCGTAGATTGTCATCCAATCCCGTCCACTGATTGAATGGCTGATTTGCATCAGAGATATGGCACGTCTTAAATCTGAATTGGGCTGAACAGCCAGTGTCTTAAGAAAATCCATGATGCAGGCCGGTCACGGGACCTGCATGATAGAGGGTGCCTTGGCTTCGTAAGATGTCGTCGCAACCGGTTTTTGGTGCCTGAGAATTTATGATGGAGTCACCTTATGGCCTGGCTTAGCCTGAGCGGGAGGCCCACAATTACTTTTTTGAAAGAGTGGAGGGTGAAAGAGGGTCATCAGCCGCCCGCTCATAGCACGAGTGCCCCCCAGCCAAAAAGCACTGAACTGCACCTGGCGCCCAGGCCAAAACATCTCCCCCGTCGTACAACTCTTTCCATATTTTCGTTACGGTTTCCCAGGGCGACCCTGGACTGAATGCGACCACGCTGCCATCCATCACGCCGCACCGCTTCTCGTCAAAGACAGCTTCTTTAGCTGTTTCTTGACTGTTTCTCATCAATTTCTGGCCGTTGTCCTTTCTTTATTCTCCTTTTGCTACCTGGTCAGGTCACGCAACCTACCTCGACGCACGCTCTCGGGTTAAAAAAAAACGCGACCCTTTGGCCTTGGCCTCCGATCGTGGTTCCATTGTCATCAACCTTCATCATACAAAGCTTTTTCCGCCTTCAACCCTATTCGTCAACCATCGCGCAAGATGGTCACCTTTGCTATTCCCGGCGATAACGAACTCGCCGAGGCTGGCAAGAGCACGCCTCGGCCGCGTCCTGCTCTCCCTTTCGCGAGGCGCGCCTACGTCTCAACGCCGTTAAAGAGCAGCCGTCTCGGCGTCCCCCAGAGTGCGCCATCACGGAGGCTATTGACGACTCGCGATGAGACGCCTTCCAGCAGCCTCAACAGATCTACCATTTCTACATCCCGTAATATCTTCAGGGCTTCTACCACCTCCGATAGTCCCTCCATCACTCCTTTCTCCCCGAGCATCCCTCAGAACACCCCGAAGAAGGTGTTTGCTCCCGGCGCTACCCCCGAGCCAAGCCGTGTCTATCGAGAATCGACTGCACATGCTACGCCCCGCGGTATGGCTTCCAAGACCACATCCAAGGAGTTGTTCCACATGCGTATTGAGGACCCCGATCCCGAACTGTCTGGCGAGGTTCTTACAAAGAAGATCCCTCAAAGCTGGAACTCGAAGGGTTCTATTTACGCAGACCAATTCCTCTCACATCTCTGTCCTCCCGAGTTCGACGAAGAGCAGCGACGACAGTTTTTCTGTATTCTCGATCTCCGACGACTCAAATATGCGGCCAACGAAATTTTTTCCAAGAAGGATTGGAAGCTTAACGTCGTCAACTTCGCAAAGGAGTTCGAAAAGAGCAGGAGTATTATTCTGTTGCGCTACGGACTCTACGAATTCCAGAATGTCAAGCCTTCTCAGGATGTGCTCAAGAGATGGCGTCGTGAGCATGGCCTCCCTGAGCCAGAGGAAGATAATGCCGAACCAACTCCTACAAAGGCCACTGCTACCAAGAAGCGTAAGGCGGATGATGACCTCACTAAAGATGCTGCTGTGAACGGCTCTTCCAGCAACAACAAGCGACGTGCTCCTGAGCGTGAAGAAGATGACCAGGAGCAGGAAGCGCTAACTCCTGCACCAGTTCCTACTCCAGCTTCTACCTTGGGCAAGAACAAACGCAGGGCTTCCGTCAGCGATGAGGCTGATGGCCAACCCTCGAAGATGCAGAAGGGCACTGCTTCTGCCGCCAAATCTCTCTTCGAGAAGATTGCCAACAAGTCGACTGCTCCTGCCGCCTCTCCCTTCAAGTCTTCTACCAAGCCCGCTGACGACGGGGCTGCTGCTAAGCCAAATCCCTTTGCTTTCAACAAGCCCAACGGTGGTGGTAGTTCGCTTGCTCGCAGCATCTTTCAGAACCCTAAGCCCGGCAGTGCTGCTGGCGCTTCTTCTGGTGGAAACATCTTTGGCTACCTTTCTGATGCAAGCTCGGCCAAGAATAGTGGTGTTGATGCTGATGCCGAGAGTGAGGCCGACTCAGATGTTGAGGATGATAGCCAGGCAACCGGTAACAGCGACGAGCCAAGTGCGGCAGCTAGCGGCGCCGACACTGCTTCTCAGGCTGGCATCGGTCTGTTCGGACAGAAGCCTGCCCCTACCAGTGGCCTCGCCGCTGGGTCCAGTGCACCTGGTACTAGGGAGAGCACCCCTGGCCGAAGTTTGTTCGACCGAGTTACCAAGGATAATGATGGACAGCCGGTGCGTATTGGAGAGAAGGATGAGACAGCAGCCGAGAAGCCTGTCGACCAGACCTGGAACCCCAGCACCACCCCTATCAAATTTGCGCCATCTGGCTCTGCATCCACAAGCCAAGCTGCCTCTTTGTTTGGAAAGGCCACTTCGGCGCCGACGAGTTCTTTGTTCGCCTCGAAGCCTCCCACTTCTAACCTATTCGGTGCCGCCAAGCAGGACAAGCCTACGGAAAAAGAATCAACACCAGTCTCGGAGCAGGCTGACAAGACGGGAGGTGAATCCGACAAAGAGAACGATGAGGCCCCCAAGAAGTCACTGTTCGAGTCTAAGGCTTCAGCGGCTCCGGCAAACTTTGGGTCTCTCTTTGCGCCCAAGCCGGCTACGGAACCATCTAAGGCTGGAGAGCCTACAAAGCCTGCTACAAGCTTATTTGGAACCAAGTCTGATGACAAGTCCAACACTCCCCCGCCCACTACCAATCTGTTTGGTGCCGTAAGCAAGGCTGCAGAGTCAAGCGGACCCTCGATGCAGTCATCTACATTGTTTGGCGCCAAACCTGCTACCAATGAAGCCGCTAAGACCTCACTCTTTGGTGCTCCCAGTGCAGAGTCGACTACTGCTACCTCTTTGTTTGGTGCAAAACCTACAAGCACCGCCACCAACCTGTTCGGCAATGCCGCGGTGTCAACTGCCAAGCCTTTGTTTGGTGCCCCCAACTCTGGCGATGCGACGGCGCCCAAGACTGACGCTGCTCCTACGGCAGACAAGCCTGCTGCGGCTCCCATTTTCAGCTTCGGGGCGCCTTCCGCTGGTGCTGATAAGATCAACGGTGCGAACAAGCCCCTCTTTGGAGCACCTCAGTCGCCTACGTCGTCTGGTGCAGCCGCGCTTGATGGTAGTCCCATGAAGCAGGATGGACCATCACCGGCCAAGAAGGCATTCGACGGTGGAAGCACTGGGGCTTCGGCCGCACCCATCTTCAGCTTTGGTGGCGCCTCTGCAGCTCCTGCTGCTCCCTCATTTGGTGGTGGCTCAGGCACTTCTACACCTCTGTTTGGCGGTGCTTCAACGACCCCTGCTGCTAACAATGCAGGCTCGTCTTTTGGCGCAAACTCAACCAACTCTGGAGGATCGTTTGGTTTCCAGTTTGGAGGAAACTCTGCTTCTTCATCGTTCAACAATCCGTTCTCCTCAGGCAATGATGGAGGTAACGCAGCTTCTACCCCATCATCAGCTCCTGGAGGCATGTTCAGCTTTGGGGCCACGACCGCACCTTCTGGAGGTTCCAATCCGTTCCAATTTGGAGGTGCAAGCAACGCCACATCGACCCCAGCCTTCGGAGCAGGCAGTAATAACAATGCTCCTGCTTTTGGAGGGGCGTCCGGATCTACAGGAGCGCCAGGGTTCAGCTTCACAGGAGCCTCGCCAGCGCAAAACTCGGCACCAACATTTGGATCCAACCAGAACGGCAACCTTCAACCGCCTGCTGGTGGTTCAACCACCGGGACCAGTAAGTCTCCTCTTTTTCCACATCGGAAAATCGCCCCACTAAAGCGACGGGTGTAGACACACCGTTCAGTCTTGGGGGAGGCTCTAGCCTGGCCACAACACCAGCTGGCGGGACCCCGGAACCCTCGAACCAAGCCGAAGGAGCCGCCGGAGGCGATGAAGAAGGCGAGAAGCACGAGCAGGTCAACTTGGCCGAGAATCTGGAGCAGGACGAGGATATCATGCATGATGTACGGGCAAAAGTGTTGAAGTTTGTGCCGGCCAGCGAGAAGTCGGATGACAAGAAGCCCAAGTCTCAGAGTCCGTGGTCGGTACAGGGTGTAGGAGCTCTTCGACTGCTAAAGCACAAGGAGACGAGTGTTGTTCGTCTTCTCCTGCGAGCAGAGCCCCGTGGACATATTGCTATGAACCGAGCGGTCCTCGCCGACATGTCTTACAAGGCTGACAAGAAGTACGTCAAGATGACCACGTCGAACGAGAAGGGTGACGGACTTGAGACTTGGATGATTCAGGTCAAGACGGCGGACATGGCTAAGGAGCTTGCAGAAGCTTTGGAGCAGAACAAGGTCCATAATAAGAAGTAATGTGGAGGGAACTGGGAAATAGTATATAGAAGCACACTCTGACATTAGGTGCTTACATAGAAAGGTAAGGTGCAAGGAGCAGCATTGCGGGCGTTGTCAAGCATTCGACGTTTTATATTTTCTTTTTGCAGGTAAAGTCACATTTGGGATTTTCGTGGGAATGCTCAAGCAGGCAAAGATTGACTTGATCAGTGTATGGAATACAAAAGTTGCTTTTAACAAGTTATGCTGAGAGGGCCTTGGGAGTAGTTTGATGCTTCAATAGTGATGGGATGTTTGAAGTTATTAGTCGTCATATTGTAGTTGTAATTGAAACATGGAACAAGAAGAAAGTATACGAAGAGGAGAGTAACTGGGACATACATAAACTATCCACCTTAGAGGTACTAAATAAATCACTACTAGGTCAGTAATCTTGAAGAGTAAGGCTGAGCTAAGGTCCTCTTCCTTTCAGCCCAATGTTGATGAGTGAGGCTCAAAATTGTAAATGCCCAAGTGAGTGACCTCAAGGCTCATGTGAAACGCGGGGGCGGGGATCAGCAAGCGGGAGGGAGTAGGGGAGCTGCCCTGGAGGGAGAGAAGCTCAGGGCAGGTACGAGTGCGGCACGCGTCGCGTCAGTTTCCCCAAGACGATGCCCGGAGAGAAAAAAGATTTGGCTCTAAAACAACAACTTTTCAGCTTCTAAACAATATGCCCAGGTAAGTTCAATACTCCCGGTCGATAACGACCTGATCCAGATACTCACATACCAATTCTCAGGGAAATCATTACGATCCAGGCCGGGCAGTGCGGCAACAGCAGTTAGTTACAACCCATCTCCCCCCGCCATCTACATACCATTATCTGCTCCCTCGATATGCCCGCATCTACGCCGCCGTCTCCCGACTTGCTCTTGCAGCCATGCGCATACAGATATATCGAACGTTGCTGATTCTATTCGTGCACAGTTGGAAGCCAGTTTTGGCAACAGCTCTGCCAGGAACACGGCATCAGCCAAGATGGAAACCTAGAAGACTTTGCGACTGAAGGCGGTGACCGAAAAGATGTCTTTTACTACCAGAGCGACGATACGAGATACATTCCCCGAGCCATCCTGATTGATCTGGAACCGAGGGTGCGTCTTTGACCATAATAACAAGGCGACCGAGTGCTAAGCAGCTTCTGCAGGTCATCAACGGTATCCAGACTGGACCGTACAGAAATATTTATAACCCCGAGAACTTTTACGTGGGCAAAGACGGCGTTGGTGCCGCCAACAACTGGGGTGATGGTTACCAGAGTGGTGAGGCAGTGTACGAGGATATCATGGAGATGATTGATCGAGAGGCAGATGGCAGTGACTCTCTTGAGGTGAGTCTTCCTTGGCCGGCCGGAACCTGCTTACTGACGTTTCATACCCCAGGGCTTCATGATGTTGCACTCAATTGCCGGCGGTACTGGATCAGGTCTTGGTTCATTCCTCCTCGAGAGGCTTAACGATCGGTTTCCCAAGAAGATCATCCAGACGTACTCAGTCTTCCCGGACACAACGAACGCGGGCGATGTTGTTGTTCATCCTTATAACAGTATCCTATCTATGCGAAGATTGACGCAAAATGCCGACTCTGTTGTCGTTTTGGATAATGGTGCTTTATCACACATTGCTGCCGATAGGTTGCATGTTCAGGAGCCATCCTTTCAGCAAACAAACCAGCTGGTGAGTGCTGCAGCCTCAATCTTGCCTGCTATGCACGTAGCAAGATCACGAGTGTTAGGAGATGTGTGAAATGAAGCAAAGGCACTGACAACTATCAGGTTGCTACTGTCATGTCTGCCAGTACAACAACACTTCGATACCCCGGTTACATGCACAATGATCTTGTCAGCATCCTAGCCTCCCTCATCCCAACTCCTCGATGCCATTTCCTTATGACTGCCTACACACCGTTCACCGGTGACCAAGTCGAGCAAGCCAAGACAGTTCGCAAAACGACAGTGTTGGATGTGATGCGACGTCTACTGCAGCCCAAGAACCGCATGGTGTCTACTGTTCCCGGCAAGAAAAGTTGCTACATCTCCATTCTCAATGTCATTCAGGGTGAAGTTGATCCGACGGATGTTCACAAGAGTCTGCTTCGTATCCGAGAACGACGGCTGGCTACGTTCATTCCATGGGGACCTGCAAGCATTCAAGTTGCCCTGACGAAGAGAAGTCCATACATCCCCATGAGCCACCGTGTAAGCGGTCTTATGCTCGCCAACCACACAAGTATTGCGACGGTATGCAAGACCTCCTGTTTACTTACTCCATTCAACACAGTAGCTCACACAATTACAGCTCTTCAAGAGAATTTTGAGGCAGTACGATGGCATGCGTAAGCGTAATGCCTTTATGGAAGGATACAAGAAGACAGCACCGTTCTCCGAGAACCTCAACGAGTTTGACGAGGCACGCCAAGTTGTTGCAGACTTGATTGGCGAATACGAAGCTGCTGAAGACGCAGATTACCTCAACCCAGACGCAGGGGAGAAGCCCACATCTGCAGAGACGGATCGACGAGTAGCTTGAAGGAGGGAGGAGTTAAGGATGAGTTGTTCATAATTGTGTCTGAGGTAGTGGGGTTTGAAACGTCACAATGGGTGGTGGATGTTGGATGTTGATATTTGCTTCACAATCACTGCACTGCATCAATGACATTGCACTGGGGGCGTTTTGGGTGCCAGCCTCGGTTTTGGTTCGGGTTTAGATACTTGGCTTGGTGAATCCATCGATTGACTGGCTGAGTGCCTTGGTTTAAGGTTGATACGTCGCGTGCTCCTTGGGTCCCGAGTCAGGCTAACCAAGGTATTGACTTGGTACCTGACAGCAGTGACAGCATCGCCTTGGTTGTGATCCCTGTAGTCTCCTCACCGGGATATTGAATGGGGTCGATCCGCGATCTGACTTAGCGTGGGTCGTCGAGTAATATCTCTGAGATATGCAGAATCTGTCAGAAACATCGTGGAACATGTAACGTCAAAGATGATGTTTTGATGTGGAGAAAGGACCGGAGCATTTTGCGTGGTGATGTTTTTGTGACGTCAGTGGTTCACTGACGTCAGAATTGTAAATGGCATCGCGATGAGTTCATTGTTTGTGTTTGTTTGTGCGTGTACGTGTACGTTTGCTTGGAGGGAAAGAGTGTAATTATGGAGAAGGTGCTTTCTCGGTGAATGAATAGGTATTAAAGGACCTCTGAGAAGCTTCGTCAGTTCAACATCATCATCTCCAACTCTCAACTCTCAACTCTCAACCACATCACATCACATCACATCATCACAAGACTTCTTCATCACAACCACAACTACCAACCCAGTAAGTCAAAGTGTCATTCGAAATATCGAGTTGTATCAGGAATAAATGCTAACAATCATTCAGAAACCCCCCATCAAAATGACTCAATCCAAGGACCAGAAGATCGCCGAGACCCAGGCCAACCTCCCTCTCCCCGATCAGCCCCCTAAGGCTTCCGACTGGCAGTCCGCTGATGCCCGCACCGTCAACGTCGGCGCTGGCAAGCAGGAGGGCCCCATTGGCACCGACTCTGCCGCTCAGTCTGGTCTCCGTGAGCCCGCTACCAAGGGCGAGGAGGTGGACCTGAGCAACGTTGGTCGTGAGGGTGTTGAGAAGCGTCAGCAATGAGCCTTCTCTCTATCTTGTACAATATGAAAGGAAATGGAATGGAATGGAAGGAAGAACAAGAGAGGAGGTTAATGATACCTACGAATGATCAATGAAATGGACCGCGAGCAATGAATGCTTCGCTGCTCGGTGCATCAGTTTCTGTTTCCCTCTCCCGGTACGACAGAATAATTCAGTGACTTGTGCAGATATTCAGGGTAATACTCGGCCGCCATGCGGCGTTTGAGTGTTCTCTCTCACTGCTATATTGATAACTTGTTCCGTTTCGAGTACAGTCACCATTGGCTGTTTCAATACATGAAACGCAGTCACACCATCTCAAGCTTACTCAGTCTATTACAGTACGGCAAATTCTTGGCTTTTTAATACCAATTGCGTTCACTCTCACTCCAACCTTCAAACCTTGTGTTCCTCAGCCTCGAGGAAGCCATGTTTTATGACACTTGCTCTCCAGTTTGGAGCCACTTTACATGCTGCCATGACACTGCGATATATGCGACAAATGACGTGCCGTATAATTATTTTGTGGCTTTACAACTCGCCCTATCGTCGTTCAGTGTTTGCACTTTAGAATTTACTCTGGAAGACTTTGGGAGTTCATAAAACCTAGTCTTGCTTCCTCGGGTCACCCATTCTATCTGCCCCGAGATGTTATCTTTTTGTACCACATGTTGATTCTATTAATTAATGCATTGAATTGCATCGTGAACAAACTATGTATGGGCCTATTGAGAGTTTCCATGACTTGCTAGCCGCCACAACATGTTTGCCCAAAACTTATGGACGGTCGAGTATAGCTTCAAAAGTCCACGAGTTAGGTAGTTACCCTATGCCTAAACGAGCAGCTGGATCTTGCTCCTCACCATATTTTTATGTATGCTGGCGTGCTTCTGGAACGCTTCGATAGGAGTCAGGTACTATATCGTGCCTGCGAGTTGTCATATCTGCTTATGGCTTCATGCATGAACAATGGAATACATACTGGATTATGTTGCTTTAGCCAGGAACGGCATCCATCCAGATCCCGCACTGACGTGTTATCAAGTAAAGAGCCAGCTCCTGTATCAATCCACGTGAGACCAGCGAGATACAAGACGGAAAGTCTGACATAGTAAAGAATGGGCGTGTTTTACTTGGAGTTCCTGGTTACCCTAGACACCAGTCCTCACCCACCGCGACAACCTCGAGATGAAACCGAACCTCAAAAAGGTCACACGTAATGCACCACAGGGACAAACAGACCCATAGACAAACAACAATCTATCACATACGCATGTAATCTCCAGAAGCTTTCTCTAAACCAACCACCAACTATCGGCCAACTCTGTTATGTCATATCATATTATGAGGATTGCCAACCAACAAAAAACAACATGTATCATATCAAAGGACCCAGATCTCACATGCCGCGCGGGACGAGAAAACAAAGTCTACCCACTCAGGTAACAAGGAATAGCCAAGAAGAGAAAGAGTCACATTCCCATTATCATGACCGTCACCGTCGCCATCTTGCATAACAAGCAAGGTTTTCCAACCACATCGCCATCGTGCATGCCCAAATGACACTGGATCAAAGCGGCAAAGACAAAAAGCAACCAGCGAGTCTGCTCATGATATGATCTGATGTTGACATACATGAAGGATATTGTTATGACTACTAAAGCAAAAGCACAACGCTCCCGAGAGAAGATGGTTCGTGCATCTTAAAATGTTGAAGCTAGCATCATTCAACCGAGCCAATCTGTGTACTAATAACTTAGCACTCCGTTAGCTACCTAGACAGTCAGCTCAGTTAAGAGTATAGAGTCCAAATGACATCCCAATCTGGCAGGAGACTTTCAAGCTCAATCTCATCTGCAATAGTCGGCATTGCTTTGTCTCAAGTAAGTGCCAAGTTAGAGACACGGCTGCCATGGCTTGTAGCTGCATGCAGGGTCAATCTGGCGGCTCGTAAGCCTCACCCTGCCCACGACAGGAGCTCGCTCGCTCTCCCTGATACTCACTCTCGCTCACTCCCTAGACCTGAAAGTTCCGTGCATTGACAGTGGATGCCTACCGATGGATGTATGCTGTGCGCATCCATAGCGCTGCCCACATATGCGCTGCTCGGAAACCCACCACCGATTCAGTATAGCTGTGCCCCGGAGAAGCGGCTGGGGTTCGCCCTAATCTCAGCTTCAACCCACTGGGCCAGACAATATCCATTGATATACCAGAAAGAGGACCTCGCTCGATCTGAGTCTTGAATCAGAGGACCCTGGATCGGTCACGGAGCCGCTGTCTCGAAATTCCCACATCATCTCTTCTTGGCTGATCTAGGGGCCTTCTAGCGCTGTGAATGACTCCGTTTCTCGACAGCGCCATCAGCGGTGAGAGCGAGCGAGCGAGTGAGGGAGAGAAAGCCCTTGCCGACGAGCCAGTTGATTGATGCGTGCGGATACTGTACGTGCGGGATCTGAGATACAGTAATTAGCGTCTCAGCTGAGTCTTAGGCACTAACCAAGGCGACCTAAGGCCCCAAGGTAATTGCGAGTCAACTCACTATTGAGTTGAAACTAGCCAACCACAGCACCCATCCAGAATGATCGACGCAATTACCCGTGGAGAAGTAAATCTAGGGTTCCGGGGCTTGATCTTATCAACGCCATGGCCAGTTCACGAGCCGGAGCGTCAATAGTCTCGGGCAAGTCGTTCCCAACAGAGCATCCTGCCATTCCCATGGGTTTGCTAGATGGATTCCATAAGGGTATCCATATCTTGTCCCTAACGCGCGGAAACTCGTCTGGCCGAGATCGAGTTGAGTAAAACGGGCATTCTGGCCACGATGGCAACTTGTCCTGGTTGATCAAGACGCAGACTTCAGTTTCACACCCTCAGGTGCAAGTTACGGCATGACCATGACTAGAATGCCATCTATGTTAACAAGGGTTCACCTACCTTGACGATTACTCCATTTCCACTCATGTCACACGAGAGACCAACAGGTGATAGACCACACTCAACACTCGACATGACTAAGTTGGAGTCTAGCAAGTGCATGATCTCAGACCCTTGGGATGTGTTGTCCGATACAAGACCAAACAGACCCTCAAAGGGCCCGCTTTGCAACTCTTTGACCTTGCGCCAGGAGCTCCACGGTAGTCAACGCGAAGGACGGCCCAGCCCTTGATCTCCGTTACAATTCCGGGGTGCGGAGCCGAAGATGAAGATTGCAATGCCTGTCCTTGACGGTTTACCAGAATCATGTCATGGTAAACTGAAGAGGGATGCGCAAAAAGCAAATTTGCCTTGAAAGGATGTCCGCATGCCAGAGGGGACTCCCTGGACGGAAAGGAAGATGAAGAAGAAGCAAACATCGACGGCCACCACATACAACTCCACGCGCTAATGCGGCATTCGTGGGACGATTAGGCCACGAAACGTACGTGGAAAAAGCAAGGCAGCCGTTAGAGCATGCAGATATCACCCGACGGAAACGCAGCTAGAAAATAAACCCAAAGACATGGATGAACCGTGATGGAGACTGCCGGGGAGCATGTTTCGTCATGGCATGGTGTGGTGATGTTCTCGCCAAAAGCTTCCTTCTGTCATGGTCATGATCACGATCATGGGAAACAAGATACCAAAAATCAAGGACACGCTAGGCCGGCAGTTCTCCCATTTGTCTGACGCCTCTGGCTCAACTAAATCACTGCTTGGTGTTCTTCTCCAAGGGTTTTCTGGAACTGCCTATCATGCGTGGCGTTCACTATGATGTTTAACTTGACTCATGACGATGGTCAGTGTGTTGTCTCGTGAACTGGCACGACTTGTGTATATTCAAGACGCGTGCTTGATCAGGGTCACTTGGCACCATTCTTCATGGATGTGATTGTGATGGTGACAGTATAGCCCCAAGCCCAACTTCAGATTGGTGCCAGAATTGGGGGGAATATTCTCAATAAAGACGTTTTCTTCATGAACTGATGGACACGTCGATGATGTTTCTTAGTCTGTCCTTGACCTTGGAAGACCAGCATCAAAGTGAATCAACATGTTGAAGTTGAGTCAAGGAAGGAGAATCAAGGGGCGTGCCTAGGTAGTTAGTGGGGTGTCAACCAGCTCCCAGGGTGGCACCCCGCCATGATATTTGGGGAGATGAGATACGATAACGATACGATGCAATGCGATTGCGATTAGATGAGCCGAGATGCGATGGCATTCTCGGGAGTCAAAAGCCCGGCAAAGTCTGCGGCGTGAGGAACTTTCTGGATAGAAGGCTGGGGGGAAAGGGCTTGATTCGGTTCCCTCCCCCCCATCAATTACTCTTTGCCATGTCGTATGCATTGTATTCTCTTATCCATATTGCTTGCATCTATACTTGTTAACGTCAATCATCCAGAACTGGAGGTTGTTAGTAATTCGCAGCTTGATGACTGGTCAATTTTATCGCATCTCATCACTCCTCCGAAGAAAAGTCTCCTAGAGCCGATGCACAAGCTTTTCAGCATATCGTATGATTGATCACGCCAGCCCAGCTAATATGATTGGTCTCAAGTTTCCTTTGAGAGAGTCCGTAGAAGAAGCAAACAAGCCTCAGTCGGCTGAGAATAAGTTATCAGTCAAGTCTGGCTTCTAGCCAGGGTTGGCAAGGCTGAGACGACGGATCGGCGCCAGTGCCAGAGGAAGAGAACCAAATTTCTCGTGCCATGGTACGGCTATCAACTAGGTGCTCCAGCAAACATGATGCCTTATTAGCTCGAGAACGTTCCTTTGGAATGACAAGATAATAAACAGTTCAAGAGGTTGAGAGTTCTGGTGCGGAATACTGCCCAAAGCCATTGACGCCAATACTCCACAATTCAAAAACCAGCAATGAGAAGACTCCGTAAAACTCTCCATAGCGTGAATCTTTGGTGGCGCACGCTTAGAGCTCGGTTAGAAGCTGCTTCCCAGCGCCGTTGACTCGTAAAACTCAAAGCCCAAGGCCGGAACGTGGCAGTTGCTTGGTAGATTATTTCTCATCGCCAATTTCTACACGGATGCAAATAACGTTCTGACCGCTAGCCTTGTCGCGAGCGATTACGATCCAACGAGGCTGACGAACCGTCAAAGCGGTCCGGAGCTAGGATGAGTTGGGCAGTCCGTGCAAGTGCCCGATAGTGGCTTTCTGCAAAATCAGGCCACTCTTCAATGCCAAGGTTAGTAGAAAGCACCACACATACGTATTGTGAAAACGTTGCCGGGCGTGGTGTGGCTTGAAGTCCGCAACTTGCACCCTTCCTTCAATGATAGTGCAAATATACTGTACACTTGCACAAGCATTATTAGCTCATAACTTGAATAAAGGAGGGTCCAGAACTGGCAGTCAAGTCAACAGTAGTCAAAGTGGTGATTTGTCTGACTGCTTTTGGCCAAGACTGCATTGGCATTCATCTAAGGTTGATATTGAGTAATGGTAGCCAATAACTTGCCAATTCTGATAAGACCACAAGGACCTCAGTACATCACAACCCTCGGCGCTTGTCGTGCGCAGGCGGTAAAGCGCAAACGGCACAGACTTGTAGAACTGGTGGGTGATGGTATACCGGCCGGTAGTCTTCGTTGGTTCCCTTTTTACCAGGACAGGAAGCTTGGTAGGTTCCAAGGGTCTTGCTGCATGTTTGACATGCTGAGCTAATGGAGTTCTGCGATCGACGTATCCATGCGTGGGCCCAGGATCTCAGATTTTTCAGAAGTCTCTTGTGTCTCCCTGCAGCCCTGACGCAGTCCCTAACCCGCTATGCATATATCGAACTCATGGAGCTGATGAATCAAGTCTGGAAGTGTCACTGTTGTCGTAGACTTCGCCTGCTGGTGGCCCGTAGGCTTCGGAACACCACTGACGGCCTTCGGTTTTACCCTCACGAAAAAGGGGTGTATGGAAGCACTGAAAGCGGTGTGGTGTGCTCCCGGGACGGGCAGGATCTCACTAGCGCACGGCGCCCTGGGATCAGACGATCGCACTGTCGAATCCGCCCCACAGCAAGCCAGATCCCAGGGTTCCCGCCATTCCGTCCTGGTGTTGATGGTCGATAGACCCCTGTCCTTGTTTCTCCTGAGCTCAATAGGAATCCATCCTTTTGGAATGATTGCACGATATGTTGTGTCAGATGCTTCGCCGCTGGTCTTCAGCCTAAATATATTGTACCTTCTTCATGATCGTGGTATCTAATATGGTGGTGACATGCACAAATCCCTCTCGCGAGTGGCAAACAGCTCACAAATCCGTTTAGGATATCTGACTGCTCAATATGATGACCAACTAGCGACCTTGACCGAGCGGGAATCTGGGCGTTTGGAGGAGCCACGGGCAACTCCTAAACCCTCACCGATCGCTTCGGGCGCAACCCACCCCTGTCAACTCACAAAACACAGTAGGACTTGGCGTAGCATTGGAATCCGCCACCGGCACTGTGGTGGATATCTCCATCTGCATCTCCGTGTGCGCCCCGGCAATGTTTCGAGGCCAAGGACTCAAGGTGTAGACCCAGAAATCAGGAATCGATCTGGGGGCCTCTTTGTGGAAGCACGGCCACGTCATTCTATCGTGATCCGATCGGCTGGCGTTGGCTGAATGTGCCGTGGGGACGGTCTTACTCCCCCAAAATCTTGCTCTGCTCGTGAGGGCTGAACACCCAATCAACGATTATTGTCAGTCCGCACAAGGGTCGCAAAGGTCTTCGCGGTAGTCGCCATTGCGAGATGCTTAGTTTCGAGAATAGCACCATGTTTCGTTGTCGGCAGTTGACAAGGCGTCGCATGTGAGGCTACTGTTTCCTGGCATCTTATTAGAGTAAGCTTTACATAGCAAATATACGATTGAACAGTGGAGGCCTCATGCTTGATTGTGTCAAAACGCTTACTCAGAAGAGGGTGTGATCACCAGTTCAGTTTGACACGGCATCTCAGATTGAGTCTGGGGTTTGCAACGCATCATGCACGATGTGAAAGTACTGCCGAATGACTCGCCATATCACATTGCTGATGCTGCACTTATCAGCATCTCAAGAAATACTGTAAGAAAATGACAAGCATGTCCACAAATCGGCTCTCGAGAAGGGGCTGGCGACGAGCTGGCCTTGTCAATCAACGTTATTCGTTGCTTTTTTGAGTGCTGTGCATCATCGAGACCGTTGGAATCGAGAAGCTGCAGCGCACACTTAGGTACGTCGGGACGAGTGTGGTTGGCCAGAGAATATTCAGTGGTAGGGATGTGCCGTTAACCAACCACTGATCATATCAGATCTGTTTTGCGTTAATTATGTACGGCTGGATGAGACCTTGCCAACGCCCGTCACATTGGTCCGGGGGTCATTTGGGTTAAGTTGACTGCGCGAGATGTACCTCAGAATACCTGTTTGTGGTTAAACTCTCGGCGAATATTATACGATATCTGTGCCGCGAGAGCACCCCCATGTTTAGGCTAGTCTTAAGACCTGTCAGAACGACCATGACATCCAACGCGAAGGCAAGGGGGGGGGCTCATTGTCGACGTGTGTCTGAGTGTGCTCAACAGCATGAATCCTTAATGCATAAGGTTCCTTTAGGAAAAGATGCCCTGTTGCATTGTCGGTTTTGTTAGTTTAGGGGATCTTGGAGAGCGACTTTTGTGAACCATCGCTGGACCCATGTACAGAGTCGATTTGCGAAGATCGAAAGGAGGCCAGTTGATGGCCAGGGGGCCCTGGCGGAGGGCTGGAAGCCGGGGATTGAAACTTTCAGGCTCCTGTAATGTATGTAGAGAGCGGCGGCGCTTGCATGAGACCCATCGGGGATGATATACCAAAGTGACACTTTAGGTATCCATGCCGGCAACCACTCTGTCACTTCCGATGGCTCGCGCTGATCAACATCGGTTGGGCTGGCGCAGGTTTGAGGCCAGCCGAAGTCGGATTGAACTTCAAAATTCAACAGTGGCAGCGAGATGACTCTAGTTCAAAATGACATTGAGTGCATATCATATGGCTGGCTAGGTATTCATATCACTGCTGATGACGATATGCAGTCAAAGAGGCGTTTGCCTTTGACTATCTCACGTGGAGGTAGGGACTAAGAACATTGAAAGCTGATTCTCAAACGAGATTCGGCAAGTGGATCGTCATCGATGAGGACGAGAAGGGCGGGGAGGTTCAATCAAGAGCCAGCCGCTGGCCATTATCGTTACAACAGCGCGCGTTGGTCTTGTCTCGTGGAGTTGACAAAACGCGGCCATGGTTCCCAAGGTGGAATGTCTGGTTAGTTGAAGTTAGGTTAACCGGTTGTCATAATAATTTGGCATGACACAAACTGCCTGGTGAAGGACAAGGAAGCCCCAGCGGGAGATTGCCCCGTTTTTCCCGTAAAGTTCAACGGGGTGCCTGACTGGGAAGGCTAGAAGGATCCAACAAAACAGAATTACCAACAGCAAGACCCTGTGCTGTTAAGAATGACACAAGGTGGACTTCATTGTAGCATCGTTATGCGAAACATGAACAAGTTGAAATTCCTATAATCAAAGTCTTTTGGTCGAGACCAGCATACTATAGTATTCAGAGTTCTCTAGGTAATCGACACTTTGCAGATCCCATATGGTAGATTTCATAATAAACTTTGACGAACTGCCGACAAAGTTTGGTTCCTGGACCTCGTATCTATGACCTATGGTAACTTCAAAAACTCGGGAAAAAAGCAACGATTAGCCCTGGAAGGGATGCCTGTCAAACGGATGTGAACCAGAGATTGCATCAATACCAGGAGCCGATGCGTAGATCTATATTTCCTAGGACAAGGGAACCCAAGGGAAGGAGAGAAATGTTATGGATGTGGACCATCTCCATCACGCGTGTGAATTCTTATTACGGCCAACAAGGCAAGTTGCCCGAGCTTCGAGCAGTATAATCTCTCCACAATCTGCTTCTCGAGCGTGATATCATGTGCCAGTAGTCGAGGTTCTTTCTGAGATCATGAACTTTTGCATTGTTAACAAGCTTGACATCTCCAAGCCGTCTCATTCGGCCCCGGACCCACACTCGGACACGGCGACGGTCATCATCAAAGAACGCTTGTCTCCAGTTCGTATATAACTAAAGTACGTATTATAAAGCCTTCTCCTATAGTGCAAGCGTTTCGCCTGCACGGGTGGAATGTTGCCAGTTGGTGGGATTCGAGAGGCAGTTCGCCCGTCGCCCTGCATTTGCGGTCCACCACGTGTGTTCCCAGTGGAGAGGCCATCCGCATTCAGTAATGGTAGCCTTTGGATGGACCAACCTTTTACCTGTTTGTAAGTTTGTAAGTTTGCTAGCTTCAAGTCAAACACGTTTCTGAGGCCCCCGGCCACAGTTAAACTCCAGATCCACCTGCAAGGAGGTCATTGGTTACCAGTCATCAGATAAACCACCCGGAAAGCAACAAAAAACCCCCGAGGATGAGACCTCACAAGGCAAAGGGGGCTGTTCTCCAGTGCAGTACAGCACCTTGGATACCAGAACAGGAAACGGGCAGTGAGCGATGCAACATCGTGGGAGACTTGCTCACTACCGGGGGCCATAGTCTACTCCAGTTGAACCATTGGATCTGGCGACTCTGTTTTCTTTGGGTGTTGCCAGCGCTGCGGGACAAAGTGCCCGCGGTGGTTGATACAACGTCACGGTTGAACGATGCAGGATGCAGGATGCAGGATAGCATCGGCCGATACGAGGCCTCGGGGTATAGCGGATCGAGGTACCTGGATCTTGCAGTGTGTCCCGTCCGTCTCAAGAAATCGACAATTTAATATTAGTAGACCGAGCTGAGACGGGCGCATCTGATCTGGTGTAGTGTGCGGAAACGCGCCCGCAATCCTTAGTTCAGTAGATAGATGGTACCTACCTACGTACCGTCCGGAGGCGTGAATCAAGATGGCATCACATAAAACGCCCCCCGCTACTCCCGCCGACCGGGACTATTGTCCGGGGGGATGAACCTACTGTACACTGCAAGTCTTGAAAGGATTGTTCTCGTCGTTACTGTACCTTTGAAGGGAATGAAACCCAAGGTCAGTTGGTGACTGCTCAGGGTTCACAAATATGTAAGAATCCATAAGTGTCTGATGAGCTGGCTGTGTAACAGCAAAGCTGATGTATTTCAACCTTATCGGCCGTGCACCCCCCATCCTCAAGAACCTCACCAGTTGCCTCTTTATCATATGCAATGGATGCAATATCAATAACAATGGCTGTTTCGTACAACTGCAGGCGGCGAGCCAGTGGGCGTTATCGGGGGAGGCTGGATGGCTACATTAGTGCTCAAGGATTAAGCTTGCCTTGGTCAACTACCGCGAAATACTTACTGTACTGTAGTCCCACAGAGCGATCGACATCAGACCACCTCGCAAGCCTTCGCTGCAGTAGACGATGTTCTAGGCTTCTAGTCTCCCTAGCCTGCCATGGTGTGAGATCTAGCTGTGCCGGCCCACAAAGCCCAATCCGATTCTCAATATCCAGCGTGTGGTGGCTTGTCCAAGGAAGGCTTAGTAGCAACTCAAAGACACGCATTTGAGGCTGATGGTGGGCGAAGACAGGCTGCCAGTGGCTCGAATTGGTCTCTACCTCCAACCGTGCACGACGCCGCATCGTGGGGATCTCATGATCGCTTCCACATGAATGCTTGGCCTACTAGGAATTAGATATCCCTTCAGCGCAGGGGATAGCCACAATGTTCGAGATCTAGTCCCTGACGACATTAGCTACCGTCCTGCGTCACACAGTCACAGTCACGGCTCAGCACAGCACAGCATCTTCACGCAGGCCGGGCCTAGCAAGCCTTTAGCCAGTAACAATCAACTATCGGTTACTTGGCCATTGGCTGACCACCTAGAATCGACCATCTCGGCACATTTGAATCGACGATTTGTCTCTAGCGTTAGATCCCGGCCGTTGGGACTTTCTCTTCTGGCCTAACGCCACGAGCTCGAACCGAAGGAGGGCGGTGTAACTGCGTTGGGTTGGTGTGTTTTGACGGTTCAATACTGGTATTGCAAGTCTTCTGGTAAGAATAAATTTGCCGGAGATATCTCCCCGCGATATTTTACCCGATATAAATAGGTTTGAGATACATATGGCCCACGATGATCCGTAACAGACGAGGGTATCCGCATTGCTGGAACAAGAAAAAAAAAAGATAATGAATTTGTGCTTTTGCCGATTGCAAAATGTGGGAGTCGGGCAAGTCGGGCACCTTTCTTTTTCCTCAGCCGGGCGAAGCATGCATGCATGACCCTGAGCACCCTATTCTAGTTCATGTCTGCTATTCCCGAACCTGACACCCCTGACTCGACATGCAGGTAGGGGCCAGCGATTCGTTGAATGTTTCTTGCCTTGAAGAATTTGCTCTGTACCTCATGCCGAGGTAGTCTGTGAAAGTCAGTTTGTGCATACTAATGCCTGTCAAGTGCATATTGGAAGGTCGAGTATCACATGAAGGGAAAGCTCGGCTGTCTGAGGTGTCTCTCAAGATGTCGGGGCCGAATGAACAGTGGTTGAGTCTTTCAACGAAGATAGGAACCCTTGGGCTACGGGCCGAGGAGGGGAGACGACCGTTAATGACAGTTCTGTATACAGCAGAGAGGACAGCATGACGGAAGCACAAGCCCAAGTCCCGTCGTCTCACTGGGCGGCACCCTAGATCGAAAGTGTCTGAGCCTCCATGTGCACATTAATGCTCTTGTGATGATGATGGGCAAGATATTGGCCGTTTTGAACAAGTGCAACATCATAAACAAGCCGAGTAATTCTCGTATTGGCCATCGAACCCGTGCGGCTGGCATACAAGACACAACGAGTATACGGATCCGATGTTCGCCAAGGAGTCACCATGCTTGTCCACTGTTAAACATAGGGACAAATTGCTATCCGATTCGCTGTATCCAGGGCCTTTGAACATGGAAGACAGGTGGTACAGATACAGTACCTAGACGATCGAATAGACCCACGAACAGGCAAATGCTTGCACATTGGCGGCTATAGAAGACAGTACTGTATTGGAGGTGGCAGAAAATACATCATGACCCGGGGAACAGGCCGGATCGGATCGCAATATGGCAAGAAAACGTATGACTCGGGAACAATGATGGACTTTGCCGCCAGATGATTTCGAGAAAGCTTCGGGATTTAGGGGTGGGTACGGGAAAAAAGAAAAAGCAAGGAGGAGATTTAAGATGAAAACTCGTGATCCTGCAGGAAACCCAGCATCTCGAGGCTTGCATCGTGCTCTTTTGATCTTGGTGGGTCGATTTAATGTTGAAGGTCAATCAAGCTAGGCCAGATTGGACAGATTAGGAACTGACTGCCGTTCGAAGAATGGAAGCAATTGGGGCTTCCATCGGTTCGGTAAATAAGTGGGCTGCTCCAGTTTTCGGCAGGCCTTTCTTTCCAGCAGCCCTGCGATTTGGGCGCCTCAGCTGCCTACACCGTTGGATTTCACCTTCAGTGGTGGAGAGGAAGGAAGGCTAGAATGACTAGAAACATTCCATTTCCATTCACCCGTTGAACATACACACTGTACTAGGCATAGTCCCCTTTACTGATTGAATTCGATTGCCTGCCAGTAGTACTTGACATGGCAGAGTTTTCCGGTGAGTAACATCAATAAGGCATCCCTGAGCAAGTTCGGCTAGAAACGCGATTCCTGATGGCACAAGCACAGGACGTGCGTAGTATGTATGTACTGGTACTGCATTGGCAGAATTCTCCGAGTCGTGCTAGTCCCATCATTGAGCAACGTAACGCCGTAGCACTGCAGTAGTTAACAGGCGAGCTGCAAGATATCTAACGCCATCATATGTAGCTAACAATAGTATGAGATCCGGAGAGCCAGCTTACCAGAATGTCGGCTGGATGTATCGAAAACTACTCAATGCCAAAGTACTTGAGGTCAGGTTCCAGGCAGGAGGATCCTTATAATCTTCGAGATACTTCACCATATATGAAAACGGGAGCATTTAATGGAATTGCATGCATGTGATAGCCTACAAAAGTCACCGCCTTCCCGATACCTGGGCAAGATCGGCTATGACGAGCCTACACATATATGCTACTCTTACATACACAAATTAGGTCGCGTGACACGGCGGTTTTTGGCCTGGCCTTAGGGGTCATGGATGTTCCTAAGAACATGTTTAAACTCGTCGACAGTGAAAAAGATACTTTCCACACTTTGGAGAAATGGCAGAGTGACGAATAACCAGACAAGACCCAGTCTGCTGCTCGCTAAGCTCATGACAAGACAGACGCAATTGACTATTCAGCGGCACAGGCACAGCCGATGCAGTCCCAAGCGATTGGAAACAGCATCGTGAATGATATGTCTCTCAAGGGAGGATGTTCACCACCCATGGTGGTAACTAGCAGGGAGACCCATGTCGTGGGAGCATCATCTGCCATCCTAGAGGTGCATGGAGGTAAATTCGCGTGTCCCCAAGGAACAGGACCCTGGCGGAGGAGATTAAGCAATTCATCGACGTCAAGAAAAGGCCAGTGCTTAAAGCATCCCTTCTAGACTTCTGGAGAACTGCGGCAGTGCCATGTTGTTCTAGGTTCTTTTGATATGCGACATTGGTCTCACCTCTACCACATTAATGGCACGAGCCCGTGCAGATCATGATTCAGTCAGGGGCTTTGTGATTGCAAGGTCACATCTGAGGGTCACAGCCAAGATGATAGAGAAACGAGGCTCATCACCAGGCAAGTGAAGCATCAAAACGAGCTTTGACATGCGTCGAAGCCCAAAGCTTCACAGAACAGTAAGGGTACACGCGCCTTTCCTATTTTGTATGCTGTTCTGGAAGGACAGTGAGAATGGGTCGGCGGAGATTACATGAGAATGCGCGATGAACCACCAGGATGATGCTGGGGTGAGAATGGATCGGGCAACCGGGATACGACGATATGATGTACAGTGAGTACAACACACTTATACCGTGTAGCGTTAGTATCTCTTATGTCTTCCACAGCATTCGTTTTGAGGGGCAGGCTAGTGATGCGATCTTCTGCTTGACCTGAAGTTTCATGATCTGAGGCAAGTAAGCCATGTGCCTGTTATTCGAAAGGCGACGAATGCAATCACCAGGTCTTTCAGCAGTGGGACAGAACTGAAGTTAGTATTACACGATAGACTTACTTTGACTTGATATGCCGTGGCACGGTCTGGCATTGGTCTGCACTTAAATGCATAAGACATGCCATTACTGAGGGTTACATCCTATACTCGTCAAATTTATCGACCAAAAGCCATCTACGATTAACCATCGGCTGAAACATGACGGACTGTCGTTGGGCGATACGTATTGGATGGCCTAATGGAAGCATCTTCCACTACGTTAGTACTGACGAAGCGCAAGCATGGCATCTACGTATTCATCTCATCTCATCTTGGCTTGTCAGGAGAGTGGAGTGGCGACATGCCCACCACACGTTCATCATGGCGGCGCACTAATCGAGGGCGTGTCTGATCTTGAGAGATTAGGTCCGCGGGCCATCTCTGCTCTGCTACCTGGGTAATGTGTATCCGCCAGAGCGGCACCCAGTCGACAACTTCGCATGGTGGCGGATGGACCATCCTTGCGGAGCCGCGGGGGCCGTTCGGATTGGGTTTCTCCCACAAGGGACTACCTGCGAGGTACACGTGCTGGGCTCAGATCAAGTGCAGTCTGGTAGCTCGACAAAGTTTCTTCCATGTAAGTTCGACGGGTTCCATATGAGACCTCCTGCTCCTTAGCCAGGTGGGCATAAGATGCTGACGGCCTGGTCCTTGCCCACTGACGTACCTGGCTGCGGTGCCGCCCATACAATGGGGCACCCAATCTGAGTATGGGAAGCGGCCCATCTCGCGCATCGTCCATTGTCCAACATTCACCAGTTCGTCATTGCTCTAGGGACTTGATGAAGCGGCTTGGCATCAATGCTTTGAATATGTCCTCGTTGCCAAAATCACCATAACCATCGTTGCTCATCCCATCGTTCCTAGACGCTCGATGCGGTTTGCAGTATCACCCAGCTTGCCCGTCGTTCCTCAGCGACTTCGACACTTGAGCCTTGGGTTTTCTCGTTCTACCTCCCGTATGTCAATCTCGCGCATCTTCCATCTGAGCCATCATATGTAATGTTTCTCGCTCTTTGCCCCTATTTCTCTCAATTTAGCGCTGAACTCCTAGCTCCCACGCCCTTAGCGCATTGTGGCAGGGGATGGGGGATAATGCAACTGTATAATACAGTTGGCAGGGGACCTGTGCTGAATCGAAATGTGATGGGCCGATGGGAGACAAGTTTCCAGCTCAGTGAGAGAATGCTAAGTTTCAACAATAACACTCACTGCAAACCACTCTAACAAGGCCTCCCAGCCAGGGATCTTCTTCCAATGTGCTTATTTTTCTTTCTATCAGAAAAATAGCAGTCCCGGGTTATAATTTCCCAGCAGTGACTCGCTCGCTGATTTTGCCCTCATTTTTTATTCATCGCGATACGACGCTGAAAAAAGACCCGAACAAAGATGGCTCGTGCCCATGTGGGAGCTTCATAAAAAATCATAAGCACACATTTGAGTGGTGTGGTTTGGGGGCGTCTCCTTGTGTTGTTTGTGGACTACTAAAACCAGACCGCTGCTGACCCCAGGAGCAAGGGCCCCCGGAAGTCGTACCATTTTGCCCAACTTGAGATTGGAGATCTCCAAAGCCTAGACGCTACTGCACCAGGCTATCGTCATGCCCCAGCCATTGGTGCAAAGCCTGGGTCAGTGTTTGAATCGACGGCAATGATGAAGAGTACACCAGTGTCTCGTCTTTTCTTCGACCCTCACCTTTTGCTCTAGCGCCTCAGCGACAGCGACAGCGACAGCGGCGCAGTGATGGCTGGTGACTACGGCATCCTAAAGGATGCATACTGATGACGAACATGGCATGTGAAGAGATGCAAGTTCCCCGAGATCTTGCTATAGATGAGATACCACAGCCAGCCCTAGGGCAACATGGCCTTCTCAACCTTTGCCCTTGTCTGCTTCATCGGTCACTGATCCTTGTTTGTTCTTCCAAGCCCCACACATCCATGATCGATTCTCTTCGGATCCCTACCGCCCTCCTCTCCCCACCCATACCATATCGTAAACCGTCATGCCATCATGTCCCCTAGCCAGTGGAAGCGAACTTGAAATCCCTGTCGCGTGGGCGGTATCTCTACCCGCGACCGTTTCCCCCAGGCGTCACAAATCAACGCCGCAGCATGAACGCTTGCTGAGGCGCGCTTGCTGATCGACTTGTTTGTGACGCTGGATGTCTTGCTCAGGTCATGGTTCCAGGGATAACATTGACAATTCTAGTACGATATACCCAGATGGCTTCTCATAACGATAGTTATATGCAAAGAGGACATCGTTGATTCGGTAAGGAGCATTGCCGTATTTGATCGGGTGATCTGGATAAGGATCTCTGACAAATAACCGCGCCGCAGGCCCCCGGTACTGTACCGGTCGATCCATGCACTGAGGAAACTGACAGACTCGAAAGCTCCCCCGGTTGGAGGTTGGTGCACTACGTATTGTACATATTGGATGTTGCAGAAATGGTTGTTGCGCTCCCCAATATGCGCGTGCTTTGAACTATGGATGCATCGATGTCGGAATTGATCTGTATCTCCCCCCGGGCAAGGCGTGCACTGGCTCCCATGTATAGGTTATGCTTGCTTGCTTCCGCGCGTGCAGGACTGGATTAGGTTGTTGCTTGCTTCTCCCAGGCCACCTATTTTCGGTGGTAAATGGATGACAATGGAGGCGCCGATCTCACATCTGATCTCCTTGTAGTGCGCTGTTGGTGATTCCCAGGAGGTTGTGCTGCTTGGGTTTGGGGCCTTCTAACTATACCTTGCGTTCCCTTGAGACTACCCGCACGCAGTCTTCTTTCCTTCCTTTCTCTTTCCTCCTCCGTTCTTGCCCTTTGTGTTTCAACACCTCCCTCTTTCCCAACCTTTTCCCACCTCCACATTCCCGCAGCAACAAATAGATTGCTGGCTCTTCTCTTCTAAACCTCGATCTTCGATTCTCCTTCTCTCTACTTTCAAGTCTTATCCACATCGTTTATACTATACTGTGCTTTTCTATATCCTCGCGCTGACTCAAGCGCCTGCAGAGACACCACCGTCCGCAGCAGCAGGATTTGTCCTTGCCCGCCATTCTAGTGGCTCAGCGCTGCCCGGCTCCGTGTCTGTGTACACTATTGTACCTTCTTTTGCGAGTCAACCAATCCCTGTCTAGTTGCTTGCACAGGAGACAGAGTAGTCAGCCCAGAGGAGACGGAAGAAAAAAAGAGGCCAACATCAAATTCGAAATATCAAGACTAAAAACAACAACAAAACATTGAGATATACAGCCACGAACGCTACCGCATCTGCATCAACTGTGGTCAAATCGCAAATTTCAGTACTGGATCTGATCAACCATTTTGACACATACTAATACCCGACTTCGACTCCATCTCACGCCGCGTACCAGCCGTTTTTCAAGGTCGTGTCGAGCCAGTATTCACTACAAAGTTTTATCGATTGAGCATTTCCGCAGTCAAGTTGCTAGCTTCGACATCGCCGTCAACGGGTGCAATCCAGTGCGTGGTTTCTTAGCTCCACTCGTCCATTCTCTCTCTCCTCATTCCAAGCGCTACGTTCCCAGACCCCGGCCATTGGATCAGTCTCGCGGCAATCGACCTCCTTGAGTTTGCGCTACTCTGGATTCTCGCCCTGTCCTTTGGAGGAGGAGTATCATCATCAGCAGCATCATCGTCAATAGATCAAGCTCGTTCCCACTTCTGAGGAATCCTGAATTTGGCGCTCCCCCTGCCAGCCTTTGAACGACCCCAAGCCAACTCAAGCAAGCCCCTGTCGGCCAGCCAGAACAAACCCAATCCGAGCCAGGACCTCTATGTATGGCGGAACCCCCCTGCCACTGTCCCGCTCAGCGCCACCACGAGGGCCCTTGTCGCTTGTCCATCGCACGCCAGATCTACCCACCCCCTTGTGCCTAGCCTGGTACCTACTATTTGTTTCTCTCTTCGCCTCTTTTCATTTCGCCTCATCGGCCCCTCCCCATTTTGACACCCCATTGCCAACCCTCACCTGAGTCCATTGTCACATCTCCCACCCTGGTCCCGTGTTGACCCATTCCTGGCTTCTTCAGTTCTTTTACTACTGGAACCTCATTCTTTACCACCCCCCTCCCCGTTTATTCGTACTGCTGTTTTCCTTCACCCATCACATACACCCCCAGCCGGATCTAGCCAGGTCAGATGCATCTACGGCCTTAAAACAGTCCCAAATCATCGTTGGTAATTACCAGATCCGCTATGGAAGCGGCTGACTCTGGAGCCAGGCAAAGGTCTGTTTGAATCCCGACTTGAAAGTATTCATATTTCTGTCTGCCCCTCCCATATTAACACATTTCTTGTCTTTACAGCCGTCATTCTGCAACCAATTCAGAACACCAAATACACCACCCACCTCAACCCGATCAACCATACTCCGATCATCGCCATCACCATTCCTACTCGCGGGATATCTTGTTGGACAGGTCGTATCGAGAACCTTCCGCCATGGCAACGGCAACCCTCATCACACCGGCCGCCCATTACCAACCTCAACCTCAACCGCCTTTCTCCAGTTATTCACAACCCAGCTCTGGTGCTGCCAGTATTGCCAACATGATCTCTGAACCTCGAAAAGCAGCCGACGATCAGGAGCCCTCAAATCGCCAGTCGCTGCCCTCAATCTCGGAGGTCATCCAGGGCACTAAACCTGGGCCTTATCCTGTTGCACATGCGCCGGGTCTGCAGTCAGGTTCGAGTTTGCCGTCGCCCTTCGCACCAGCTCCCCGATCGTTCCCAGAGGCCGAGAAGCGCTCGTCTCCTCAGCCTCTCCACCCGACCTCATCCTTTCCTCGGCAAGATGGACCTGCGTTTGCGGACTCTCCTCGTCCTCATTTCAGCAACCGACCATCGCTCCCTCCTGTCTCTGACCGTCGCCAGAGTCCTTCGGCCAAAGCTGATCTACCTCCACACCACCACCACCATCCCGAGCAGAAGCTTCCTGAACCTCACCACCCACTCAATGGTGCATACGCTCATCCCCCTCCGCCCCCTCCAGCTCCTGTCGCATACCAGCCTGGCCAGCTGCCTCCAGGTCAAATGCCTCTGCCTGCGTATCCCATTTCCCCCAGACATGGAATGCCACCACATATTCCCGGATCTTACGATCCTAGAGCGCCTCCTCATGTGGACGACCCTGAATATGCCCGAGCCAGATACGAAGCTACAGTCGACAGGCACTACGAAAGCTGGAACTATCAAGACTCATTGAGCCGAGTAAGTCACCTGAGTTGCATGTTTCACCAAGAACATAAAACGCTGACTTTTGACAGATTGGCACCTCGTCTCGTACGATTTTTAACTTTGCCGAAGCTTACAGCAGAATCGCTCAAGAACAGCACGGAGCTCATCCTATCCCAGCTCGACTGCCTACCGAACGAGAAGTTAGCGATATGCTCAGCAATATCGAACTTGTCAAGAGATCACTGGAGCAAGTGCGTGACTTGGTGCAAACTTCGATCCAGAACGAACGAGCCCGAGAAGGGTCCAAGATGAAGGGACCTTACGAGGAAGAGCACGATGTGAACATGTACGGCGATGGAATGAAGCCAGCGTATGGTATCACAGAAGTTAAAAAGCGTCGAGGTGTAAGTTTCTGGCTCTGATTAATTTCTTCAACACTAAACTGATGATGGACAGCGTGCTGCTCCTCCTGGACGATGCCACAGTTGCAATCGAATCGACACCCCTGAATGGCGACGTGGACCTGATGGAGCCCGGACTCTCTGCAACGCCTGCGGGTTGCATTACGCCAAACTGGAAAGAAAACGCCAACTCGAGGCGAGGTCGATTCGCCCTAAAGATGAGGCTCATCGACAATGAGGCCCTTGGCTTGATGGTTTTGGCTATATTACGACGTGCTCATGGGCACTTGAAGGCATTGTGGATAGGTGCTCGGTTGTCCCATGAATGACTTGAACTCCAGCTCGCAACCCGCATGTCTACACATACACACTCGCCTCACACATACACGCATACGCACACATCTTCACGTTTAATAATACCCGATCCACAGAACGGCGACTTTGCGTCGTTCTCTGTATATACGTTTTTATAACTGGGATACCTTGGGCTTTGAGCAGGGACCCGCAGCATAACAGGCGTTTGTCTAATTATGGACATCATGTTTACCATGGTGTAACTTTTGAATTCATGGGTGGAGAGAGGTTTGACTTTCTAGACAAAAGAGATTTCTTGGGCCACGCGATAGTGGAGAAATTACTGGGGTGGGCGGAGGGCAGCGGAGAGCAATCATCGCAACATCAGCAATGGAGGTGTTTGTTGGCCTTGCTCCTACGGAGGAGATAGGAAATTTTATATGGGGTGGGATTCGTTATACTGGGAGGAAAACTACAATGGTTTTACGGCATGTATCCAAGCGGAAAGATTACTTGGCATGAAGAGGAGTAAATTGAAGGTACCAAGGACATGTGTCTAGGCCTATCGCTGAAAGCAACGCCAACAAGGCCAGGGAGTCTACAGCAAAGGAGATGTCAAGGGCGGTAAAAGAGAAATCACAAAGTGACTATGCCGAGCTCGAATGTGCACATATCCCTGTGACAGTCTGCAAGTGTGAATGTGAGCTTGAGTATCATTTTACGCAGCCCAATAGAAGCAGCGGATGCAGAGACGGAAGTATTTGCCACTTGGGCATCGAGACTATCGAAAGATTGGCGAAGCTTAATTAGTCATTTCTGGAGATGAGGAACGATCATTTGCCTTGGTGGGTTAGGAGTACATCATGATATCTCGGCCTTGCATAGATCTACAGTGTCTTGCTTTAGTGTTTAGAAGAAGTGGGCGCATTGCAGGTACAACAAACAAACAGACAGGCGGATAGACAGACAACCCAGCTTGTTAGTATGTGCTGGATCGAATGTATGAAGCAAACTGTTCCTCTACCCTTTTCGAGATCATCCATTCCCCGTAAGGACTACGAGACGGGAATAGCGGGTGCCAGCTCATCTGTACGGGATGTGACTTTTAAAACAGAAGCCAACAAGGCAATGCGGGCCAGGGCACTGGAGGCATTAGTGAGCAAGTGGTTCGACAGGCCGAGTTACACAGGACAATAGGGGGTAGGACATGGGAGACGAGGACGGGAGGGGAGGCCGATCAAGGCACGAGCGGGAGATCTGACGAACGGGTAGCTTGCTTGGACTCATCGGACACGGGAACGTGCGTGCATGTACATGTGCTTCTGAGTTGCTGGCGATGGTGTTGAGGATGTGAGTTTCTGGATAGGCTACGTAGTACAAGACAATATAGACGAGACAAGACGAGACAAGACAAGATAAGACGAAAGTATCGAGAAGGTAGTTACCATCATAAAAGCATTATGAGATCATCAGTCATGTACGTGTAAGTGTTAGTTATTCGTCTGATATAGATATTATGTTAACTCCCCATGCTAGGTTCTCCATCCGATACTTGTATGGGCCATGACAAACCCAAGCACAGTATCAGTAATGTCAGATACATTTTCATGTACAACAATACATCAAAAGATCTGTCTGCGTGCGATTGCGAAGTCATCCCCAGACCAGACATACATAAATATGTCTTGATGCCTGAACCACCCAAACCCGAACAAATCCACCAGACGGATGTGCAATGCAAGAGAGGATTCCACAAGGCCTCGTATGCGCTGTTTCTTGTGATACTTGATCAGAAACATGGCTGCAAGCACGCGATCTGCACGTCTTTCCAAGATCTTCCCTGGTCCTCCCCTATTATATGGTGAGTTGAACTGTAGGACAGGAGCACAGGAAGGATTATATAACATACAGTCTGTGGCAGAGAGAGGGAGGGAGGGAGGGAGGGAGGGAGGTGAGATGTGGATGAGAGACTCTCCCTTACTCTCCTGTATCACAATGGCTGTGACAGGCACGGTGACGGTGACACGGGCGAGAACAAGATAAAAGGGCTCACACCTCTGTGCCGCGTGTCTGCAAGTGCTTGGCTGGATTCTCTGCTGTCGCGTTACATGGCCATCACATGTACGGAGGCTATCATGTAAGTATCCATGTGGCTTCTCCATGGAGGATCTAGGAGTTGGTCTAAAAATTATCGTCCTTCTGTGAGGCTCTGGCGGGTGGCATGCCAAACCATGTGTGTTGTGCATTGCCGTGAGACCTACAGTGATACATACGCCTCTTTACTGAGCAAGTTTTCTAGACTGCAATGTACCTACTGTGCTGTACTGCACATAGAATGGGTTGATTTGACCTTCAGCTAGACCTACTATACATAACACCTTCTGGTGATTCGGGTATAGAAGGCCTCAGACATGACGCCACGGAAGAGGCCAAGGCCCAAGACAAGGACAAGAGACACGGATAGACACTCAAAGACCTCCACCACCACGTTTAAGATGCTAGGACATCTTTGGAAGGAGAACTGGGCGTATTTGTTAGATCACTATTGAGTTGAGTTGAGATGAGTTATTTATTTATCTACCTACCTATGAAAACAAACTCTATAAGATACCGTTTCAACCCTATTTCGTCGTCGTCATTCTTGGCTCATACTTGACGCTCTTCAACCGCCGACATTCCAGAGAGACAAGGCCAAGTTGCGAGACGGGAATAGGGCCGCCGCCGCCACGTGGAATTCCCACCCAAGAGGAGGGGAGCAAGGGTCCTTTTCGAGGTCTCCGGGTCTAGTTCACGGTCTTGTCTCTGCCTCCCTCGGCCTAAGCATATTCTTCACCCGGGGGTCCTTGGGATGGGATCCTGTATGGAGTCGGTACAGACATGTCACTAGCATGGTAAGCACGAGGGGTTGAATCATGGGCTTCGAGTAGACACATGCAAGGGAGAAGAGTATACGCCCGCCCAGACGAGGAGTTGGGGGAGTTCAAAGACAAGAAAGTTGGCTAAGCCACTTAGGAATGTGACAAGCTAAAGGGCCTCGTGGTTTTGCATCAAGGGCGTTTTCGTTTTCGGTGACAGATATCGGTTATTAGTCAGTTGGTTGCCTGCTGGATGTGATGTGAGGGTTTGATCCCTTGCATTTTGACGTTGCATGGAGGTGGATTAAGGGTCTCTGATCTAGCATTTGTTGTATAAAGTAGTATTCTAAAAAGGAAAATAAGACAGACAAGGGAGCTTCGATTTGTTTTGTTTCATTTCGGAGAATGGGCCTGGTTTAACGGAGAGTCCCCTTTGATGACTCTACAATATTGGACATTTGGCAGCAAACAACACAACTGCCGAGATATTCATCGCGGCGACGTCACCTTGTCTTCTTCTTCTTTTTTTTTTTTTTTTTTTTTTTTAACTTTTTGATAGCCCAGAAACCCGTTTCCTCAAGACCAACAGTTGAGTTGAGTTCGGTTATGCATACGCACGCACGCACACACGGCCGAGTCTGGGCCGAAGCCGTCACAACGGCGAAAAGCCACCAACTGGGGACATGACTCTCCAAGCTTTGAAGCACAGTACATACAGTAGAGAGTAGCTAGCAGGTACCAGATCGAGATGAGCATCAGTCGAATCTCTACCGTCGCTACTGCCAAGATCTGCAACTAAGCAAATACCTCGTCGTCAAGATTACACGGCCTGCTAGATCGGGCAAACCCCAGTGGCTCACTCAGCTGGACCTGGACCTGGACCTGGACCGACCGACCGACCGTTGACTTGACTTGACTTGAGCTGTTCTGCTATGGACGAAGTTGGTGGAACGACTGGTCAATTTTTCGATCCGGCCAAGGCAAGATCTGTTTGGAGATCGAGCCTTTAATGTCTGAGAGCTACGCTACGCAACGCAACGCCCAGTTTGGAATGGCGGCGTGCTTCGGCAATTGCAAGTGCAGAACCTACGGCAGCTTCAGCAGGGCGTGTATACTTCCATAGAGTTGATGGCTTACTAGGTAGGTCTTGGTTGTGAGACATGGTAATTTATCGTTATTGGCTAGTATATCTCCTCGTGGAGAGGATCCATATTGGTCATCGTTGCATTAAAGACATATCATATCATATGGGTAAGATATAATGTCTTGTATTTACTCAAAACTATCACATAGCAGGTACAGTACTACTGTGCTGCTGATCCGTACAATATGCAAGTATACCACCGATTCCTTGCATCTCATCAGCTTCAATTCTGCTACAAGGTCACTAAACCCAGCCCCGTGCGGAAAAGATACCGTACAATCCAATACTATCCCCTGCTGTAGATTCTGTTGGTCACCGTTAATACTAACCTCTAGTTGCATCACTAGTTTCGAGACAGGGATACGAGGAAAAGATATGCATTCTTTGTCCTTTCGGGGGCATCTAGGTATCTATCTAATCAATCACCTGTCTTTGTCCTCTGTTCCTGTGTAGAGGTTGCTGATTGCTAGGGTGAGAATGGACGAGTCAGTTGATGCATGGTCAACATGTCTATCATGGGAATTCATGCCAAACAAACCTGCAACTGTGACCAGCGAGCTATGCATGTTTCTTCCTTCATCCTCATGCTGTCTTTCTTGGCCTGTCTTGACCTGACTTGACTGATCATGCCTGATCTTGTCAGTTTGTCTGACCCTCCGGCCTCCGGATCCGGACCCGGCGCGGGATCTCAACTCAACCCGCCTCGGCCCCGATGTCAGTTTCGCGTTCGGATCGGCATCGGCATCGGCATCGGATTCGGATTCGGCCATCTGACTCTTCGGGTGTATCTTTCTCTTTGTCTCTCCTTGGCTCTCTCACTGTACTGTACTGTCTGCCTTGGTATAGCGCTCACATGATCACATCGCCGTTCGACAATCTCATTTCTCAGAGACACTTTCGTTCCCTCTGCCTAGCAGATCTTTTCCCGCTGTGGCTACATCCATTTTCAATATGCCGCACTCTCGCATGCTGCGTGCCTCGAGCTAGCTCGGAGCTAAGAATACCATGTTACAGATCATCGTAGATGATACCCTCCCCCCCCCCACCTCACTAGACTAAGGACCAGAACGGAAAAAGCCAAGATGTCATAAGTTACAGAACCTTACGGCCTAGGAATAAATTCACCGATAATGATAACTCAGTTCTACCGTTCACTATCAGCTGTAGGGAACCCTCACCGGTGTCTCGACTCTCCAAATGCGGCGACCGGTCAAGGTGCCTGTTTGATATCTCTCATGATATCTCCTCAAAACATCAAGGTTGAGACTACACGTCAAATGCCACGCCAAGCTACCCCAATGTGGCTTTTGTTTGCCCAGAGAACAGGATTTATGGATCTTTACGTGAATTCCAGACAGAAAGGGGGTCCCCTGAAAAAGAGAAGCCCCCTTAAACTGCCACAACTCAAAGACATGCGATTCTTGCAGCGGCAAAGCAAAAGCAACCAGCAACTAGAACCGTGTCTTTCTTTCTAGAATCGGCCGAGAGGCGCTATACTGCATCTTCACCTCCCCCCGGCGCGGCACGGCACGGCTGAGAATTCCCTCCAGCCAGCCACGGTAATAGGAGGTACCCAAGGTCAACGTTTTGCCCTCTCTCGCTTACGGAGACAGCTCGCTTACAAGGAGGCGTTCTGTTGGCATCTCCATCTGATCCATCCATTAGTTGCTTGCTTGCTACCCACCTACCTAGGTAGTTAGCTCTGTCTCATGCTGTGGGAAAGCTCCGAGAGAGACAACGAGATAATTCCCGTAATGCAAACTTGACATGTCAACTGTGCTATGCAGACTAAGACGGAGTCATGTGATCGTCAGGGCCATTGTGGAGAGTGGTATAGTTGAATGTTTGGTTCTGAACTCTATTCAGCACTGAGACTTCACTATTCTTGGTTCAAGTGAACAGTCTCGTATAAGATGTACTTTGTTTAGGGCATGTAAGGCGAGCCTCGAGTCTTGGGAACGCAGAATGTATATCACCCGGACGACCGTAAAATCACCCAATGTTTATATATCTTTCTGGTGTGGCACCGTCAGTTGGCTGCCTCAAGGTCTTCAGTAACAGCCGTGCCGTGTCTCAGCATAGCCCTTCAAGATAGCAAGTATATCCTGAAACCAGCGTTGATCCCTGCTCTTCTCTTTCTAGATACATCCATTATGCTCAAAAAAGCAACCAAGAACGCCGACCCAAAGTTCAATGACGCTTCCCCTCATGACTCAGTCTCCTGGCCTTCAATCCACTCGCTCTTGCGCTTCAGTGACCCGTTAGTGGCATCCGCCTGTGCTTCGTTGGTCTCTCCGTTGGGTGCTGTGCTTGAATCGCCGCATCCTCCACGGAAGCCGTTCAACAGACGCTCTAGGCCGTGGATCCCGAGACCCGCAAAGTCACGGCCGGCCGTCTCCCGCTCGCCGATGGCAATCACGGCGCCGATAAGATCATGGTTGATCTCATCGTTGACGACGCTGTCATGCTTGTAACTGGGGTGCACATCAATGAAGTTGCGGATCCATCTGGCTGTTGTGTCAAGATTTCCTGAAGCTCGCCGTGAAATCAGATCGAGATATGTAGACAGATGGCATCGAGTCGATACATCGACGTTGACGCTGTCAAGATAGCTCTCGACAATGGGGATCAAGCCGGGGAATTCTCCCGACTCTGAGCCGTTGATAATATCATCCACTGTCATCTCCTCAAATTCGTGCTCCACTGGGCCTCCAGGTGATGCTGGCCGACTAGGATGTGCTGAGCCGGGTCGACTGTCGTCACCAAAGGTGGTGTTGGCTCTCGAGGGGCGGCTAGGGAAAGGATTGCGCCGGAAGTAGAACTTCTCCTTCAGAACAGCGTCAACTGCGTGTGCACGCTCCATGTTTTCGTCGACCTTCTTGATAGGGATGTAGAAGTTGAGGTCAAATGACAGGATTGCACGTGTGACCAAGACCATAAAGACAGAGAAAGCCGCGTTCTCGAAATCCGTGATCTGAATCTCCATGGAGCGGAACTCGACTCGCCAGCCGATGCTATTGTCAGCAGGCGGGGGCTTGAAACGCATGTGCTGCCAGTTAGTTGACTGAATGTTCTCAAAGTGGTCAGTCTTGCTGAGGTCCAACTCCTGGAGATCCTCTTCAAAGACAACAATGGGGTCTCGGATGAAAAGGTGAGCGAAGTGAGTGGCCAATCGATCATCCATGCCCCCTTCGAGAAGTTGCCGCTTGATGTCAGAGTCGTAGACCAGGTCAGGGTCGAGGTACTCGTTCCTTAACCGAAGGTCTATGGCAATATATGTTGAGTTGGAGGCGTATCGTGACTTTGGTATCCTTCGAACACCTTCTGTGAGGGGCTGTTCCATTGTGAGAAGTGCTGATCGACTTGTAGAGCATGAGAGTGCACTTACCTTTTCTCCCAACTCCTCGGGGGTTCTGCAGTCCACGGAGCGGCTGATCTGATTCCACCGCACGTCGGTGTTGGCAAGGAACCCCTTATACACAGGTGTAGCAGCAGTCAATGCCAGCATGATAGGGCCAAGCGGGCTCAGCTGATCATAGAGCATTCTTCCTTCGGTGATGTTCTTGGCCTGGAAAGTGATCTGGAGACAACAACTACCCATTCCGAAAGCCATGGCATCCATATGGATGAAGTCGTCAGGGGCAGCTCCATTTCGTACGTCATCGTCTTCGGGCCAGTCATGCTTGTCAAAGTCCACGGTAGGATCCTTCCAGGGTCTTGGTGTGTTCTTGTCGTGATAGATAGGAACATTGACCTGAACCTTGCGGCCCCGTCGAGATCGTATGTTTGCGGCTAGAGTTGGGAATCTGATATGGGGGTTGGCGATCTCATCCGGGACAAACTGAGAGCGAAGGCGCGGTCCTGAGGGCGGAAAGTAGGGATCGGTGAATTGTCCGGGAACGCCGATTTGAGGGTATGTTGTGAGTGTGATGGGATATTCAGTTGAAAGCATGTGCTCTTTGGCGATCTTTCTCCGCAACTTCATGTCTGGTTCCACGTCGAGGAGCTCCTTGAAGCCGATACCCCAAGGCTTACCTGGGGTCGCTTCCAGCATGAAGCGTCCAAACTCAGGGTGAAAGACGGGGATCGTCCTCTCTCTATTTCACGGTCAGCAGATGAAGGCAAAGTCTAGCGACTGTCTGATGTACTTTTTCTTCGCGTCAGCTGTATCCACATCTTGAAGATCTGGGACACAACCACCTTGCTTTTCCAGTTCCTTGTCGGTAGCCAGTGCCTCAAGAATCTCTGCTTGACGAAGAGATAACAGCACTCGCTGGTTGTCCTCTGAGTAAACTACCACAAGATACTCGACCTAGGTAAGATGTTAGTTGAGATAATTCAGTTTTATGTGGTTGAACCAACCTCGTCGCCCCAGAGGAGAGCATCGCGCTCCTTTCCCTTGGCCTTGTTCCATATCTCCAGAAGTTGCTATAGAAATTTAGCAATCCATCACCACTTATACCGGATAATTAGATATGAAGGGTGAGAAAGAAACTCACCTTGATACCCCATTCTCTGACTTGAGGGGCGCGCTTCTTGGCATCAGGCCAATCGAGGGCTGTTCCCAAGGCTCTAAAGTTGGGTCAGCTTATAAGACCTTATGAGTTATAAGTTGTGGCTTACAGAAGACCCATCGTGAGACAAAGTCTTGGTTTTGCTTTGAAGGGGGGTTTCTGAGCGCGCCCACCTTGCTTGGAGTTGCCGTAAGGTGTGATCGGTATTCGGAAAGATTTTGTTCAAAATGACGAAACCGGGTAATGAGAATCGGGTAAAGTGATGAGATGTGAGCCTCTAAACCTAGAAACTAGGCTGCTCTGACTGAACAGACTGCGCCAGTCGTATCGTATATACCGAGAATGAGTTTTTCTGAGGAGGAGAGTATCAAGAGAACAAACTCTTTGATAAAGCGAAACCGGGGGTTGGTGGACGCTAGGCGTAAAGGTTCTTGTTCTCCACGATATCGGAGTTGGCGCGGAGTTTGACTTTTTAAGTATAACAACAAGGAAAACCTGTTCAATCAGAAACCGATACGACGATAGATAGAGTCACGCTCTAGTCAGTCGATAAATCAGTAGACCGAGGTTCCAGTTAATTAGACTGGTTGAGCGACGACCCGAAGCGTCACCAAAAAAAGTCTCGGATGTCAAAGACAGAGACAGCAAAAAAATTAAACGGCCCGTGTCGATCAGTGGTCCAGGGCAAGTCTGAATAGAGGGGGATATAGTTGATGGGGGGAGTAGTGGAAGAGGACAAGAGAAGAACAGGGGAAAGTTTAAACTTCTAGAGTGAGGTACCTTCGATAGGTAATAAATACAAGAGTCTTTCCTGTTTTTTTTTTTTGGCAGCCGAGATTCAGGTCCAATTCCGCGGGTTCGCCCGTTGTCAAAGTAAAGAAGAGAAGCGCCGAAGAGCATCAACTAGCCCAGATTATGAATGATATGGGTTTGATATGATAGAACATCAAAGGGACTGATATGGTTGGGTGGTGGCTTGTCTCTCTTGTGGGAACAACTGAGGTGCTTATCTTCTACCTATTTCCCCCCGATCTCCATTTTCTATTTCATCATCTCTCCCTTGTCCCTCGTCGCTAAACTCATCGGCTTGTGATGGTTGTTGCGTTATGTTGCGTCGCTAAGAAGCGGATATTTCTGCTTAGAAATCGAGTCCAAAACATCAAATCAGACAAGGCCCTGATGATGCCATCCGGCCAACCTCCCGATCCGGTCAGGTTCTGGAAAACTTATCGCGCTAGCTCTAAGAGGAGACATCTACCACAGCATTTTGCATATAAATCATATAGGGTAGGTACGCAGAAAGTGGAGGAGGAAAGTATTATATACTGTTTAGCTACTACCTATACCTGCTAGCTATGTCGCCGTTGTCCTAGTTGATCTGGTGCACCATTGTTCGTATGGTGAGCCTATGTTGCTAAGCATCTGTTAAAAAGAGTCCATCCATATAAGTCAGCCCTATCGAGTCTCCAGACAATGCGATTCCCGTACCATGCCTTGAGCTCCGTGTAACCGTACAACCGTATAGCCGATAACCGCTTGCTTACAATAGCATTGTTTAATTACTAAAACAACGATTCATCGATGCTGCAGATCGTACGTAAACCCACTGACTATTGAGAGACCAGCAGTAACCCTTGTACTACCTTAGTACCTATGCTGAGGGCCAATGTTACTCTCGAAGAATGCCCAGTCCCTAGTTCAACGAGTATTCAACCACTACAGAATTGCAACAATCTTCACGGTCGTGAACAGCAACAAGGCGTTTGTTTCTCAAGCAACTTCGATGCTTCTAACATCGTTCCAGAACAAACAATATACATCTGAAACAGTCATCTCACTCAGAGTTGCCGCCACAGTCTCGTACACCTGATTGGACTCTTCAGCTTCAGTATCCTGCTTCAAGAACAAACACATCCGACTTATCCCCGTCGGTTTCCATGAATTTACCGGGTTGGACTAAACCCCCTCGATGTCCAAAAGCCCGAGGCCCCTTGTCGAATTGATCGATCCGAGATTAGCACTCCAATGACATACCAGGCAGAACAGAACGGGTAAAGGGAAATCACTGCACATCACCAGCAACAACCATTGGCGACTGCTTCGTCACAGCTGAAACCCAGCCCGGTCTAGAGCACTGTAAGTTGTCGCTCCCTCCTTCCAACGTAGCTAGTATTGCAGCCAACACAGAACGAGCCCGTCGTTTTTTTAGTCATGCGACACTAGCTGTAACCAACAGGGTGCAACTGGCACACGGAAGGATGCTGCATGATGATGAGTGATTGTGGGTGCTTAACTACTACCAAAGCTGGCACGACATGATACAACACTGTTCTTGGATGCACAGCAGAAGGAATAGTTATGCGGTGAATCGAGCATTTCTCTTAAGTATTGATCAACATGGCTCGGACCTCCTCAACTACCAACCTTGGTGATTTATTCAGCGAATTTAGACATAGGAATATGCATACAGCAATAATGGGAATGACGGATTCCGGGATCCAGTGTCTGAAATACCCATGCTGGAAACCGTAATACTGGTCCCAACAAGACAAAGGCCGGTATAAGTTAGCTCTCTAGCAACCACTTAAGTCTCGACGCACACTGAGACGCAAGACGTTGCTATCATAATTTTTAATGGCTGAGCCACGAAGACCAATGACTGATCATGTCAAACATCAGCAATTCGATCAGTGCCATTTGCAGTGATGGATTGATCAACTGCCGACAGGAAGCATCAGTTCTGGTTTTGACTTTGACGCCATGCCAAATCTTCATCAACAAGCCAGCCACTGCTGCCCTCTTCACAATGGGAGATTCTGGTGATAGGCAGACCTTTGACTGCACCTCTGCATTAGTTAGTACCCCGGGGCCGGCTTGCGGGATGCGTCAGTCTTCCGCTTTGCGCCAACATAACGAACTCTATCCCAAGAACGATGATCAGCAGCCGGCATCCCTCCGAGCTTCAAAAGCCAGAACTAAGAAGAGCCGTGTGTATCATTGATTCTTTGCTCAAGTGGTTACCATTGTGGTTGCAACAGTAGTTCTTCGGTCGGAGAACAACAAGTGTGGGTTTGTGGTGCTTATAATAACACGTCAGAAGTAGCTGGAATTTGAAGAAACCCGACAGCAATGACATGGACAAGAAAGGAGTATCGATCCCGATAAGAGGTGGGAGACACAGTGCAATACAACCCGGAGATGGAATGCCGGTAATGGTGTTTGTGGTGCCGCAGTGTGTTGGCTTCCGTTCCTAGCTCAATGGATGGCTGATGACGCTAGAAAGAATGCCATGTGAGCGATGGAGCCCAGGGCTAGCTTAACGTAAAGAAAGTAAGCCGCATTTCATGTCCTTATCGAGGCGAACCGAGCCAACCATGAACTCTGCTACTAGAATCTCTCGGCTCTCGCCCACTGACATCCAGTCAAGAGAATGCTTATAGATAAGCACGACACAAGAGCAGAGCGTAATGAAACGCAAGACAACTATTTTGACTGGCAAACGACGGAGTCTCTTCATGCTTGGTGTGTCAAGACGGTACTCACCAACAACGCGTCACTCGCTTCGCTTCGATGTTGTCTTGACTCATCCGTACAACCATACTCCATATCGCAACAAGCTGCGTTCCCGAGCACAGCATGCTTGACAGTACCGCTGTCTGGGGTCCAGCAGCCCAATTATGGCTCCCAAACCTGACCCCATAGACCGTGGCTTTTGATTATCCACTGGGTATCAATGGATGTTAACTTCAATGCAAGCTACCAGGGGACGAGCAAGTCGCCCTGTCGATCCTGGTGACTTCGGGGTACTGTCAAATGTCGATGGCACTCTCGATACCCAGTGAGGATGTTCCTTCGTCCAATTCACTGTCGACCCATAAAACAGGTAGATGTTAAAGGCTTATTGCGATTCCTGCTGGATAAGCAATGCCCAACCAGGAAGCAAAGAAGCACGGGTCATTGTCATGCTTGGGGCAAAGACACAGACACAATTTATGCAGCGCGGATCATTGCATTGCTGTAGTTACCCGATGATACTGTGTTGCCTGGTACAGCTCGACAGAAGTTGATTATTTGACATCGCCACCCATGTACATTAAGTTTATCATGCGCTGATATTGGCCGTTGGAGAGTGAAGTTGTAGTCAAATCGACACGTGAAGTACAGAAAGGGGACAGGAGAGAATGCACATGCTGCCAATTTTGGAGAAAAGATAAGCATACATAGATACGAATCATCCCCGAGAAGAGACAAACACGAGTTTCGTTAAAACAGAGGTACACATCAATAATCGAGTTGGCTGTCCACGTTTCACCCCATGCGCTTATGACGTGTATACAGCTAAGCAGCCGCCCCTCTATCTTCATACACCTCACTGAAACTCGCTACCCCACTAAACCTCTCAGGCTCACAGCTACATCATACCCAACTGCTCTCGAGCCCCCCAATCAGGCACAATCATCAATCCCTAATCCCTTGCTGCCACCGCTACTGCTACTGCTACCACCTGGGACCCTGTGGCTCCTCCAATAAATGCCCCCGCCATTCTCGCTCGATCTTGGTCCTTTTCAAAACGAACTCTTTGCTTGTCTAAATACCAAGAGACCACTGTACACATTTGTCCTTCGACCCGATCCTCACCCCTTCACTTGTGATCTCGACCTTAGCGTATCAGCAGTACTTCTTTCGCCATGAACCCTCATCAGAAGAACAAGGTCGACGTCAAGGTAAGCTGCCCTTGGAGACCAACCTCAGGCGATTCGAGCTCCCCTTTGTGCATGACTCGATGACCATGATACCCGTCAATATCAATCCCTCCTCGCGACATCTACACCGACACGATCTTCAATCGTACCGAATACCTTGCTGACGCTAACCCCTCGTTGTAGTCACTCACTCCTGAGGAGCAGCGTCTTTTCCGCCTCTACGGCAAGCTGCCCTCTCGATCCGACCACTTCGCCAAGCATCTCAAGGACCGCAAATACTTCGACTCGGGCGACTATGCCATGTCCAAGGCCGGCAAGGGCGACGGCGTTGATGCGGGTGCCGTCGGCTCTCAGCACCCAGTCCCCGAGAACATTCCCCACCTCTCTTCCCCGGTGAACGGCTCCGGAGCCAACGTACCCAAGCACGCCCACCACGGCTCCGTGCCCGGCATCCAGGCTGGCAGCCCTATCAAGGAGAGCAGCTTCCTCAAGAGCGAGACAAGCGCTGACGAGACCGAGGGTAATGATGCCGACAAGTCCAAGGATGCAGACGCTGCTATACCTGAGCCTGTTACCGCTGGCGGCGAGGGCATCCCAATCCGACGATAGAGCGTTGAATGAAAATGGTAAAAGAAAAGTGCAACTGAGCAGGAACAAAGAAAGAGTATTATTATTTTTTTCATTTTTTTTTTTTTTTTTTCATTTTTGTCTCGCAAAACATGAAACGTTTGTTTCTTTTGTAAGAAGCCTTGTGCGTGGGCTTGTGGTGGATTGCGAAATCGGTTTTGACGACTTACGAGGATCGCACAGTTGGCGTTTGGGAATTGGCAGATAATCTGGCTCGCACACATGGGGGACATATCTCGATCTGGAATCATCGGATAGATTGTTTGACAGCGGCAGGGTGGGAGAAACACCACACTCTCCGCAAATGGTTATCATGTTCATTTGGTCGTTTAGCTACCTGCTTCGTTTCAGAAGTATCCTTCTATTTCCATTCCCTTTTTTATTCCTCCCTTTTGTCTTCGCGTGTAGTATTCCCCGGAACTTTTGTATTTCCCCATGATCTCGTAGAAATGTTCATACACCCTAAATGGTTTCCAGGTGGTGATGCTCTTTTCAGGGACCCAGAGCCTTGAGCGCCATTTGCTTGGCACCCTCGAAAGTCTTGTTGCCACCAATGAAGCCAGCTGCATGGACAAAGACGCAGCCAGGAATGCCACTGATGCCATCTAGCTCAGCATCGCGGAATCCTCTCCATGCCTCGGGCAAGGGCTTTCGACTGACGAATGAGTCCTTGCTCTCAGGAACGCACTGGATACGCCACTTGGCGCCAGGCTCAGGCTTCTCAGCGTACAAAACGTAGAGCACCGAAGGAGTACCGTCCTCGAGAGTATAGAGGTGGTCCTTCCAGGGCACAGACTGGCCTTCGAGGACAAGAAGACGGCCCTGCTCGTCGTATTGTGTGCGCTTGGTGAAGGCTTCCTGGACAATGGTGCGGGCAGGGAGCCAAGAACCGGCATAGCCGTCAAGATCTCTGTCGAACTCCTCGCCAATGCGGTTGCTGGCCTCGTTGAACTTGGCATCCTCAGCTGCCTGAGCCTCAGCGGGATCAGATGGCGTAGGGTCGTTCCACTTGGGGTTCAGACGTCCGACCATGGCACCAAGGCCAAAGGCGCCATCGCTGAAGCGTTTCTCAAGACCTGCAGCGGCGATACCCGCAGGGTCGAAAACAGAAATACCATTGTCGTGGGCGTCGAGGGCTTCAACGAAGTTCTCGTACAGTTTCTCGTAAATCAATTCAACGTCGGCAGAGTCCTCGGGTTGTCCAAGGCGCTCAGCAACGATGGCGCGGCCAAAGTGCAGGAAGACAAGACCGGCGCTGGAGAGCTTTGTAGGGCGACCGGGAAAGGTAGTTGTGAAGCCGCGCTGATGATGATCGAAACGGCGCTTCTCAGCGTCGTACTCACCGCCAACGTCGACAACAGTGTGGCAGGTAGCCAGGACGGCAGGGTCGCGGGTACGGACAAGAGAGGCATCGCGGTAGGCGGGGAGACGGCGGAGCATGTGGACGGCGAGGGCCTCGTCAGCGTGGAAGTGGCCATTGTGAGTGCCGATGAGAGGACCGTTGCCCGTGGTCTTGACGCGCTTGGATGCTGATTCGGCCATGGTGGTGAAGAGGCGACGGAGCATGTACGTCTTTGGTGGTTTGTCGCTGTGGTTGTGTATGAAGTTGAGGAGGAGGCAGAAAAAGTTGTTGAAGTTATCAAGGTGCGGGGGACAAAAATAAGTGGCACAGATGATGAAACCGCAACGATTTGCAGTGGCGCTAACGCTATCAATTGGCAGTTATTCACCAAAATCTAGGCAGTTTAATAGTATGAAGGTACTCTGGTATTGTCCAATATCCAACTTGACTGATAAAGTACTTCTGCAAAGGTACTGCATTATAAGTACTTCATATGTCGTGTGCTTTTTATAACCCCGCGTCAGTGTACAGGATCCCTATATCCCCATCTCACAAGCGAACCTAAGTGCCTTACGTAGTAGTCTATGTTTTAGGTTTCTTGAATACAAGACCTTTGGTGTACACAAGACTCTGCCTCAACTTGGTAGATGAACAAAACTTAGTAGGTAAGGTACCTACCTATTCCATTCTGTCGTTCTGCTTGCAGCTTCAAAGTACAGTTTCTTATAACAAGCCTGAACCAATCACAACTGATGAATTACATAGTTCTGACCCGCCCATGGAGCTACTACGATGGACAGGATCTTGAAATAAAGTAATACTGTAAATGCAATCTAGAAACCAATATTTTAAGAGATATACCGTAACGAGTTACCCATCCAACGGTCCAGAGTAAAATACGCGATCCAGATACTAAGCCCACAGACTCAACAAGTCCGCCAGCACTAGTTCCTTATATAGCACGGTCACAGCAATCATCTTATCCTAAATGCCAAGCGGTCATATCCTAGTTGCCTGTCCATACTCATCTTGATATGCTGGCACCCTGGACCCCGAGAATCTAATATCACAACCCAGGTCAGTCTCGATTTATACTTTGATACCCTTGTCACCTATGTATGATCCATACACCATCATGCTCCATGGTCAATTTCATTGAATCCTCCTGCATTAATCTCAAACACATCCGACCTACCAGAGACAAAAGAAAATACAAGGCCGTAAAGCGTGATCGAATTTCCACCTTTGTTAGCGAGCACCTCACAACACATGGTCTGAGCAGCCATGTGGCCGCGGATATACAACAGCTGCTGTCAAGATTTAGGTCCAGGCCAAAGCCATAGCGCATGGATGTTTCTTCAGCAGATCCAGGGCGAGAGATTCGCGTCACGGTGTGAATACGCCAACAACGAGTGACTTGATGCCAAGGATCTAAACCTGAGTATCAAGTTATGTTATGTTATGTTATGTTATGTTACTCTGATCTATACATACGTAATCAATCAACCGATCAATCCCCTCGTTGTTTATATCATACGCCTCATTAACAGCACTAAAAGAAATAAGGGATGGCTAGCCCGCCGCTCTGCTGCTTTTAGAACAATCGATTTTGAAAAAAAACAGACACACCGAAATGAATCCACTGGTACGCCTTAGGTATCATGCAATGCAATGCACAAAAAACACAATTCGGCCAAAACGGTCGTTCCGCTATCATTCCACTGATGCCCTGATGCACCCGGTGACTTTGCCTTGGCGAGTCATGACCCGTCTCTGACTGCTTTGACTTATGCACTGCGGCCCGGGCAAGTCTTCAGACCATGTTGCCAGTATTACCATGGGAGGCAATCAAGTGTTGGGTTGCATCCATGTGAGAGGGGTCCCTGCGACTCCGACAACTGGGTGAATTAGCACAGAGGGACATATAGAGCGCATGTAAACATGTCGCTGGTTCGACTGGCCCGAGTCGGTAATGAGGTTTAAAAAAAAAAAAGTACAATCCAGAAGAAGGAAGCAATGCAGTCCTGATCGACAGCACTGATATATCTTCACCAGATCATGACATATGAAGACATGATGCTGAGGCCGAGTTATCACCCGGGGAATATCCGACCCCCATTTTATAGTCGTGTATATCTTGATAAATGTCGGGTGTCTCCGTATAACAAGTTCCGAGTCGAGAATATGCTGGATTAGAGAATGAGCTGCTTGAGGTTGCGTTGGATGATCATGTCCTGGACTGAGGCCATAGTGATTTTGAGCAGGTTCGTATCGGTAGCATTGGTGAAATGGCCATAAATCTCCTTCTCGGTGTTTCGGTTCAAAGCCTTGAACTTGTCCAGGAAGTACTTGCTCGCCGCCTTATAATCGTCCTTAGGTCCGTGGTAATCGGTGAACCCGTGATTCGTAATAGGGCTCTTGGGGAGCTTCTCCTTGAACAGATCCATCTTATTCAGGAAGAGGATCAGCGCTGATCTGGCAAACCAATGGGAGTTGGCAATCGACTCCCAAAGCATGAGCGCCTCATTCATTTGGTTCTGTGTCACTGTTAGCAGGGTATTCGTAGCTTCCTGTCTGGTTTCATTCGTTACTGACCCCATCCTTGTCCTCAACCAAGCACTGATCATAACCGCTAATTGCGACCAAGAACAATAGGCAGTTGACATTCTCGAAGCAGTGAATCCACTTCTTTCGTTCTGAACGCTGGCCACCAACATCAAACATTCGGTAGGTCAGTTGGCCGAGGTCGAAGATGGTCTCTGTGATACCAGTAGTTCGCAATCGCGATCGAAGAAGATCTTGATCATCGGGGACATAGTCCTCTCCCCAGAGTCTATCGATGTCCTCAATGAAACTTTGGAATATGTTAGCGCCAAGAATTTTCATGCCACGCCATGATACAATACGTACTAGGTTAGGTTGTCATGTAACGCATATTCGTTGCCCATCCCAATGGCCGCTCGAACACCATTGTCGACCCACAGGGCTTTGATGGGCTCAAGATAGTCAGCAGGCATAGGGTCGTGAGGGCTAATTTCGTGGTCGACAAGGATGTGGGCCATATGTTTCTGTAGCTTCTGTTAGTAATTGGGGATGTCTCACTCAACCGCCTCACTCAAAATTCTCGTCGGAATAGTGGCTTCGGCAGTCATAGTGGGGAAGAAGAGCTTGACTTACCTCGTTGTCGGGGTTGTCGAATTGGAGATCGTGCTCATTCATTGCTTCGGCAATAACTTTGAAAGACTGAACAATGTTGCTAAAGATGACGGGCTTCCATTCCAGCTTCTCATTTTTGCTGAAGCCTTGAGAGTAAATAAGCTTCATCTGCTTGAGGACAGTTGACTTTCCAGATTCTCCAGCACCTGTTGGACGCGCATGGCGTGTCAGTCTCATTTGTGCGAAAGCGCGGCCAGACCATTCCTACCTAGCAAGAGGAGCTTGACCTCCTTGGATAGCCTCTTCTCATCCTGGCGAAGCTGCTTGTCGATATCACGAGATCGCGCAAGACCGCGATCGCCCTTATCCCGACTTCCAAAGCACATTATGGGGGTTTGAGGTGGAATTGTGGCGTAGGGTGAGGTTGACTGGGAGTAGAGATGCAAGACAGTCGAAAATGGATGCCGTCTCTCGATGGAGTCGGAAAGTCGTTTCGGTTATCGCAAGCGAGTGAGTGAGACAGATCAAACAGAAGCCGAAGTGAGAGATTTAAGGATCGGTCAAGGTCAATGCTGTTACAAGAGCATGAGGCGAGTCGCCAGACGAGGTCGCGAAAACGGCCGGAAACTCGGGGTTTGAGCTATGTATTCGATAGGAGAATCGGTCCGGGTGGTGCGAGTGAAGAAGCCTCGACGGTATCGGCGTTAGTGGTAAAACCAAGTGTCTCGATAGGAGAGCAATCCGTTTCCCGTTGCCTCAGGAGAAGTGCCTCGATTTAAGTTGCGTATGTTGGGTGTGGAGGGGAAAAGAGTCGATAGAGCTGGATAGGCGAAAGGACTGTATAGATAGAGCGGACCAACCAAGCCAAGCCAGAGAGTATTTCTGAGACAGGGAAGAAGAGAAGAGACGGGTCATTTATTAATTAACAACAACATCCATGACAGGCGCAACATGGGCGGACATGGGCATGGGCGAGAGGAAAAGAGGCTAACTTAAATGGAACCTGAGGTCACTGTACGATTTATGACGGGATGAGCCTTTGGGGCACTGAATGGAACGGCACAGCAGGAACAGCTCCCTGGGGTTCCCGTCTGTTAGTTCCTCGTCGCAAAGTGCAGGGTCTCGATACCCAACTTTTTATTATGTGCTAGCGAGCTGTACTTGGACTTACAGCCAGTGTCAGCTCCATATTTTAGTGGCCGGGAGCCTAGCCCCAGCACCTGGACTGGAAATGGGGCGCCTGGCGTGAGAGTGGATGCTGGGCGGCGGAGGGAAGCTGGTGCACCAATAGAATCTGTGCTTCTAAACGATGCCGTTCCCTGCGATAGCTTCTTGGGTTCCCTCGAGGTATTGAATGTTCAAGAGAAAGCCAAAACAGTCCCAGAAATATACCAAAATGGTACGTCGCAGGTAGCAGCTCCTGGCCTTGTCGTTCCCAGGTTCATCCCCGTTCCCGGCACTGGACTAGGTCGCCCAAAAGCCCCTTGAAACACCACATCTTTTTTGGTGGTTGAGATGTTGAAAAGCCGATTGTGAAATGTTGATGTGATCCTCTTTTTTTCTTTCTTCGTCTTTTCTTTTTCTTTCTTTTGCCTCAATCTCCAGCTGCGATACGACTCTGGGAGACATCCCGCAGGCTGGAAACCTCCACTTGACCACAGTAGACTAGATAAGTACCTGTGCACCTCTCCAGTGTAAACAATACAATTCAACCCGCCGCGAACCAGAAGCAACAGATGATGCGTCGCTTGTCGCTTCTAATAATGAACCCCATCCACCACGAGGTGTGGGTGGGTGGGTGCCGTGACATGCAATGCCATGCCGGTGCTACCGCTTCAAGGTCAAAGCTGAACATGAAGCTCACGATTATCCAAAGAATTGCTTCATGTTCTGGTCTGTGTCTTACTTCTTGCTGTGGATTTATATGCTTAGGAGACCGTGCTTAAACTTACCATGTGGTTCTTGCTTAAAGTCAGGCTGTTCTAGACACTCTTGATACATAGCTCAGCGACTGATGGCCGCCACTGACACTGACTCAAGCCCTAAAAACGCCCATCAGCCATGATCGACATGACTCTCTCTCGATGCATCGACCATTCCCTTGACATGCCTGCAGCTTGCTTCCAAAGATGAACAAGGACGACATAGTCAGGTTACCGATAATTGATGATTCAACCCCTTTCATGGCCCCTGGCTTGCCTGACTCTCATCCAAGTCTCTCATACGAAAAACTTCAGAGCCGTACCAAGAACAAATACCGTCCCTCCCGCCTGAAAATTTCCGGTTTGTTCTTCGAAACATCGGCACTAACTTGACTTGGATAGTTCTCTGGTGGTTGCGGCAATGGTGGACCCCTGCCAACAGTATTCAACAAGACCACCATGTCCACTGCTTGGCTCGATCCGTCGCCTGTGTTGAAGAATTTTGACCCTTATAGGCGCTACTGCATCAGGGAGAAACATCCGGAGACACTAATTCTCACCATCTGCCCTTTGTGGTTTGAGCTTGAGCTCGATTATGAGCTTCGATTGAGAAGAGAGACAACTTGGGCTCTGATGGAGCACACTTTCTCAGCTCACCACGATACCCTCTTCTCATTGGCTTCCACGGCAAAGAATAACATACAACCCTGACCCTTGCTCGGCTTGCAGGAGTTCGAGTTCCTGTTGCGAGAAGCCAGGTTCAGTTCCTTTCGCTAGCTGCGCCTCCACTCATCTCCGTCGACGGTTGCAGGGACTATTCGCTTTTCCCGTTCCACCATCAAATAATAGGGGAATTCTTCTGCCCAAGCGACACCAAAACATATGATGCACATATCACTTTAGTAGCGGTTCGTCTTGTAGGGTTAATACAACCGATAGCTAGTTGGTCCATTTCAGCCTCTGTATTGTTCTCGCAAGCCTCAACGTAAAGAGCAAAACTAAACTCTGGGCACACAGAATAAGCAATGTATCTGCATACTGTAGCTTGTGACTAGTCAACCCTCCCCGAGAACCCACGTCCTCAATATTGAGCCCGACCGAGGAGGCCATAACGACATATCACCTCAACCACATCCAACCGCTCGAGAATATATGTAGGTCGATAGACGATCAGGTGCAACCAACAGCATCAAACATCAGCGCTAAAACAAGAATTCGGAAACGGCATCTAAAGAGGAATAGATGCTCTCACGCTGAATCCACTGCCGTGTGCTTGAGTGAAACTCCTTGACCTCGGGCAACCTAGAAGGACAACTCTTGGCCTTGCAAAAGCTCTGGCCACGTTACAGAGGAGCATCCCATTCCCGACGAAGATCAGCGTCGTCTGATTGCGTTTCATTGATCGATACTGAAGGATGGCAGGAAAACAGGGGCAACGCAGCCGCTCTGGTCTAGCTCTTTTGACATGTCCCGTTTGAGCAATCAGTAAGGAGAAGGGGATAACAAGGATCGTTCCCGGATACGGAGCTTCCGAGAGGTAGACATAACGGCGGCATTGGCCTCATTCTTTCAACACAACACAATACCAGACACCAAACAGAAACGCCAACTTGTTATTCATTGATTGTCAAGAACCCGTCAACACCGTGCCAGTGGCCCATCTTTGATCTACATAACTCTACAGTTAATATACTCAAGCGAGATCTCATATGAATAAAGGAAAGCTTAATACTTTAACTATCTCGATTATCTATATGCACCGTTAAATGATAGCACGACCGAGCTAGCTAGATCGTATCCAGTCGTCCTGCATAACCTTATTTGTACCGTAATACCATCACATTTAGAGTTTGTGTATCACTAGAGTGGCATCTTCTCCCACTGCCCTCAGCAGGACGTTGACGCTCTGTGATGACAATACCATGCCTTACCGGGTACAGGCACCTTTAACAACTGTAGATGATTACATACAGACCGTAAATATAGGCATGACATATACAACGGTATCGCAAAACAAATGTCCTTATCGGTCAGTTCACGCTGGAAACCGCTCTGTAGCCTTTGCTGTCCTACGAATATTCATCAGTAGGCTGATATAGTTCCTGTAGTGGGTTTCAAGAAATATTCCAACGCCATCGGATTCATGACAGTCTCACGATCTTGTCGAGTCTGTAGCCACATCCATTCGAGACCTTCCCTTCGACAGGATCAGACTTTCCCGGACACAAGCCACTGGCCAACTCATGACAGCTTACATCTACCTATCGCAGATGAACTCACAAAAATTGTGTAAAAGTCCTGACATCGGCCTTCTCAGAGACCGCCTGAAACCAGGCCGAAGCTGTATCTGTGTTACCGAGTTAGGACACATACGCCGTGCAATAGATGACTATGATCAAGATCTATGAGCACTTTATCAGGCCCGTTTGGTAGTTGTGGCCCTCGATCACAACGAGGCATCAGACAATGATATTGCTGTCGTACTTACCATGGGTTGCTCAAGTTGAATGCCACACCATGACCGATACAATACTCTACTGCACTGACAAGGATCTCTAAGGTGCTGTGTGTTCTTGGCCACCCACGAGAGATGATTGCTGAATACAAACAGAGGCTTTGTTGAGTGTAACCTCCAGGAAACTCCCGTGCTGGTCATCACCTTGACCGCTCTGGCATGTGCATTAAACTCGTCTCCACCTAAGAGTGGACGACTATCATGTATGGCGAGGACCTTGGACTCATGCTTCACCTTCAAAAGTAAGAAGAACCGAGTCAAGTTCTAGGCGACGAGGAGAATGCCAGGTTCACCTAAACACTGAGTTCAGGGACCACTTGCGCAAATATATGCCTTTCTAGGATTCTTCTGCAGCTATCATAGTTGTAACGCATGTACAAGTGAAACAGAAACTGTGTTATTAACATCATGGCTTATAGTTGAGAGGCCAGCAGGCGAAACGTCTCATCATAGTTTATGCGTTAAAATGGCTGACACAGCTTGAGTACGCCGACTGCAGCAATTCAAACAATTTGAAGTTTACACAAGTATCAAATAGATTCAATATCCTACGTACACCACCGCTTACTGAAGCTGCTATACTGGCTTTTGTCGGACTCTGTCTGTAGTATGACATTTCTCGGTTATCGAGGAGTGTAATATGTTTATATTTTTGACGAATGTGATACTTTTCATACGCTGGCATCGACCGTTCTTGGTACCATGCAGGGGCTGAGTTAATAACTTAAATTCTATACTTCATAACCGGAACATTTCGACATATCTAAGTTGGGGCATCTAACAAAAGCGGTATCTGGGTATCAAATCCCATAATCATCCCATCCAACATAACAGTGTGTACGTTCTAGGCCGCCAGTTTGCTTCTTCACGAACCAGGCATGAAGAAGGAAAGAATCTATCCCAAGAGAACCCCCTGACGTAACGCCGTATCCCATCTAACAAATGCCGAACAATCCGGTCCTCCCAGCTAAGACCCTCGGGTTCACCCACTGCCGGATAAGCATGCACCCACTTAGGTACTGATGCTGTTGGATCCGCCACATAGGTTTGCTACGTCAAACTCCGGTTCAACTTGAAGAAATCAAGGATATAATATAGGTGTGGCACTTGCACCAGTTGCACGTAGTGCAACACAGAATCGACTAACGAACATCCCCATCTAGTACCATGTGTTCTTCGGATCTAGGTTGTAGAGAATTTTACAATTCTGTTTTTGGCACATTTTTGTACGATTGAGAGTTTTGAACCTGGGTCCATCTGGGCCAGTGACGTAGTGATACTGGCCGAAGAAACGCCACTGACGGGCGTCAGCAAGAGAGTAGACTTCGTCACCCCAATGCCCTTGATAATGGAACCAAGATGTCGGTGCATGAGGATTCGATGCCGCGGGAACAAGACTCAGGAGTTCGTGTTGTTCGTACAGGTCATGATTGTCCTCTTTCGTATAGTCGTAATGGTATGCGTAATTGTTGAGAGAGGGGTCCCAGAGCGGTCCCTTATCCGTGACATCCTTGAGAAGCTTGAATGGCAGGATGTAAGCATGGTTTCCTGGTAGCGCGTACATTGCGTGGGAGCCCACAGCTGAATAGATGACGGGTCTGTCACCACGCTTTTCGACAGCTTCGAATGCGTACGCCTGCCCACCCTCATGCTCTGAGAAAAAGACACCACGGGGAATGCCGTGCTCGAAACGCATCATGCAGTGCTCCCAGTCACCCACATGGTTACCAAACCGGATGTTCAAGACAGTTTGACCGAGGTTGTAGGAGTAGAAGAAGAACCAGAAGGCGTCAACAATGCCTGACCCCTTATCAACCACAACAAGCACTGCGGGAGCTGCTGAGTAGCCATTGGCCTCCGGCTTGTGACTGTTGGACTCCGAACGACGGCGATTCTGAAGTTTGCGATTTCTAGGGTCAGAAATCTTATGGACAGGCCGTGTTTTGTCGACATCATACCAGGTGCTGGGCTCCCGGGCTTCGGGTTCTCCTCCGGGGTTTCCTACCGGTATATCGCGGTTTTGGTCATCGTCTTTGTCGTCAGGAAACGGTTTGGGAACGTTATAATGGCTGTGCAGCCAATTGGGACGAGACTCGACATCGTCATCACTTCGGAGAGTGATCTTGCCAGAATACTTATTCAGCTCGTGCAAGTTATGAAGAGTCCACTTCTCAGTCGAGTTAATAGGCTCGTCATCGGCGTAGGCAGTCATATGTTCTACGTGCTGACGAATATCCGAGGGCCAAAACTCTTCCCCAGAGTAGAGGTGAACTAACGGCGCATGCTTTGTAACATAGTCGGGGATATCGCGAAGGACCCTGCGTCGTTGATTGATATCTCTCTTGTGATTCTGACGGGGAATCTCATCAGGCTCCCAAGCAAGAGAGCGGCGCTTGAGCTCTCCCCATTCTGGTTCTTCGTCCTCATTATTCCCACGAGAGGCAGGATCACTGCGCAAGTGATGTAGTCCGCACAGACTAATCCAGCGACAGGCCTGACGATCCAGAAAGTACGGGCTGCTGTTTACCCATCGTCGATCTCTGGCGCGCCTCTCGGGGCCTTTCGTCGTTGGGTCTAGTATACGGGGAAGCAGCCATGCGCCAAAGGAGATAAGCAGCATGAAAGAGAGTAATATGGTGAAGCGGCGTAACCAAATCATGGCTGTAGCGATAAAGGACTGCAAGGGCCCATGGACGTAGTTTGCGCAGCAATTGAAGTTGAAGAGACTCGATTTCGAAGACCGACGACAAGCCGGGGGAGTATCGAAGTGAGGCCGGGAAGAAGAATGAGACAGGATAGGCCGGCTATATGAGCATCACGAACGAACGAAAGAAGTACGACACCGCTCGCGGCATGTCGTTGGGAGGAGGAGTAAGGCCAGGCTAGGGTAAAGGATGGACAAAGAGTAGAATAGAGGGAAGGAAGACAAAACCTACCGCTAAGTCGACAGAAGAAAAGAAGCGCGCGCCATAGTCTAGAACGGGATACTTTTTGGTCGCTGCGTATTTGATGGCAGGGCAAGGGTATCGATTGGCGGAGTGTTGGTGAGACGTAACCGGTGGAGGGTGGTGGGGATGCAGGTACAGATACTTTACACTTTAGGAAATGGAGCTGCAGTAGGTACACGGTTTGCATTTGCAGACTTGTAAGAGTGTACTTGATAGCACTCTTTTTCTGGCGTATCTGACGATAGATGTCTGGTTAAGGTATGGGGTTTGGGCTTGGATGATGAGTACGAATACGTCAAGTCTGGGGTAGAAGGAAAGCGGATATGTTCATTTGTGGATGTTCTGTACCGAGATTTCTTGCTCAGCCTCAAGTGGAAGTGTCTACTGCAGAACTGCCGACGCGTAACTATTATAGTGTGAAGTATACCACAAATTTAGATTTTGTTCGCAAACTCTCTTCACCAACGTTTCACGCCTGCGTTACATTCTTTCTGTACAGTTCAAGACTCGGGTACCTTAGGTACTGACCTGATCCGCTACAGCAAATAAGAAACGACATCACAGCCCTGCCCAGACTGTTCCTTGATCGTGTTTTAGCGCAAGCACCCCTCTTTTTGCGCAACATGGACAGGATTCCCCTCTTGCTGGGCCCTTTCTGAGCCTCCAAGATCCATCTGCAACCCCGGTTTGCAGTTCTGGAATGGGCCGACTGGATCAAAGATCGTGTAACGGATACATCCAAACCCGCCCTATTTCCCATTCAGCATAAAGTATCTACCACTTGTTGACCGAAAGACTGGGAATCCAGCCAGAGTGACCAGGGTATGCTGGGTGTACTTACTTACCTACAGTCCCGAGTACGACACCCTCAACTGTCGCTCCCATGATCTATAGTTAAGAAAGACAACAGGATCTTGTTCACCGTCAGATTAAACATTCCCCAACAGATGCGCATCTGCGGCAAAGAATATATAAACGTGCGAGACATGTGGGGGAACTGGTGCTGGGTGACACGATCACTCTTGTGCCTACGAGTCACAGTACTTCAATGAAGTCCCTCCAGCTGCAGGTGAATGACTTGTGTCGGATTTGGAGCAGCAGATGCGAAAATCGAAGACACTGGGGGTAGACTCATGATCACTTGTCAATTCACAAGGTCACGGCACGAGTGTTGTGTTATGGACTGTGACAGTTTCATATGCCCTCAAATAGCCTTGATCTTACAAAGGAGACTCCGAACTTTCAAATGTTTTCTTGCATAACGCAGCTGGCAGTATCATATACGCGGACTTTGCTGTGTTAAGTTCTCACCCTGGATAGATCGTGGAATCGATGAACGACCTGATCGAGAAATCCCGCTTAACGAAAGATCTCTAGTTACCCAACAAATCACCAAATCTATCGACGCCACATAATTCTAGGAACTTTGTACGATAGACCACCGTATTCGGAGTTTCCGCCATGTGCATAAGGCTGACTCCAAGACCCATTAACCAATGACAACTTGATCGCAAACCTCGTGCGGTCTTCAAGTGTGCCACACGTTAGCCTTGTAGCTTCGCCATGTGTATGCTCACAACCTGCTCAACACGTAAAACAAAAGTGTAGGGTATATGAAGTATTATTATTATTTCTTGGCGACAATTCACCACGGGTATCATAATCTCATGCGCTAAATGTCAACTAGATATTCCATCTTCTGGAGTTCAACTATTGCCGTCATTCAATCTGCCATTGTCATGTCCTCATCCTCTTCTTCTTCATCTCCTTCATCCGTGTCATCCTCGTCGTCAGAATGGTCCATGTATTCATCCGCTCTTCCATACAGTTCATTCCATCTGCTGGGAGTAGGAGTTGACATATTCCCTTCATGTACAGTACTTTCCAGATCTCTAGTTGCCGATGGAGTTGGGGCCGTTGAACCTCGTCCACGAATAACCCCGGGTCGAAGTCTGGGACGGCCGCCTCTACGCCCACTTGCACGTCGTCTCTCGCGTTTTGGAATGACTTCCTCTCCATCCTCATTGAGCAATCTTCTTCTTCGCCTAGGTTTATAGTCAGGGTCTCGGTTGTCTTTGAAGTCCTGACCCTCGCCGTCTTTAGCCCATACGGTGACCTGATCCTTCTCCTTGTTCCTCTTCTTGATCGCCATCAAGTTTTCTAGAAACCGTGTCTGTTCGGCTCTTTCTCCTGACCTGTCTTTTCCAACAGGAATTCGAATGTTCCATTCCTCCCTGATAGCGGCCAATGGATCCTCCCTAATAATTTTTGGCTTGACAACAGTCTCTTTGGTGGCGATTCTCGACGCACATGCGCCAAGAAAATCAATATTTCCATCTAGATGGCGCAGAGCGGGGAGGGGACGATCGCTGTCGCGTGTCGCAAAGATAGCTTCGGTGCCAATGACTTCCGCCCACGATCCCTCGAACGTGCGCCCTTTGTATGATATGACCGGCTTTTCTGAATGTAGCTCGAGAATCTGGATATTTTCATTCTCACCGCGTGTTTTATCCACATCGTCTCTTGTGTCGTCCTCTGGCTCACCTCTGTCGACTTCTTTGCCTTTATCTTTGTCGTTGCTTAGTGCCGGATCGATTTCAGGTTCGTCGTCATCAGCCTCTCGTTCTGGGAGTGGCTCATTGTCGTTATCGTCATCATTATCATCCCCAGCATGAACACCTCTCAAACTAGGATTGTGATCGAGCCAGGTTTTGTAATACCCGCCGCGGCTGTGGTGAGGCGCTCTTGGTTGTCGGTCCTTGAATTCTGGAAATGAAAGATCGACAGTCAAATAGTATGTCTTTGGCAAGAAGTTAGCTGGTTGCGCATGATAGGCATCTTGAGACCAAGGTGTAACAGTACCTCTGTTTCGGTGGTCGAGTATTCGTACTCCCACTCTTCTTGTTCGTCCCTTCCAAGCTGTTCCTCAATGTTGACAATTGCTGCCTTATCTGCCAATCTCGCCTCGTCCAACGAAGCCATAGTATGCTCAGAGAATGGGCAGGGAAAGCTACTAGATGCTTAAGAAAGAGAATGAGAACGAATAGAATTATAATGCTATACTCATAACTTGGTCGTGTTCATAGAGAAAGAAGAAGAAAACATAAGCCTGAGGAGATAAGTTCAAAAAGCCAAATAGCTTTGTTGACAAACTGTAAACATGCAGTCACAAACTTTAGCTTGTGGTAAAGGTACTTGCCAATTGGGGGATGTCCAGGGTCTGGAAGTCGGTCAAAGGCGGCACTTTCTGAAAAGTCCAGAATTACAGGGATCAGGCGGGGCAATTTCTGTGACTCGCGATTGCCCCGCTGTCGCTGTTATAACATTTCAATGAGTCTCAATGGGGTTTGAACAGTCACACTTATCTTGACGACTTCAAACACCTCTGGACTTGATATAGAGTCAGCTACCGCTACAATTGTCCGGTCGTACATCGTGTTATATCAGTCACCATTCACCTTTCCAAAGCAACATCTGGTCCTTATACCTTCTATCTTCTTTATATATTTACCATCATATCTAGGGTACAATGCCCACTGTTCATCTCTTGGACTATGTCGCCGGCAACATCAGGAGCCTGGTAAATGCCATTGAGAAGTCTGGCTACGAAGTAGAATGGGTCAGATCGCCGGAGGACGTTCCAAAGGCAGAGGTTTGGCGATACTTCCATTCAATTTCTTGTCCACCATGACTGATGCGTTTTTAGAAACTCATCCTCCCCGGTGTCGGCCACTTTGGTCATTGTCTATCCCAACTGTCCCAAGCTGGCTATCTTGAGCCAGTTCGAAAGCACATTGCTGATGGAAAGCCATTCTTCGCTGTATGTGTCGGCTTACAAGCCCTATTCGAGGGTTCTGTAGAGGACCCCGACGTCCCCGGCCTCGGAGTCGTTCCAGCTTCCTTGGACCGTTTCGAAGACTCAAGTAAATCCGTCCCCCACATCGGGTGGAACAATGCTTTCACAGCTGGACGAGCCATGTACGATCTTCAACCAGACTCAAAGTACTACTATGTTCACTCTTACAAATGCCCCTACAAGCCGGGCGAGCTTGAGTCCCAGGGGTGGACTGTCGCTACTGGAACCTATGGCACCGAGACTTTCGTAGGCGCCATTGCGAAGGGAAACATTTTTGCAACCCAATTTCACCCCGAAAAGTCTGGTACTGCAGGTTTAAAAACCATCAGGGCTTTCCTCACAGGTGAAGGCGCAAAGAATCTTGGTACCGTGGTTGATGAGGCTGTCGCCAATGCCCCGATCAAGTTCGAGGACAGCTTAACACGGCGAGTCATAGCCTGCCTAGATGTGAGGACAAATGACCAGGGTGACTTGGTCGTTACAAAGGGTGATCAGTACGATGTTCGCGAGAAGGGTGATGATCGCAACGTGCGAAACCTCGGCAAGCCTGTCGAGATGGCTAAGAAATACTACGAATCCGGCGCCGACGAAGTGACTTTCCTTAACATCACTTCTTTCCGAGATTGTCCTGTTGCCGATCTCCCTATGCTCGAGATTCTTCGTCAAACGTCTCGCACCGTCTTTGTGCCCTTGACTATCGGCGGTGGTATTCGTGACACCATGGATACTGACGGCACAAAGGTGTCGGCGCTTGAGATCGCTAGCATGTATTTCAAGTCTGGCGCTGACAAGGTCTCAATCGGTTCCGATGCCGTTCTTGCTGCTGAGGAGTACTACTCTATAGGCCGCAAGCTCTTCGGCAATACTGCCATTGAGCAGATCTCGCGCGCCTATGGCAACCAAGCCGTCGTTGTGAGCGTTGATCCCAAGCGTGTCTATGTTCCCAAGCCTGATGCCACCCGTCACAACATCATAAAGACACAGTTCCCTGGTCCTAAGGGCGAGGAATACTGTTGGTACGCTTGCACAATCAAGGGTGGTCGTGAGACTCGTGACATGGATGTTGTCGAGCTTGCCCAAGCCGTTGAAGCAATGGGAGCCGGAGAGATTCTTCTTAACTGCATTGACAAGGACGGTACCAATAGTGGGTTTGACCATGAGCTCATCAACCAGGTGAAGGGAGCTATCAAGATCCCCGTCATTGCCTCAAGCGGTGCTGGTAACCCGGCTCATTTCGAGGAAGTCTTTGAGAAGACTACTACGGACGCTGCTTTGGGTGCCGGTATGTTCCACCGCGGCGAGTACACCGTTAAACAGGTCAAGGACTACTTGAAGGAAAAGGGTCTCAAAGTTAGACAATTCGAGGAATGATTTTAGAACCATCAATGATAGAACAAAACAACAAATAATAGACACTTTTTGACTTGCACACAATGGCTTTAGTATTATCTCAACTACCTAGCAGGTTTGTACTACATTGAAAGTCATCACCGCGAAAGATACAGAATGACACAAACACCTTTAAGCTCCTACACCCTCAAAGTCCAAAGAAAATGAGAGATGCGCCAAAAGCCTTGGGGCCGTCGAACCTTTTCTGCGACTCAACGCCCGATGCTACCAGATCTCTCCAAGAATAGCAGAGCAAATCGCCGAGCAAGCCTCCAGACGAAATTTTGGAAAACACCAACGAACGAAACATGACACAGCGGAAACTAAGGAAATATACCCGCTCCCTAACTCCACAAAAGACAGGAAAGCGCTGATGCCTATAGCTCCATACCCATCAACATCCACTTCTTGCTCGTGACATCAAGACCATGAGCCCAGTGGTCTAGAGTAACCATGTCGAAGCCAACCCACTGTAGACTCTTTGTCAAAGAGTGGACGTCGTCCGCAAGGATGCGTCTATCTATGCAAGTGACAATATGGGCACAGTCCAGAGGACCGTCGGCCAGTTCGATAAGTGCCATCAGACTACCAAGTATTTAGCATTTGGACAAAGATTTGGAAACAGTGTTACTTACGCCTTTTTCAGGTCTCGGCCAAGTACGCCTTCGATATCAAAGAAAACAAAGAGAGATTTCTCCTCTCCGTCATCAGCAACAAAGGCACGGAAGCTCGCTCCGCCGGCATAGTCCCACACCTCCAGCCAAGCGGTAATATTGTAGGCAGGTAGCTTGTCATCAGAAACAGGCTTGAAGTGTTCGGGGAGCCGGTCATCGGACGGCGGCGTTGGTAAAAAAGCACCAGACAGGCCGGAGCCATTCATGGACGAATTCCTCTCACCGTGGAAAGTCGTCTTCATGGACTCGCAAAAGAATCTCTCACATTCTTCCCTGATCGAAAGTGCTGCCCCCCCTCGTCGACCCAGGCGCCGGCCTGGGATCTCGCGCTTCTTGCTCTTGGGCAGAAGGGCGAGCTCGTTAGACGAGGTTAGTGCGGCGAGGGGGGGGCTTGTTGGAGGGGAGGGTAGTCCTGAGGAAGGGACCTCAGGAATACCACTCGGCCCCTGTAGTAGAGTTAGTACTATGATAAGGACTTGGTGTTGAAAGGAGAGAACATACCTGCAACCCCGGTAGTGCAGTAGTGGAGGCCCTTGAGGTTGGCAGCAGAGTCGACGAGGTAGCAAGAGGCAAGGACATTGACCTTCTGGGCAGCGGCCTCGCCGTAATTACTACTGTAATTCAAATTCTGATTATTCATTGGCGCCATTTCTGATAATGATTCCGGGTTATCGACTAGAGTTGATATAGTTCGGTAAGGGTCGAGGGTGTTGATCGGCAGAAGTTGATTGATAGCGTGTGGTGAGATGGCTCTTCAGACCAGTGGGTTAAAAATCCTTTTAAAGAATTTGTGTGTTGTTTGTTTCGAGGCGAATGTGGAGGAGTAAGTTATGGAGACGTGCGAAAATGTTTGCGACGGTGTTTTGAGTAATTCGTGGAGAATGTCTTGGATGCGTTGTGTGTTAGATGTAAGCCTAAGATCTCTGGTGTTTGGGCAGCGGTGAGGTTAAGTAAGAAGGAGGAGGTAGAGGAACCCAGGAATTTGGTGACTTCGGGGCGCTCGGGGCGGAAGGAACAGTGCGTTTGGGGTGGACCCCTCACCTGAGGCTCTGGAATTTTGTGCACACCTCAGGCAGTCCACAGTGGAGGAAGGGATTGCCACAATTGCAGCCGGGGTAACACCTCATGGCCAAGTACAGTGCGACTATCTTATCTTGGCAACCACTGATGTGAGGTAAGCCGAGGCCAACCAAGCTCAAGAAATGGGTAGAAATAATATGTGGTGCCCGTTGGTATCGTCATTTGGTATCACATGATTAGACTCTATAGATTCGCTGCCAAAGGAATCAACTCAAATGGGTAGTAAGTTCATGATAATGATCATCATCATTATTCTCAACTCATTCTTTGAAAATACGAATCATCTCCGCTAAGCATTGTCTCGACTTGGCGCACTGTCTCGCACTAATGCGAACGCCTCCACAGCACATGGCCCAGTCTACTGGTTGATAAACACCAGTTGGCAACAGAGTGACTGTCGAAGGCCGAACTGTAAATTGTAACTGAGATAATGTAAAGCAACCTAAAGGTGCTTTTTTTTTATTTATAAATAGTAGAGAGAATAGTCTGGGTTAGTTATCCATGGCCACGAGTCTGATCCAGACAACAGTCACTGAACTGAGCTTGTCAGTGCGTCAAAACGTTCCAAGCTCAGGATGCTGATTGTCACAGTAAGGAATTGACTTCCCGCTTATCCCAGCTACTCCTCAATCTCCTTGGCTAATGGGTATAGTAGGTAAGTTGGTATGCCTAGGTACCATGACAATCTAGGAGATGGCAGAAAACCTAGTAACAGAGTCATTTGTGACGATAATACTTAGACAGTGTTAAGATAATTTGGGACCAACATGGCACTTCTTTGATCAGTTTATTGATGCAAGGGCATCAAGGTTCCTGACACCTGGAAGACACCACACATATTCTTCTTGGTTGCACAGCACCGTTACACACAACGTTTCCAAGACTGTCCCACACAGATCATCGAATGTGTCAGCCACTCATGTCCGAAGAGTCTAGAATCCTCTGCATTCATCTCACAATAATAAGAGTTCCTCAAGCGCTTACACAACAACCTACTCACCTCAATTTCGCATTCTACCGTACAGCAATCACTGTATTCGGTTTTGGATGCTGCCGCTGTGCCACAATTTTCAATAACAGACACATTGCGTGCTGACTTCTTCCGGATTTGCATGATACTGGCCCCGTTACAGCTTTTTGTTACCCACAAACCCAGTTTATCCTGCTCTAAACATCCACGTCGTATCACCTAATTCGATCATGATTCTGTGGCCCAGCGCAATTTGTCTCTAAATATTCATGATTCCGTTCTCGCCCCTTGATAATGAAGAAGCTGGTTCCAAGATACATACTTTCTCGGCCAACTCTACGCATGTGCATCTCCGAGCAGCCTGATTAACCCCCTTCTGTCGTGTAAGTTGATTGGTGGATGTGCTAGATTCCCAAGGTGGTGGTGCCACTACTTAGTACCTTGCCCAACCCCGCGTTTTGCTTTTATCGGGTACGTATCCGGACCGAGACCATCACCAAAAACATCCATGTTCGGCTGCATTTCTGCTGCAGCCAGAGACATGATCAACAGTTGAGATACTCAATTCGATCCCTGGTGTTGCCCGGGCGCATCATGTTACTCACGAGACCAATGGTATGTGGAGACAGTCCAACAGAGTTTGACACTCATGAACAGTATCATGAAGAGACGGCATTTTCGACAGAGCCATTTTACTCGCAAAAATGCCAAAGCTCAAATTAGTTGACTCAGCAACAGCCAATGCCATAGGAGGAGGAATATCGCATCCGTACTCCCTTAATGCTTGAGCCACCGCTGACTACCTCAGCAAGTCTATTATCGTCTGTCCCTCCGTCTATACGCACCATTATGCCATGTTATCCTCAATGCCGTCTTTCAACCCTCAATTGCTCGGTCAAGGCCGGTTTGCCATACCCCAGCAATCCTGACCAGTCCCTATCAACCACCCTGCTCTGGAGTACATAAAAGAAAGACTATAGCCAAATGGCAATAACATAGTCCCAATAATCAACCAGAACCAACGTTAATACTATCATACAGTGTACTTCACATCTCCCGTGTCACATTTGTACTATCCTGAACATATCGTATTCCAATACTGCCTCTAGTCTCGTACCATCATCCATGTCGTGCACTGAGGCTTGCGAATGCATCTGGGCTGTGTCGCCCATTTGTCCACGCAAGGTCAAGGCCAAGGTTCATGCTCTCTCTGCTCCTTGCAGCAAATGGGTCTGAAGTGGTCGCAGCATTTGGGTTACCAGCGACGCCAGAAGAAGGTGCACCACTCATGAAAGGGTTTGTGCTAGATGATAGATGCTGAGGCACACTTGGTTGCTGCTGCACAGGTGCCATTGGAGCTTGCAGGGGCTGGTTTTCTGGGATGGTTGGCTGCTGGGTATATTGTGTGGCCTGCTGAACCTGGTATGAAGGCTGAGCCGCGGCCGCACCTGGCTGTTGTTGTACCGTTTGAGGGTAGTTATTAAAAAGAGCCATGATCGAGGCCTTGTCTGGTCTCTGAGGTTGGTAAAACTGCTGCTGCTGGTACATTTGAGGCTGCTGCTGGGCAAAGGGGTTGTGGCTTGCTTGGGGTTGACTCTGCATCTGTTGCACGACAGGTTGTTGCACAAAGACCTGTTGACTTGTTTGCGCCACAGGCTGACCAGCATTTGCAAAAAAAGGGTTCGTGCTTGTTTCTGGGGGGCTCAAAGGAGCTGGGCTCTGATACACGGCAGATCCCTGATAAACAGATGAGTTTTGAAACGAACTCTGCGTTTGCTCTGGTATCTGACCAAGGCTTGGCGATGCGATTCGAGTTGGGGATCGAGCGAACGGATTGTATCCAGCAGGTGCTTGGTTGGTGTTGACTTGAGGGAAGGGATTGGACCCTTGTTGCGGCTGTTGCTGTATTGCACCTGCGGTGTTCGCTAGAAAGGGATTATACCCAGTCGCCTGCGCTTGGACAGGCTGTGGGTATGTCATGTTGTTACTGAAGCCCAGAGTTGAGAAGCCACTTGGGGTTGTTGGCGCTGATGGAGCCACTTGTTGGTATCCTGTCGCCTGTGGTGCTTGCTGTGGTGCTGGTCCTCCAGTATGGTGAGGGAACAGAGGCTGTTGGGGGGAGAGAGACATGTTTTGGAATGCCTGGCTGAACGCATCTGTCGGTTGTTGCTGTTGAGCGGCTGGCACGCCGAATGGGTTTGTCTGGCCGTACGGGTTCCGGTTATGAAGGCTTCCCGTCGACTGGGCCGTCTGGGGCTGAGCCGTTCCTAAGTTATCAAACGGGTTTGTCGAAGCACTTGATGGAGTAGTGGGACGGTCCGTAGCTGAACGGGCGGGAACGCTGAGACCTGCGCCGAGTCCCAGCCCGCCAGAACTCGGTGTCAGGGGCGTCAAAGACCTTGATGTTCGCAGAGTCTGTTCCCGAGGTGAAGGGGTGGGAAGAGGTGAGGGCCGGCCACTACCCTCACCCAATCGCACAAGAGTCTCAATCGCTCGTTCAATGTTGCCATTAACACCTTTCAACACCAGAGCATTGCGTTTGGCGTCCTGAAATCCCATGTCTTGTAGCCTAGCCAGCTTTTGCTCCATGTCATCCGGTTGATCAAGATCTAAGGTGGCGCCGAACACTTTTGATGGTTTATTAGGGGGTCTTGGAGACTCGCTACGTCCACCTTGCGCAGCTGTAATGGTTTTGGAGTCCTTCTTCGACTTGGACGACAGAGGGAAAATAGATGAAGCTGATCGAAATCCGAACTTCGAGTTCTTAGGCGGCAGTGGTGGAGGAGTCCCTTCGCCTATATGAGGAGATCTAGGCTTTCCCGTTCCACTGACAGTATTATTCATATATTTCTGTCTGATAAATCGTTCCATAGCAGAATCCGCTTCGTCAGCGTCGACCGGGACGGGAGGTTTGCGATGCTCGGGGTTATAAATGTTGTTGGATGTGATGTTTCCGACCTTTCGCATGTTCTATAGACCGTGTAAGCTATTGGTTTTCTTTGGGCACGATCCCCGGGTTGTTGTTGTTGCTCACGTCAACTTGCTCGTTGGTCCAACTATCCATGCTCAAGGACTTTACTTTGGAGATGTGAGTACCCAACTTTCGATGAATTGCAGCACATCTCATGCATAGGAAAACGCCCAACTAACAAACATATTAGTATTGGATCAGTTCCCGTATGTAGTGGGGGGCCGTACACTCCATGATGCCCAAGCTGATATTGATGTTAGCAAATTCCAGTCATCTCGTATACCCGGCGCAGGATGAGCTTGGTTGTACGTCTGGAGCATACCTGGATTACGCGCGTGGCAGTCAGCGCACATATTATTGCCCGGGGTGTTCTGCACAAGATCCTGCAGGGCCTTTTCGTTCCGCGCCTGCTGGCGCTTGCTCATGATACTCGACATGGTGGCGGGTCTTAACAGATCAAGTTTTCGGTGATCTCTAGAAGATGTGCAGTAGCAAAGGAACCTGTCTCGCAGTGTAACCGTCTCGAGTCGTTCGTAGGGCTCGTGCAGGACAAGTGCGGTGATCGGGGTCTGGAGTACGGAGGCCGGAGACCGGGACGGGGGTTGTCGACGGGCAGCAGAAAGAAGCAAAGAATTATGTCAAGTAGATGTCGCGGATGAAGAAAAGCACTTAATTACCAACAATGCAGGCGAAAGGAGGGACAAAGAAGAAACGATGCAATGCGATGCGAGGCGGTTCAAGTCGTTGATGAAATTGAAAAGAAGGAGATGAAAAGATGAAAGTTGACCAAGAAAGGGTACTTCCTTTCTGTTGCGCCGTGCGATTCAGGTCACAGCGGTAGGTGCCTTGAGACGGGCGGGATGCAGGTGCGGGAAGAAGCACTTGCCACACTCTGGCTCAGCGTTTCAGTGATTTACTGTGAGATTGAACATGAATTCAGAGCCCAGGAATAAAAAGGGGAAAATAAAAAGCAGGTCAACATAACTAGAGGTAGATGGAAATTTCGTTCTCAAGTTCTTTAACTAAGGGTCAGCCAAAGACCAACTCAAAAAAAGCCCCTGGCTTGGCCTGGACCTTGGGCTTAGCTTGACGAGATTCCTCCTCGTAGGCTCGTCCCCTAAACCACAGTGGAGTTCCATCTCGCTGCCCGCTTAGATCCACAAGTCACTTGAGGTAAGGTCTGGCTGCTTAAAGGCCCGTCTGTCTATCCCAACTAGGATTAGGCATGGGCTCACTTCGTCCATCCACCAGTAGAAGAGTCTTGATGGCCTTTGGTGCTTGGCTCGACGACGGGCGTCAGGGGCAGGTCGCGTGGGTGAGACAGGGTTTGAGTTAAGAACCGATATCGATTCCTAATAGTGATGAACCTCGAGGGTAATTGGGGCTGGAAAGATGTGATTTGTGATTGTTTCTTTGAGAGGGTGGTTGTCCGTTGATGAAATGGCAGGAACTGTATTGCAATGATCATTGCCAAATGACATCAGTTGTTGTATGCTATAGTTAAAGTCTATATTGCAGTTCTGAACCAGTGCCATAATTGCTGTATTTCCAAAAAAGAAAAAAAAGAAAAAGAAAAAAAAATTGAGCTGATAAGGTGAAAATGTTCATGTCTGCATATACGTAGACAGTGCTTGCTCTATTTCCATATCTTATATTAGCATTGGAAGGTGATTATTTAGCATACAACCGAACCTCATTATGAAGCCCAATTGGAAGGGAGATACCACTATAATACATGGCATGTCTAGTTTATGTGAAAATGTGGCTAGTTGCCAATCATTGTCGATCATGTACTTGCAGACCCTCGTATGTAGGTCGCGGAGGATTGACGTATCAAGGCTGAATTATTCCTGTGACAGAAGCCTTTTACAAAAACAAGGTCTGCCGACAGGTCTCATGTCGTGGTCCATAAAATGCCTTACAAACTCCCCAAAGCTATTAACACAAGATCACCAACCGTTAGGCCTTTTAATTCCTTTGCAATAAAACATTGTCGAATATAGTTTCGTCCGTTAGGTGTCCTGAAGTTTGTGCTTGGCCACCTCAGTTACATGCTCGGCTTCCGGGTAGCATTACCTTATATCAACAGGCAGACATACAAAGACTACTCCATAAACGTGCCAGAAATAGCATCTGTCAATTCACTGTAGCTCGGATTGACCGGCAAGGCCCGGAATGAGGATTGCCCGTGGGGTAATGAACAGCCTTCAGGGCCGAGAAGCTACTTATGAGGATCATCCTAGTCGACATGATCTTCCACCCAAGACATTGGACAATGGAACATCGGCGGAGAATGCAGTATGCAAGATATCGGGTTCCCATAGACGTTGAAGCTATAAATCAAGCGGTGGCACGTGTATCACGATACAGCAGTAATTATATTAGCAACATCACAAGTTACAGCTCAGTCCCAGAATTCAAAATGATGGAACCCCTAGGCCTCGGAATAAAGTGGAATGCAACGTCATGTCATGCCATGTTATACTAGCACTTTGCTGCGCTCGCATACCAAACCTACCGAGGCAAGGAACCTTAACATAGTAATCGCAAGTCCTCTTTGTTGGTTTTCGTATTTAATCAAAATCCACCTCTGCAAGCTTCCACATTCATGACACCTTCAGTGATATTTGATCATCAATCATCCACTCGCATTAAAATCGTGTAACTTCTGCCGCCCTCCAGCCACCTTCATCACCCTTATGCCAGTGCTTTTATCCCCAACCTCCGCCCGCCCTGTCCTCCCAACCACTTCAACCCTCGAATTGTCCACTTGAAACGAACAGCATCCTCGCAACAGTTTCGTCCCTGTCACCAAGGACTTTCCAGAAAAGGACTGGACTTGTGGCTCCCGGTGGCTGTGGTGGCTGTACAAACTGCAAAATCCCCGTTTCCAACGTCAGCAGTAAGGCGAAACCTCGCTCTCCGTATACTACCCCTCCACCAAGGCCCCTGCTCGGCCCAATACAGAGCCCACGACTCGACTACACAAACACTAGCTTAGTCGTTGGGTAGCTGCCTCGTGCGTACGTGCTCGAGTTGTCCACGTCTAGCGCACGTATACGGCGGACGGATACTCCTCTGCTCCTCCAGGATTCGAGGCAAAACTCTTGGCTTCTACGCATGCCAGGAAGAGTCAGACGTAAGGAGGACTTGTCAGCCACTTTCACCCCCTGCACACACAACTTCTTTCTTCAACTGTCGAAACCTGTCTTGTTCAACAACAAGAGCCATCCCCCAATCCGCAGTTTCCGGTCTTCCGAAAAACCTAAGCTGAATATCGATCGAGCCGGCATGGTCAATTGCTAAAGGTCCTCAACTCCACCACGAATTCGTCTACCGAGCTTCCCGATATTTGAAACCTCGACGAACGCGAAAACTTGGTTGCCGCTAGAATATCATACAAAATGGCGGGCATTGAGCAGCTTGAAGTTCATAGTAAGGCATGTTACTAGCTCTCCCCTACATTACAGATGCCGCGCGCCAGGCACCATATGAAGAATCGACATGAACTTCTGGCTAACACGTAACTAGTCGTATATTGTTCGCTGGGTCAAAGTCGATGAAGGGAATACACTATCGTGGAGCGTACAACCTCACAAGAAGTCCATGTACGCACCTCCATCTTGTGCCGCTTGGCGCGAACCTTCCCAGGCCCATGAATGAAGCTGTGTACTAATATGACTGCAGCAATTTTGGTATTGTCAAACATCCCGGCAGCGGTGCCACCACTTTTGCATCTTCCACGGCCGAAGACCTGAATAATGGAACTGAAGAGTCGGGTGGTACCTCGGACGGAAAGTCTGCCCGCTTCTCGAAGAAAGATACAAACGCACAAGAGCTGCTAAAAAGTAAAGGATTTATACCCATCAAATGGATTGGTAAATGCGAAGCGGATAAGGTGTCCATCGGCACGTACGAGGTCAATCATGACCAGAGCGGAATGTACGGCCTCGTGTTCGATAACACGTTCTCGAAACAGACATCCAAGACGGCGACTTTCGTGGTAATGACATATCCTACGGGGGCACCTCCTCAGACTTCATCACATTTGCCTAATCTTCAAGCACCGAAAGCTGGAGCCAGCCAAACGAGTCTCGGGCGGCACAGTAGCCCTAAACTCGACGGGGTTGCCTCTGCTTCATTAGACAGTCTTCACAGTCACAACGCCGTAGCAAACGCGAACTCCATTTCTGGTCGTAGCGAGGTTGGCTCAGGCAATTACCATGTTGGTGTTCTCCACAAGAGGCGTCGCAAGAAGGGACAAGGCTACGCTCGCAGATTCTTCTCGCTTGACTACTCGACATGCACTCTGTCGTACTACTATAATCCTAAGTCTTCTGCGCTCCGAGGCGCTATTCCCCTAAGCTTAGCCGCCATCGCTGCAGATGAGCGACGAAGAGAGATCAGCATCGATTCAGGCGCTGAAGTCTGGCATTTGAGAGCCCCGAATGATAAGGAATTCCAGGACTGGGCACATGCGCTCGAAAAGGCGAGCCGCGTTGCAAGGGGTTTGGAGACCCTGGATCTTCCCAAGAATGATCACTTAAAAATCAATACACGCCAACTTCAGCCTATTCATCAATCCTCTCCACAAGAGGACAGGGAATGGGAGCAGGTCGAATCCCTGGTTAGCCGCGTGGTTGGTACACGCGATGCTCTTCGACGCCTGACCCGTGAGGTCACAGCCCAGGCAAAACCACCACCAGTAACCAGTCCTCAATATCTTTCACCTGGAGCTGCGACTAGTGCTATCGACGAGAATGATACGTATTTCACACCCCCTCCCGAACAGAGGCGCTCCTTCTGGAGAAGAAAGTCAAACACTCCTGCGATATCCCCTGCCACACTGGGAGCGCCAACAGCTCTGGCAGTACCAGCACCAGGTGGTGTCACTACGACTATCTCTGCCAATATGCCAAACCACTCAAGGAGACAATCCAAGGGGCTCGTTAGAGAGGAGAACTCGCTGCAGGATCATTGTCAATCACTTCTGACAGACCTTGACTCAGTTGTGTCCGAGTTCACCACACTTATCAACAACAGTAAGCGCCGTCGCATGCCAGTGCCCTTGTCTGCAGGTGGTGTGTCAAGGAAGAGTATAGACACTGTCTCGACAGCAGACGAGTTCTTTGATGCTGAGGATGCCAACTCAGCCGTTCTTAAAATTGATGGCAGCGAAGACGAAGCTTCACGATCAGAAGAGGCAGAAGACGAGGAGGAAGATTCATTCCGAGACAATTCTTCTGTGTCGTCTATAGGAGAGAATGACACAGCAAACCTGGACGATGCATCTCATCTTTTCCCCACGAAACCAAAGAGCCTTACACCTTTGCCTATTGAGCAAGCCGTTACCAGGAGATCAACCATACCACCTGCAGCTGCACCTGCACCGAGTTTGATCGCGTTCTTTAGGAAAAATGTTGGCAAAGATTTTAGTACCATCAGTATGCCCGTTACCTCGAACGAACCGTCATCTATGTGCCAAAAGCTGGCCGAACAGCTGGAATACGCACAGTTACTAAACCAAGCTGCAAAGCAATCTTCTCCAACAGACAGACTCTTGTTCGTCGCAGCATTTGCAGTCTCCCAGTTCAGCAGTGGTCGAGCCAAAGAGCGTGCTATCCGGAAGCCTTTCACACCTCTACTGGGCGAAACCTTTGAACTGGTTCGAAGCGAAAAGGAGGTGCCTGGAGGTTTCAGACTCTTAGTCGAGAAGGTCCAGCATCGACCTCTTCTCCTAGCTATGCAAGCAGACTCAGCCAACTGGTCGTTCTCCCAGTCACCAGCCCCCGGCCAGAAGTTTTGGGGCAAGAGCGCTGAAATCACGACAGATGGCCGTGTTCGAATTGTGCTACGTCTATCAAATGGCTCCGAGGAGCGATATTCATGGAATATTGCTACTATGTTCTTGCGTAACGTGGTTATGGGCGAAAAGTATGTGGAGCCTGTGGGCACTATGCATGTCGTCAATGACAGTACTGGTCACAAGGCTGCTGTTGAGTTCAAG